TGTCCCGCCTATCGAGACTCATGGTAAGGGCAAGGTAGTCATGCACACCACCTTGGGGATGACCGACAAGCCCCACTCTGTAACCATGGCCCGCTTTCCTACGCTGGCACCAATCCTCAAGATTCTGACCAGGAAATTTCCGACTGTGACAGGTTAGTCATTCAACTCCCTTCTCATCTAATATGCTTGCTGATCTGAATATGTAGAGTCTGCTATTTCAGTCTTGGATGTTGATGGGGAATGGGAGGTCGCTGGTCCTTTTGCCCTTGCGCTAGAGGATGACATGGATGTGACTTGGAATAATGACTTCAAGTTGTTCATGCTTTTGGTAAGCTTGTCTTCATCTGCATCTGAGCACTTCTAACTTCACAAAATCAGGAGCCCCTCCCTGCAGCATCTACTTCGGCCTTTCCCGCCTTTCCTCCTTCTCTCATATCAACTCACTCTGGCAGCTCAGTTGCCCACTCTGGTGGCTCTATTGCGCCCTCATCTATTGCGCCCTCAGCATCCATCTCATCTGTTGGTGTCGCTACTGCAGGTGCACTTCCGCCAGCTCCAGACCACATCCGTGCAGCTTATTCCACCAAGCAGCACCTGATCCCGTACGCCGTTCTTCTTGAGGTCCCAGTCTCCTTGGTTCCTAACACCAAGCCCAACGATGGGGACATCATATCGGCGTATGAGCACTGGAAAGCTGCCAGTACTGCTCGAGAACAACTCAAGGCCAAATATGACGCTCACGATCCCAAATCCCCTCCTCTTCCTCCCTTTCCAAATGTCGAAAACACTCGCGCCATCTACATGAATCCCAGCAGCTTCAGCAACTACAATCCCCTCTTTCTGGCTGCCATTCAGCATCCAGATATTCTCACATATCTGGAGGGTGATGCTGGAGTGGGCTCGGCCATCTACAAGAAATTGTGGGGTGCAGTCAAGCCTGGCAAGGCTACCTTGGGCCAACTGGTGGAACGGATCAACACTGAGCAGAAGAAGGAGGAGAAGAGGTCTGCAAAGAAGAAGGCTGGGCCATCCAAATCGAAGTAAGTCATCAGCTTCATACAACCTAGAATTTCTCCCTATGCATATATCTTTGTACTACTATATTTATTGAAAATTGCATATATTTTGCACCATTTCTTGCTTGAGTCTCCATCATATTCTGTCTGAACACGTGCTCATTTGCCTAGTTTCTGTTTACAGACCTACATGATGCTGCTAGTGGTGTGGTTCTTGCTTGGACTTGTTCCATGTGTTGCTGCAGCACCTAAACAAGATCCATTTCCAAACATGCTCTTCACTGAGTTTGCTCAAAGCATTCAGGACAACTTTGGTCCCAAGATCAAGCTGTCTACTGTCTTGATGCTTCTGATGACTCTTGTCAGTAATACGGATCTCCTCAACCTTCATGGACAACAGCAGGCTTCTCAGCAACAGGAGTCTACTAGCTGGATGGCTGCCCTGGTCCGTGCTGTCAAAGCAAAGCTCTCTGACAGTGGCTTTGTCTCCCTGTTCACCACTGACGACTTACGGACTTCACGATCTGAGCAGCAGCAAATTACGCTTGCAGGCAAGAAACTCAGCCGGTTCAGCCGCTCTCTGTCTCTTGCTTCACACTCCAGTATTGGGAATTTCAAGTCCAAACTCCGCCCCATCTCCACTGCTTCTATTCAACCCATCATTCTTATCACGCCCATCGTCATGGCTTGTCCAACACTTGACTGTAACGACCATAGCCTTACTCAAGACCTCCGGGAACGTGATATTGCTCATGTCACATTGCTCAAGGGGAGTCAGTGCTTGGAGAAAGTCCCTGTTCTGGCTGGCAGATGCTCTTCCTGCAATTCACTTTACTGGGCAGATCACGAGCGGTTCACCCAGAACAACGGTGATGACTTGTGCTTGTACCTCAACAATGCCAAGTATCTCAAGGTTGGCAAAAGTGTCTGGGTCGACCGCACTGTCTCTGGGGCTATCGTCAATGCCAACTACAGCTTCCATGCTTCCACTGCTGCCATTACCGAGTTTTGGAACTTCTCATTTGTCAAGCCAAGTGGAGGTACCTTCAAACTTGGACGTCGACAAGTCTGGAAGGCCTTTGTGGAGGAGTCTATCTGGCAGATGGCTAAGTTCAACAAGCGCCAGATTGTCTTTGAAGACAATCTCTCCATCAATGCTCTGGTTGCTGCTGCCTACATTGAACTCGGCGACAATGGAGTTATCCGCAGTGCAGAGGGACATTCTTGCGATGAGTGTTGTCATGCATTCAAGGATGTTGCTGATGTCATTCCAAGGCAACCCAATGACCCTGCTGCAGTTGTTGGCCATGATGAAAATCATGCTGTTCCAGACTATGCAGGGGAACCTGTTGATCCAGATGCAATGGAGGTTGACAACCAGCCTGCTGCTGTGGTTCAGCCTACTGGCCCTGTTGCACCTGGCAATCATGGAGAGGTCCGCATGATTGTCATTGATGGAATTGTCATGGGGCCACGACATTGCGCAATGGAAGGGTGCGAGGCAGGACTTGAGAATGCCCAAACTGGGGTGTTCTGCAAGAGGCATGCAGAGAGGATGGAAAACAAGTGCCATATGAAGGGATGTGGCAAGGTCAAGGTTGGTGACACAAAGGCCTGTCAAGATCACCAGGGGCAGTGGGCTACATTTCGCAGGCAATATGCCAACACCTCACTTCTTGGAGTGCAGCGGATGTTGAGAAGAGCTCAGGAGGAGAGACAGGAATGGTTGCCTGTTGGTGGAGGAGCAGAGGCGCCAGAGCATGATGACCTTGCAGAGCAGGAGGTTGAACAGGTCAGTGGCAGCAAGTATAACAACTACTTCTCTGCTCCTAGGTACTACTGCGTGGAGACCATCTGTGCTCCATGTGGTGTGGTCCTTGCCTGGCGCAAGTTTGCCAAGTCGGAAGGGGTGGCCAAGATTCTTCGGTTCCTTGAAGATGTCTATCCTGATCCTGCCTCACGCCCCAGCTACATTGCCATTGACAAGGGGTGCGCCTTACTCAAGCATATTGTCAGGCAAGGTCACTGGCCTGCTTGGGAGCCAACAACTAGGATTATTGTGGACTCATACCACTACATCAACCACCGGATCACTGATCATCTTTGCCGGACCTGGTGCAATCCAGCACCCCTCAATGGAGATGCACCAAATCTTGTAGTTGTTGCCAATGACAAGCAAGGCAACCCTTACTATAAGAGGGCTTTCAACACTCAGGTAAGTGAATTTAGTGGTCTATCAGTCATACTTGTCTAATTTGAGCTTAGGCCTGTGAACAGCTCAATGCATGGATTGGAGGTTTCCAGACTGTTCTCAACCGAATGACAGTTAGCAACTTTGACTTCACGATGCATGTGCTGTTATTCATACACACTCAACGGGTCATTGCCAAGCAGGAGGAAAAGAAGAGGAATCAAGAAGCAGGAATAGAAATGACAGACAGTGATGAGGAGAGTGAGGATGAAGAAGACTCAGAGAGTGAAGAGGAGAGTGAAGAGGAGGAGGAGAGTGAAGAGGAGGAGGACTAAATGTGTCAAAGTATTTACCTCTACTATGTATAAGTTGCATATGAAGTGCGCATGAAGCGCACATAAACCACATATAAAGTTCACATGAAGCGTACATGTATGTTATATAAACTGCACATAAAGCATATATATATGCTGTATAAACCACACATGATGCTCATATAAAGTATACATTCGCTCTACACAAACCACACATGATGCTCATATGAAGTTTACATTTACTCTATATAAAGTGCATGTAGTGCATATATAAATCACATGTAAAGCTCATATAAAGTACACATGAAGCTCATATAAACCACACATGAAGCTTGTATGCACTTGTGTATGAGACAAACTCATAACTTAGTTGTAATCCATATGAATATAAACTCTTCATATGTGCTTCACATGGACTTCACATGAAGCACATATGAATGTCGCATATAAACTTCACATGCAGTTCATATAAGCTTTACGTGAAGCTCCTCAACAATTGTTATTGCCTCAAAGTCATGAAGAAGTAAAGAAAATGTAGAAGAAATGTAAAGCCATATGAAGGAATGTAAAGTTTCGCAAAAGAAGTGGGCTTTATATGACCTTTATATGAAATAAATGTACGGAAGATGTGAAGTCATGTGCTTCATATGAGCTTCATGTATAAATGTGGTAAAGCGCCAGATATACGCCACTCGTCGTCATAATGTCGTAACTCCTCCCATCTCTCTCTTTTGCATTATGTATCACGTATCATCGATCATCGTTGTTCCCTTTTATCGTCTTGTATCCCAATTTCTCCCTCCCGCGTCGCCCTCGGTGGCGTACGGCCGTGGCGCCTCTCTTCTCTGCCATTATTCGTCTTTCCGCCCATCCTCCAACCCCCTTCTCATTATTCTATTCGCGTGCACGCCTTCAGAACCTACTGGCGGTGTGGCGTCGTGGCGCATTGCGCCGCCTTCTCAGCCTTTGCCCTCAACCGACGGCACCTCTCTAGTCTCCGCTCCACCCCATGACCATGGGGGGACGCTGTGCGCAACGGACGGCTGGTGTATTGGAAGCAGCGATGAGAAGGGAGTATGAACAGGTCAGTTACCCTTCATGTGTTGTCGACAGTCCAAACTCAGGTACTACATCGGTGAGCACTCTATTCGCTCGCCACGCTCGCCACTGACGCATTTGATCACTTAGACGCAATCCTTGGTCACTGACTCCTACCTACGCAGTCTACCGACTACTCGAATGCGCCCCACGACGTCTCGCCCCTAAGCTTGCCATGAACACGGTTCATAACGTACCCCACGGCCCTTCACCAAACCACCTACCAACCAACTCCTATGCACGCTGCGAACACAGCCCACAGCCCTCAAGATCCTCCACTACAAGGTCGCCGCCAGGGTTTTCTGCATATTCAACGAGCAAGATTTGCAGATTGCCCACCTCTCCGAACCGCATCAACAGCAGCAACACCATCAACAGGCCATGCAACCTCACGGCGCTCCCCCCTCACTCCAACCTGGCCCATCCTCGTCCACTATCAACAACACATCCTTCAACTTCGGCGCTAACAACGGCAGCGGACCACCACGGCGGACCTCGTCGGGCATGCAGCCGGGAATTGGCATGAGTGGAATGGGTGGAAGCATGCGAGCGCCGGGGAAGAGCCTCCTTACGTTCAAGCACATCCTCAACCGGCTCCAGGGCGAGCTCCAAAAGAGCCGTGAGACGGGGACGGAGCTGCAGAGCCTCAATGGGACCATGAGCGAGGAAGCAATGCCGTTGTCGACGAACGGGGCTCCCACTACGCATCTGGGGCGCTGATAAGAGATAGATGTAGATGGCGCCGTCAGTAAACAAGACACGACACGACACGCCACGCCGCGCTGGCTGGGATGGCGACGAATGAAACCTCGAAATCTCGAACACTCGAAAACTCTGTCAACGTGGTGCTCGAAGCACCGAAAGCTCGAAGCACTGAAAACTCGGACGCTCGACCACCCGAAACCTCGAAAGCTCGCACGCCCGAAACCTCGAAACCTCGAACACTTGGATACTTCGATACACGAACACTCGACCACTCCAAAACTCGGATACTCGCTCGAAATTTCGACCCTAAGAAATAGTGAAAGCTCGAAAACTCGGATACTTGAACACTCAAACACTCGAAACCTCGAACACTTGCAGGCCTGACAACTCCGTGTCCGCGTCCGCTCCGTGATGGGTGGTCTCTGGTGTCAACGAGGTGCTCGATGCTCGATTTACATCACACGTCGCACATCACACATTCCACATTTCACATTACAGCAAGCAAACAAGCAGGGCGTGACACGACGGCGCTGTCCTGGGAGCGAAAGCGAACGCGACATCGACGAAGAGAAATATGACGAAGAGGACGACGGCGCCCTGAATAGGACTTTTTTCGAGTCTGCATGCATAGAGGGGTGTATGGGATGCGAAACGAAAACGAAGGCCGTAGAAGGAAGGGACTTACGTTGTATGAAATAGGGGTGGTCGAGTTTTCATAACGAAGTTGTTTTGGCTCGTTACTGAAACTCGACCATCAATGACATCGTTTGTTTACTTGATCCACAAATGGACTTGAACTCCCACAGCCATGTGTTTTCCTGCAAGTAGCGGTGAGGCCTAACTGTTATACCAGGTGTTTCTTCGATAACTGTTCTTTCTGGCCCTCACACAATGTTCGCTTCAGCAACAGAAAGAGGCAAGTTTCAGTTCCTGTCTTGTTTTGACAAAGAACTTGACAGATCCTTAGTTTCACCGCCATCTTTGGCTTTGTATGGAAGACCGAAGGATTTCTTAACAGCCTTTGAAAGTCCCGTTTTTGCGGATACATGCTGGCATTGGCCAGCATCCGACGTCCGAGTTGACGAGCCAGTGGAGAAAATCCTTATCCCTCCACCACCATTGCAGAATCCAAACCCTAAGCGCTCTTATCCTCAGGCCCAAGAGTATCATCTCAAAGCTGATGATCGCTTTACTCGTGGCTATCGGTATGGAACACCCTTTCTAGAGAGCCAGAAGGACATCCTGAAGGCACGCATGCTGAGTGTCGATTCTGTACCCCAAGTTATTCCCAGGATCTTTGATGATGGCACTGTTCAATACGATCCTCTGCCTGGCATGGTTCGCATGGTACCTGGAGTACCTTTCACATATGAAATGCCCGACTCGGAGATGGTTGTCACCATTGGATGTCTACATACTCCCGACTCTCTGAGGGAATATGGCAAAGACGGGCTTCAAGCCTTGGCATTCTTGGAGGAGATATATGTTCATACTTTCGGAAGAAAGGGTGATGAAACTCAAGGACTTCCAGAGATCAAACCGATTTATAGCCTTCCCAATCTCAAGCGTAATGCCCGCTCTGGACCTGCTGTAGCAAACTGCTATGACGGATCATATAGCCTTGCCTCCACTGTCGGAGATGGCGAAGGGTCAGGATGCTTTCTCCCTGCTGCTCAAAATGACACCATGATGGCGAAAATCACTATTGGTCCAGTATTACGTCTCTTGCATGACACTTGGCGGATACTCTTTCCAAAGAGCGTCTCAAAGATGGAGTATGATCTCGTGGAATTCGACTCCATCGATAATAACACATTCTCCTTTGGCGGACTCGATCCTGGACCAACCAGCCTTCAGATGAACGTAACTTCACAAGGTCGTAGCTTCAAGGAGGCAATTGGCGCCCAGGGTTCCTGGCACACAGATTTTAACGATTGCCCACTGCGATGGAGTATGATTGTAATGTTGTTGCGTATCCCCCTCGGTAAGTTTCTCCACATGTTTATTATGTTCTTGACTGACATGTACTAGGTGTCGATCCTGGTACATTCACTCTAGGCAGATCAGGTCTGTTCGTACGCCATGGGGACTACCTAATTGTTGTGCTATTTATGAAAGGCCAAGACATGCACTGTGGCGGACCGCCTTACTGCCACCCTTCAAAGTGGGAATCATATATACAAGAGGTCGCTCATTTATATGATTCCACTGATTCAACAAACCGGGTCGTATATGTCTGCTATCCTTCTCGAGCTGCCACCGACCGGTTTACCAATATGGCTGTAACTCCGTCAACTCACTTTGGCAATGCCAACGCCACTCTCCCTCACAAAATCTCTCAACGAACTTTCGCAACTCACGGCGAATACATCCTTGGGGGTGTAGAGGTTTTTGCAAATCGCCTAGGACGTGAGGCTTTCTACAACTTTTGGAATACTCTTCAACTCTGTGGCCTGACTCTCGATCTCGACCCAAATCACATTCTGGCTAATATCTTCTACATGAACGGCAAAACTCGAACAAGATTGCTTCCTAATCCAGATGGGTATCACCCCATTCATAACCGGGATTGGCTGGTTCAGATGCGTGCATATTATCAGTGGTACACCGGAATATGCAATCATATACTCATACCCATTCACAAATCAGAATACAAGAAAAGACTGGCGGCTACAATGGGCTTGAATGATAAGCTGCAGGGTTTACCTGGTGTACCTCAGCCAACGGCTCTTTGTCACCCTATTCAGCAAAGTGAGGAACAGAGTTCACAAAATCCAAGAAGTAAGTTATATACAAGTGTTGGTTTACTATTTCCTGATGATTCACAGGCATAGACAAAGGCAAGAGAAAAGCAGTCTCAACCAGAATCACCTCCATGCCTCTTGCCAAGCGTCCACATCGAACAACCACAAGTCCAGTCGAAACAAATATGGAAGTTCCAACAGAGCAAGGGCAGAGTGGGCCTGAGTATGAAGTCGAGGAGATTCTTAGTTACAGATTACAGGTGTGTTTTTCATCTCACCGAACATAATTCTTCTCTAAATATAATATACTTGCCAGTTCAATGAAGGACCCCAGTGGCTTATCAAGTGGAAAGACTATGATTCAAGACATAATTGCTGGTGTTCTATACACGAGCTAGAGTAAGTTATGCTCTGTACTCCAGAATAACAGAAACTGAGCTTGATTCCTCAGAAATTGCAAGGAAATGTTGGCGAGCTATAATGAAGAACATGGGATAGAGGCTGTCGAAGGATATACCCAAGGGGTGTATTCATTTGAGACGATAAGCCGATTAAAATCCCTTTTTGATTCTGAACGACTTCGCAAAGAACTTGAAAGCATACGGGCGGAGCATCAGGCTGAAGAAGGTGTTTATCCCAGAGTCAATGACTCTGTCCTTGGGCAAACCTTGAAGACTGTCCGCCAATCTATTACGGGTCGTGCTGCGCAGAATGCAATATACCGAGAAGCATATCAAAACATACATGCGACTCCAGGTCAATCTCTTCTAACAATCTTTTCTCAATTCTCTACAGTTGGAGCAAGTCTACCAGAAGCAACAGAAAATCTTCGGATCTTGACGATTCTAGGAAGAGCCCAGAAAGCCGACATCTGCAGGACATTGCTCATAGTCTATGATTGGTTTTCATCATCTGGGCCGCGTATTGCGACATATATGGTCTCAGATGTCCTTAAGGGCAGCTCTGGAGACTTCCAAGAATTATATCCACAAGTGGCATCACTGGTCGATCTGGTTATACGCTATGTTCGGAAATACTTCCAGCACAAGGACCCAAAAGAGAAAAGAAGGGAGAAGCGTACAGGTAACGTCTTTGTTTTTCTAAACATCCTACTAGTATTGAAGATCTTTGTAGGGGTCACGCCAATATCTGAACCAGATATTCCATCAAGAATAGAGGCAGCTGATTTCGAAAGATATGGACTAACACAAGAAGGCTCACAAAGACGATTGCCAAAGTTCTTGGATTTACCGACGATCGCCCCACATCGAGTTACTCATGAAAATACGAGCCTCACCAAGGCGTGTACCATTATCCTTGTCGACCTTTGGGCTGCATTCTACATCGAGCCTCATGTCAAGGCGATGGATCCAATTCTTGTAGGAACTAGCTCAACAAAACGGAAGACAGACTGGATTGCTAGAGCCATCTGTCGAGGTGCTGTTCTAACACGCTTAGTGGAATGCTTTGGGAGTGAAAGCATATTCTACTCCTCCGAAATCGACTGGTTCCTCCGTACTCCCTGGGTCGTCTTTGGTAACGCTGGAAAGAACAACAACCGTGCACGGATTTTCTCTACCCAATCCATCAATAATGCTCGTGAGCTTCTAGCACCTATGGCAAGCATTCTCAAGGCGACACTAGCAGAAAATGAAACTTCCAAAACACTCGCAGACGAGATCTATCAGATCATATACAAAGATCTATTATCAACAGGTCATGAATCCCATGCACAAGGAGCGACTGGTTCAAGACGTACCACAACAGGACGAACTCCAAGAATACTTCAGCCAGTATGGGGACAAGTATCCTCTGAATGTCTTATTCCAAGTCACGACTCGGCTATGCTCAAACCTATCGCATTAATCCTCAGAGAAGCTCTGAACTACCGCTTGAACCAGCCCTATGAAGAAGAAATACTACATCGCATTCTCACTGGTCATGATCCAACGTCGATACGACCAGTACCCAATGACCAAGATCACTTTGATCCAATTCGTCAATTTTCACAATCAGCAGAGCTCTTTCGTAAACATCTTAGCCCTTTGTTGCTCGTCACAAGCCATGGGTTATCCAACCTCTTTGCTTGGTTCAGCACAGGTCAAGGCAACGGAACAAAGGAATTCCTAAACATGATATTTCCCTTCTTCTCAATCTCATCAGATTCACTTCTCTCCAAGTTCGATCAAGGTCTTACACATAACAAAGCTCTTTCTCATGCCGGAAAACCTATTCTGGTCACAAACACCAGAGTTTGGGGCCAACCAAGCTCACAGCTCTCGCTCTTCTCTTACCAAGTTGAAGGAGTTACCGAGAAAGAGGCGATGGACTCGAAAATTTCAACGCTTTTCTCTGATGACATACGATCACGCTGGAAAGATTTCCTTGGATCTCTCTACAACCAGGATCCGTCCCAGTATACAGGCCCTCGGCATAGCTGGTTGGAATGCACTCATTTCTTGAGGTCGTTCATGGTTGACGGCTTCAAGTCAGACACTCTAACCATGTTGCAATGTGCAAATAGTCTTGCCTTTGCTGGAATCGTAGACCCTCCAGACATTATCACTATGGGCTCGTGGATCTTCAACCATACTGGCCTTGGTGCTTACCGAGGACTCAATGAACTTGGCTTCAAAATCAGTAATATCACCGAGGCGGTTGCTGCATTTGCTATGGTTCACAACCACTTGCTTACGCATATTGGAGAGGACGGCAAGAATACTTTAGGCATGGCCTCTGACTGCTCAGCCATTGCGGTTGAACATATCCTTTGCAAGGTGACAAGATGGACAAAAGTGCTTAAGGGCAGCCAGATGTCTTGGGATGACTTCGAGTGTCATACTCAGTCGTCTCCAATTCCCTTGATGCTTTCTGAGAAGTTGATTGACGACGTTATAACATGGACAAAGGTGATTATTTCTAGTTCTACTAGTGTTTAATAACTCACAATTTGAATAGACCTTGGGTTGAATGAACACGTCAAAATTGTCTTGTATTATTTATTCATTGTAATGTATCTAGTGTGTAGTGGAATATAGTATGTGGTAGTGGTGTCTGCGTAATGTATTTAAGCATTATTATACGTATCAGGAGCGTCAATAAGAGAATGGATCCAGGCATCAAACTCAGTTGTAATAGAGAGATCGGCTAGAGGGGGTGCCCCAGTTCTGAGAGTCATAGCCTGATTCATCAAAATCTCAATCTCGGACGTGCAAACATGAATAGAGCCACCCTGGGATGAAGTTAGTGGTTGAAAAAAAGAAAGAAGTAAAAGAAGACTTACAGATAGAGCTGCGAGTCGGGCTGATATGTTATTAGTATCATCAAAAGCGCTCCGAAACGTGATCTGAGGCTTGTTAGCTTCATGAAATCAGTAGGATGTGAGACTTACATGAATAGCAGAACGATTGATGTCAACATACTCACTACCCGTTACACATTTAAGTAGAAGTCGGCTCCTTAAGGTATTATCTCGGCTATCAATGGTTCTCTTGTCCTCATTGACAACGATAGAGTCGGCCCGTGGATACCCACTTCCTCGAAGATAACACTTGAGATGGGCTATCCAGCCTTCTTCATCCACGCTAAGACCTAAAACTGTATTTGAAGGTTGAGGTCGAAGTAGATCAATGACTGTGTCTGGAGAGGTGACTCGGCGTCCCATGCCAATAGCTGCAATGATCTTCTCTGCAGTACCAGCGTCATGAAAGGTCTGGAAAGAATAAGTACAGTGGTGTAAAACAACAAAAATGGACTTACGTCTGTTAATGAACTCCAATTTAGGCGACGGAGCAGAGCATGAGAGCCATCGAGGCCCTGTAGAACATGTGTATAAATCTGCGGTTTCGTGGTGGCCATAACAGCAAAGCTCCCAAATATGATGCGTGCTGCAATCTTTAAGCCTTGCGATGTAACAGAGAACCCGCTCCATCGGTAAATCAGAGAAGCCTAGAATAATACATATATTAGAAGTGTTTTAGAAAAGATTCCAAGCTTACCATGGGTGGCGCACTCTCTGGAAGAAATTCTATAATAAGGTTGAATGGGTCAGTCCCAAGAGTGATATCGCCTTCAGTAAATGTAACTGAGCGTGAACGGTGTGTAAGGGAGGGCCAGGTGTCCAGACGAGTGAAAGTTGATGGAGCAAGAGCGTGAATGAAAGGAAAATGAACACTGTTAGTGAAGGAAGTAACTAAGTACGAAAGGAGAAATGGTGAAATAGGAAGTAAAGGAAAATCAAAGAGAAGAGTCAACCGAATCACAAGTCCATAAGTAGCAAACATAGCTAGGTCAGATGGCTCTGGTTCAACAAGTTCGTCTGATATAATAGAATCTTGATTTTCATACCAATGTTGACGGTTTTCGTTAATCATATATTGAAGGAGAGCTTGCCAGAACGATTTCATTGGCCCTGCTCCAACTCCCACACCGCTAAGAAGATGATAGTAAGTGAAACGAACAAGCAAGAATCAAATAATAACATACATCCAGACGTCGTAGGGGTAATTTGGGAGATTATCCAGGGAAACATTCTCGAGCTCTACCTCGGCAGGGGGAGGTGTTGAGTCGCCACCTAACAAACTCAGGAGTTTGAGGAAAAAAGCTTCTGCGGCCGAGGCAGCGTCGGAACTTCGAATACGAATAGTTTCATCATCTTCGGCATTGCTGTTTGTCATACTCGATATCTCTTCCCTCCATTGGACACCATAAGGATAAACATCTTCGTACTTGATGGGAGGAAACCCAAGAGGAAACTGTTCGTTTAAGGTAACTGGACTGGGGTTGCTAGTGTTGTCTGAGAAAAGAAGCGGCGGCGGGGAATGGGGGGAGGCAAGTTGCAGTGGTGGTAGCTGTAGATCACGTATGTCGTCTAGAGAGTCTTCAGGCTAGTTAAGTGATTATTAGACATTGGATCAGCAGCTGATTATTCTAACTTCACTTACTTCAGGCTCCTCTAGCACGCATCTATCCTCATAGCAGCCAAAGGCACCAAGATGTCGCTCATTGAGGCGAGGAGTCATAAAGCGAGACCATAATCTGACAGCCAGGCAGGCGTGTATTATGCCTGGGACCGGAAAATCTGGAATTGGCCCGACAATGACATGATCTATTGGTGCTAAAAGGAAGGTGAATAAACGATAGATGCAGAAATGTTATTGATGATTACCAATGAAGACAACTGGGATGCTATCTGAAGCCCCCACAGGCGTGTACATGCTCCATTTGTTACAATGCTTTTGAAGGTTAGCAATCGTGGTATTGATTTGACAGCTTGCAGGAATAGTTTGACGAAGAATGGGCCCCAAATGACTTCTGGGCTTTTTGTAAGCGTTCAGAAAATGCCAGTATGGCTTGTTTGGCGTTGGATTTGGATTAGGGCCAGGTCTTGTTGGACTGGATGTCAAAATCGGGGAAGTAGAGGCAGACAAACGGTGTATTTCCATATGGTTTACTAGGGCAGTGTTGATATAATTCACAATGGTGTCGCATTTGTTGCCAGAGTAGTTGATCTCAAAGGAGAGAGAAAGAGAGACAGCATTCGCAATGAAGTCGTCCATTTTCTGAGGCACTGGAGCACGTAGGGTTGTGAATAGACCTCCAGAGGATGTCTCATAGGAACCTTCAGTCTATAAAGACTAGGTAGTATCTCGCAACTTCAATGTATGAACCGTAGGACGTACTGGTTCAGGATGAATGACAATCTGAAAGCGAAAGTCTTGGCGCCCTGCTTCCTGACCTTGTCTCCCCGCACGTCCTGTAGAATGTAATGCAGAGCTTGACTGACGACGACGATTATTACTAGTAGGTAGAGTCGTCACAGGTAAAGGTGCAAAGGGAGAGGTTGCAACCCCTTGTCGTGATGATGATGGTGGAATCTGCGAGGAGGAAGGTGGGCGGTGCCTGATGGCTGCCTCTTGCCGTCGGTCATTGGTGGAGCCTTGATTCGAGGAAGTAGGTGGTGTCCAAGCTGGAAATAATGATATTCCAGGTCCCATGATACGCTGTGAGCTGAGTGGGGGAGCCGTGGAGGCTAAAGGAAGGGGAATGGACGACGGGATTGGTGTATGCTGATAATAAGGCTCGCCACAGTGACTGCAGGACGCTGTTGGTCCTTCATTGGCCTTGTATTATATGTTCAAAATCAGTAAAACAGACTCGATGAGAGACATTACAGCTAGCTCACAGAGGTGAATTCTGATGTGGCTTCACGACACCTGCGACTGGGGAGCATTGGGACTGCTGAAAGGGCATGGCTCGTCACAGAGTGCTGACAGGCACAAATCCTGGCGCCCGGAGACTAGATATTAGATATATATCAGATTCAAACCCTTTTCAATTTATGATGTGAATAGATCTTACCGCACTTATGAATCCTTGACACCGACATATTGTGCAGGGATGAGGGACCGAAGACATTGCCAAGTGTGTAGAAGGGGGGCATCTACAAGGTGAACCCCTCACTGAGCAAGCCACCAAGCAATAACTGTACAGGTTGAGCGGAACAATCCGCTGTCGTCAATGTCACTATCGTTGAGCAGAAAGGAAAACGTGTTACGACATACTGATCACTTGAACAGATTTGGCATGAGCCATTCCTTTTCAAGACTCCCATATAGGCGTGACCATAATCCCAAAAGCATAACCCCGAAAGCATAATCCCGAAAGCATAATCCCGAAAGCACAATTCTGAAAGCATGATCCAAAGGCACAAACATGAAGCCGACTCAAAATGTGAATATGTATGTTACATTCCAAATACATGAACATATCTTGTGGATACCAATCTTTTTTGTCCGCTCCGGTCCTTCATAGTGCAGCCTCCGCGCACCCTCCGCGCCGAGGTTGCCTGCTTCTACGTACCGAGACTTACTTGCTTGTGCATGTGCATGTGCATGTGCGTCGGGGCCTCGAGGCTTTGCGGATGAATCGGTGATTGTGCTGGTGGCTGGTGGTAACTAGGCGACGTGCGCATGAGCATTGAGAGACTTCGACGGGTTGACCGTATGGTCGTATGGCGACACGGTGACACGACGGTACGACGACGACAGATACGCCCGTTGTAGGCTAGATAAGGAAGGTAGAGGTGGGCACACGTCAACGTTCGACGTTCAACGAGCATCAGAAGACGTGAGGAAAGTTCGAAGGATCGTCTTCGTTCACGAATCAATGAACTGGATCGTCGCAAACACGGAGTCGTGAAGATTCCGGGCCGTCGTGAAGATTCCGGGCAGTCGTGAAGATTCCGGGCAGTCGCTCGGTGTGTGCGCACTTGGTACTTAGTGCTTAGTGCTTAATGTGCAGCTATTCAGATCTCAGAATGGGCATATTGCGCGTCTAGATCTGCGGTTTAGTGGGTGTTCGGGGCCCGGTTGTTTGTATGTTCTGTTGCTTCTTTTTACAGTTGCGTCTCGACCTCATCCTCACCGGTACCCAAGATCTTCTCCAGCACACCCCTTCCCCCGTCCCTCCTTGGGCCCTACTCGCTTCCCCACCTCAATCCAACGACCCCACCATATCACTGACGCGTGTCAAAGTCATAATTGTCAACGTACGACCGACACATAACACATGGAATCCGCAATCCCAGGCCTCAGGCCCTCCCAAAATCGCCAATCGTACGATCGCAGCCAATAAGAAATAGGTTCCGTGCAATCTTTGGGCTGCTTCGGGACTCGAGATTCGAGATTCGATGCTCGACGGCGCTGCTACTATAGTCTATCTGCCATCTACGTGATACTTGCTTTTGTCATTGATGTTATGATATTACGATATCCTCTTTTCACGCTGGTATGCCGACACGCTGATTGGGAAATCGACCCCTTCGTCGTTCTCTGGGGAACTTTCCATCGCCCCCGCCCAAGGGTACCCAGTCACCCAGTCATCACGGTCTAACGGTCACCTCTGTGCACCCGCACCTTCTCGTCAATCGTCAATCGTCAATCAATCAGCCTTACAGCAGGATCAAGTCCAAGCGTGTGTACTCGTATGTACTCGTACTCGTAGGTTACGATCTTTGCGCTCTTGATTGGAGTTGGAGATTCTGTCCTTGTTCTCTTGATCTTGATTCCGCCCTTGTTCTCTTGATTCCGTCCTTGTTCTCCGCGGTTGACGGGATCGAAGCATCGCGTCCAGGTGATTGATTCATCGTCTGATCGATTGATAGTTTGATAGTTTGATCGTTTGATTGTTTCTGTGCATCTCGACATCTTCGTGGACTTTGCATCTATCAACTGCTACCAAACTTCTTATACTTAGTCAACATGCATGATGCTGTGATTGATCGTGTGTATATCGTATATCACAGAGAAGGGAAGGAAGGAAAACATCAGGATAACATCAGGATCAGGATCATGGATGTCGTCAATCAATCACAGTAAGTACTGCGAGCCAGATCGACGCTCTGAGTCTTTGCGCGGTGGCGTGGCCCCTCGCCTTGAACGTGTCCACTGTCAGCCACTGTCCTCGACCTCCCTTTACATACCGGTTTACCCCCTTGGATGCTGCCCTTGAACGTCAAAGTACTTATGGATGAACGCCGTGTGGCGGTCCGCAGAAATCTGAAATGTGGGGTCTGGGGTCCGCGGTATGAAGTCTAGCCTTCTGCAGTCTGATCATGAAGTCTGATCATGAAGTCTAGAGGAGAAGGCACTATCCACTATGCTGCAGTTCCGCGACGCGCGACGCGGTAACAACTTGCAAGAAGTGCAGTTGCAGTACTAGTCTTGTCGCGTGTCATCGAGGCGGGACGGTCTGCTGTGTCGTTGAAGAGCGGGGAGCGAAGAGCGGGGAGTGGGGAGCGGGAGCGGGGAGTGATAGTCATAGGAACGCGTGCTTGGATGACTTGTATGCGCGTTGGACGAGTGCTTTGGGCATTGGGGTTGTGAGGTTGGGATTGGGGTGGGTTGGGGTGGTGGGGTATTTATTTGGTTCTGCTGGGACTGGGGGCGCGGGGTCGGGTGGACGAGCGCTCGCTCGCTCGCCTTTATGAAGCTTCGCGGGTGCCAACACAGACACTCCGTGATGCTCCTCCTCCTCCCCATCTCCTCATCTCCTCATCTCCACGTCGGTTCGTCGACCGTCCGTGGACTCTGGGACTCGGGAGTAGGGAATCGCGGAAAGATCAGGCGTCACGGAGGTATATCAGTATATAAGTATATCAGTATAATTGCCGATATTGCCTCATCTTTGACGTTGTGCATTGTGCGGCATTGATGACTGAAGAACTGAAAACCCGAAAAAGTGGGAAGGCGCCACTGCACGTAGCACGGACGCGACGCGTTGCGGGTGTAAATCCCGCTGGGGACTCGGGTGGCTCGAATGTATGGGTGTATATCTGGGTGTATGAGCGTGTATATCTGGGTGTATGAGCGTGTATGTCTGGGTGTATGAGCGTGTGTGAGCGTGTAATAAGGAATAAGGAATAAGTATATTGGATGATCGATAATCGGGAAGATCGCCAGGGGGCGGTGACTTGGCTCGTCCTAGTGAATGGTTGAACATTTGATCAGTTGGATAGCTGAAAATTTGATTAGTTGAATGGTTGAATGGTTGATGGTGGGCTGGTTGATTAGTCGACTAGGGGGCTATTAGTATACGCATGATGCATAACGCATATCCCGGGGGTATATAATACCGCCGGGGATGCGTATCGACGGGACGCGTATATATATGCCCGCCGGTACGAGCTACGCGGTATGGGCCTGGAGGGGAGCGGTGATGTTGTGTAAGTTGTTCGAGTGTTCAAATGTTCAAGGTGTAAGTACGTGTAAGTTGTTCGGGTTGTAGAATGAGGGAGGGGGGGAAGGGGGAGAGCTGGGAGAGGTATAGAATGAGGGAGGGGGGAGAGGTGTAGAATGAGGGAGGGGGGAGAGGTTGCCGGGTGGCGGTATGGACGCCGCATATTGGAATATTGCAAACCACCGCACTTCGGTGACTTGACTATCGGCGTGGCTGTGGCTGTGGCTGGACGTCTGGATGGATGGATGGATGGATGGTCCCCGGTGGGTCTGCGTACGTACGTCAAGTTGCGTTCACGTTATATTGGGTGGTTCCTGGGTAAAGCCAGGCTCCTAGAACCAACACGCGTCGTATCGCGAGTTGAGCTCCGCAGTCTTTTATCCGACTCACCGTGTGAAAAAGACAAACAGGAACAAAGTCAAACTAAGAGCTCGAACTCGCGATAGAGCGGCTGGCAAGAATGACACAGACGCCCGAAAAGCGCCGTCCTTGGCACTCTTATCAGTATCTCATATTATTGTTATCGTCTTTATTTTCCTTTGTTTATTTAATGCTCTTAATCCTTTCTGGGTAAACGACGCGTCGCGTTAATTACTCTCAACCTTTACAGGATCAACACCAAATGCCCTCTAATTAATGATGCCATCAATAGACTGGACACCTCAGCGAATTCGCAATGTCGTCCAGAAATATTTCCGAAAGCGCGCTTGCTGGTACCAGCTCGAAATTGCGTCAGCATTGTATCGCGGGTTCGACGTTGTTGGCGTTGCAGCGACTGGATCCGGAAAAACACTCTCGTTTTTTACCCCTTTGTTAATGGCGCTGGAGGAGGGTCGTGATAAGATCATATTCATTGTGACCCCACTCAACCTTCTTGGAAAGCAAAACAGCGAGCAGCTGAATTCCGCTGGGCTGACTGCTGTTGCCGTGTCAGCAGAGAATTCCAGTCCGGAAACTATTAAAGTAAGTGAGCCAATGTCCTGATAAATTATCTCAAAATAATACTGACCTTCGCAGGATATTGTGTCCGGGAGATATCAAGTTATTATCATAAACCCCGAGATATTAATGGGTCCTGTGTGTCTGCAATTATGGAAAGATAAGAAGTTTACCTCGAAGATCTTGAACTTTATCTTTGATGAGGGGCACTGCGTCAGTCAGTGGGGCTCGTTTCGGAAGGAGTACTTGCACTTGGGAAATCTCAGGTACATCCTCCCAGACACGATCCCATTTCATGTTGCTTCCGCCACCCTACCACCGCCGGTTCTTGCTGATGTCTCGGAAATCCTACGACTACGTGCCGGCCGAACGAAGCATGTCATCCGATCGAATAACCACCCAAATATCGCCATTATTGTCCGAGAAATCCAGTATGCACTGGGCAGCTATCACGACTTAGCTTTCGTCATCAAAGACAACTTCGGAGTCAGTGATCCAGCACCTCCGAAGTTCGTGATATTCTTCGATAGTACGCGAGAGACCGAGGATGCCGCCCATTACTTGCAATCACGGTTACCAAAGGAATATCGAGACCGAATTCGGTGGTTTCATGCCACGATGACCTCTGAGTACCGTGTCGATGAATATGAAGCATTCAGACGGGGTGATGTGTGGGGATTGTGCGTAACGGATGCGTTTGGGATGGTCAGTGCTTTATATGGACGCCGTCGCTAGTCGTTCGAACTGATTCTTGCATTGAAGGGGCTTGATTTGCCTGATATTGCTCTCGTAATCCAGTGGAAGACTCAGGCGAGTCTTTGTAGCATCTGGCAGAGGATTGGGCGTGCTGCACGAGGGGAGGGTACCAAAGCGAAGGCTGTTATATTCGCCGAGAAGAAGTTTCTGGACACGAACCGACAGAAGAAGGAGAAACGAGCAGCAAATAAGCTGATAGCTTCACTAAAGAAGAGACAGTCCGTTAACGAGCTCCAAGGTCGTGCTTCCAAGCGAATTGCCCTAACTCCTGCTGCTACTCACGCTGCACAGGCTTCGGGGTCCTCTATCAATCAGGCAGTTGATTCGAGGCTTGGCGTAGGGATAATCGCAGGAGATAAATCAGAAGAGGTGTCAGTGGTCGTAACTGAGTTGCAGCGCCAAAGCTATCATGAACAGGCACGTCAGTACCGCACTATTTCGCAAAGTACAGCAATCAATCATACTGTTATCGAGCCTGCACTGGATGACATGCTGAATGCACAATTGCGTGGGCTGCATTGTCGTCGACAGCCGCCGACTATCTACTTTGGGAATGACAAGTGTCGTAAGCAAGCCATCTTACCTCCGCTGTGGGAGCTACTACTCACACGCATGTCTTCAGCACAGGACGACCACATGTTCTGCGACAACAACAACCCCGAGGGCTGCGCACGATGCAAGCCAAAAGCATGCACACCATGCTGTGATTTGTGTTCGCCCGAGCTCTTAGAACTCTTCAACAACATTGCCACAGTATCTCAACCAGCCCGTGCGCCATGTCGATCATCAACCAAAGCGTACACACCTACCCAAGCCGACAATGATCTCAAGAACACCCTAATTGCATGGCGCAAGGTCAAGGCCCCCTTGATTCTTGGCAACCTTGCATTCCGGCGGTTTGGCGTCCAGCCATTCCTCTCAAACGAGATCATACAACGGATTGTCGACTGCGCTCACATGAACAAAATTCGGACGGTCAACGATCTTGTCAAAGAAACTCGATGGCGCCCCGATCGAATCCGCGACTGTGGTATCGAGCTTGTCGCACTGATCAAGCAGTTTGCGCCACAACCTGCCGACACCTCAGCCATAGCTCCTGCCACTACAACTGGTTCCAGCATAGAAGCAGCGGCTCCACCCAAGCGTACCCGCACACCAGCAAAGGCTCGCCAGTGTAGTGAGTGCAAAGGCTACGGACATAATAGTACATTGATCTTCACCGACTTTGCTACCACACTCACAACCCTCGCTTTTCTAGAAGCCAATGCAAATTGCCCCGCAAAAAAGGCAAGGCGCGAGGCCGAACATGCGGCCAACGCAAATGTGCCATTGAACGAAAACCAACCGCCCAACATGGCCCCACTAAACCCTCGTCCATTGCTGTCACGTAAGTCTCACCGTGGCATATAGATTCCATTTCTAATTGCAAATTAGACCGACATGACAATCTGTACATACATGCACTCCCAGCGACACCATCAGCTTCTGCAGCCAGCACATCGTTCCCTCCCCACCCTCCATCCGCTTTCTATCAATGGTCCGGCCCTTCAAACACGTAGTTCTAAACATCCAAGTCGCCATCGTCCTCAACCTCTAATTCAGCTTCGTCCAATTCTTCTCTTCCTTCGCCACTATCTTCTTCACCACTATCTCCATTGTCGTTAATTTCGTCGCCACCATTTCCCACTCTTTTGTCACTGTGTGTTTCTTCCATGTGCTCGGTTCCCACCCCACCTACTACTTCCCCTCTAATTCCCTTGGCTTCCTTTATCAACCCCAAGTGCATACCCTCACTTTTCTTATCGGGAATACAATAACTCGCTTTCCGTCCTTCGACAAACTCATTTGCCCTAATCTCATCCATATACACCCCAAGTGCTTTGAACGCGGTTGCTAACTTTGCAGGAGAATGCTTAATCGTTCGATGGTCAAGTCGGAGCATTTTCCCCATCTGGATCCGGATGTTCTTGAACGTCTCGATAAGAGGCGACTCCTTGAGGATTCGCGCCTTGGTATGGTTTGAATACTTACCACCGTAGATCCGTTTCAGGTAAAGGTTGTTATGTTCAACCCACCAATCTACCCCCCGGAAATGCCCAGCTCGGCCTGTAGGATTGCATAGTATGTTCATTCTTATCGCCCGTCTGTAAGATAGATGTTAATAAACAGTTTAACCAACTTTAGATGACTAACTCACTGCAAACGGGGGAAACGTGCATACACAAAATGGATGTCGCGTAAGTATTTCACCAGTTGTGTCGCATACTTGTGCTTTCCGCATCCTCGGAAAATGAATACCCACGGCATGAAGCAAGACTCGAGACGGCCAATATCACCCTCGTTCATCGCATACGTGAGTTCTTCGTAGAGTAAAAAGTATTCTTGCTGAAGTAGACTGTTTTCCTTGACCTGGTCGCGTTCCCCAGGGTTCTGTTGGCGCATTTCATGGAAGTCCGGACTTGCAACAAAGTTCTTAGCTAGTTCAAGGGACAAATCTTCGATCTCTTCCCAGGTAGGCCCTTTCTTTGCGAATTCCTCGAGCGTGGCTGTCTGATACCTCCGAGACGTAGCCACTTTCCACGAGTTCAACCGCGACACAATCCCTACATGCTCGATCACTTCATGCATGCGCCTAAACCCCGGCTTCGTTTCGATCTTTGCGGTCTCCTTTTTGCGCAAGATGCCTACGAACTTGATGAGACTTGACGGGTCCTTGCGCGCATCCTTGTTTTCAATACAAATCCGCCAGATAGCGTCGGCACATGCCATCTTCAAGTGGAACATCCCCATCAAGTAGATGACACACTGGCGCCTCTGCCATGGTGTCTTCTCTACCGATCGTGACGCCTGAAAGCTCTGGATTCGCTCGCCGGTAAGCAAGTCCCCATGAACCAATGTGATGTAGTTTTTGATATCTGTGACTTCACTCGCTCCGTCTTCTGCAGGGTCGCCAATGTTCGCTTGCTTGAATAAGTCAGCAAGTGCTTCACCGTTTCCCTGTGGAGTGGAAGGGCTGATATCCATCATCCGTGCAGGTACTTGTGTCGATTTCACTAGCGGGATTTCTGTTACCACCTCAGGCTTTCCTAGATCCTTGAAGAACTTCGAAAATTCTTTTGGTCCATGCCGAAGGAGATCACGACGAAACACCCAGGCCCAAAAGCGCTCGCGGCGCAACAATTGCGATGGATGGTCCTCCTCCTCTGGGTGAAGGTCAAGGAGTTTGTCCTCACTAACAAACGGCTCATGGCCCTGTCTGTCGCGGTTGAGGAACGACCTTTCCCAGAGCTCTTTGGAGCAATCAAGGTCCTCTCGAAGCACACCATGATCCAACGGAATCAGTGTTCCGGACGTTAAGTGAACCAGTGTCTCATGCGGCTTCTCAAGTGTTGGCACCGTATGTTTCAGTTCGATGTCGACATTATCGTAGGCAAATCCTGCCGTGAGTGTTCTCCCTACTTGCTTCAAGTCATGTGTCGACTCTTTTGATAGGCTCGTAATGGCGTCATTGATTGTGGTTGGTGTCACGGAGATACCAAGACGTGCGAGTGTCTCAATAACATCTTCCGGGGTGTTGCATGAATGAAGGAACAGTCCTATCATGCATTGGAAAGAATTGCAACGTTGGTTGGTGTTTAACAACATGATGCACATTATTACAACCTTCCGCTAACATTTTCTTCATTCAGCATTCAATCCATCAGGGCTCGACTTGAATTACTCACAATTGTTGAGATAGACACTCTGCCCTCATGTGCCCGGTCACCCTCTTCGTCGTCGTCGCTCTCCGAGTCTGCGTCAACGTCCTCCGATAGGTCGACATCCGCCGGACAGAACTGCGCCAGAGCTGCTTCGCGCGCAGCTATTCTCGTTTCGTAGCGTTCCTGCTGGCGCCTCTCACGTTGTCGATTTATCGATGGATCCGCGCTGAGCAACTGGTCATAGCATCTCCACAAATCTGGCGCATGACTGTGAAAGAGATCAGCAAGCTCGTCCAAGTCGAACTCCTGCAATGACAATGCCGTAGCCTTTGATGCTCCGAAATGCAGCCCAGCTGCCTTCCTCGACAGTTCAGCAACTTGATCTGCATAGATTTGCGACGCGGTTCGACATGCCCACTGCCGAATATCCGCAACTGATGCAGGGTGCGAAATCAAGCTGTCCATGATTGTTGTCGTGGTATTGGCTGCATCGCCTACGTTCGTATTCGTCGATTCACTAGCAACGAATGCGACGACAAGGTCCGCGATGGAGATGTTGTGATCTCGTAGAAGAGAACGAAGTTGCGCAACAGGCTGCGAGGTGAGTGGCATCTTGATCCGTTGATCTGATTCCATCAAACTCACACTTTAATACTTTTCTGCAGTTACTGATTACTACGCTACGTATACACCTATACTCGGTGCGCAGTTGGTGGCGCCGTCGATGACTCTTACGAGGAATCCCATTACTTCCTAGTACGTAGCCCGTTCAACAGCTAACACTTAGCTCAACAGCTAACACTTAGTTGTTGTCCAAACATGGTAATAGACATGAAATAAACAAGCCATAATACTAGTCGTGAGCACAGCTAAGGGTAACTGATAAGAGTGCCAAGGACGGCGCTTTTCGGGCGTCTGTGTCATTCTTGCCAGCCGCTCTATCGCGAGTTCGAGCTCTTAGTTTGACTTTGTTCCTGTTTGTCTTTTTCACACGGTGAGTCGGATAAAAGACTGCGGAGCTCAACTCGCGATACGACGCGTGTTGGTTCTAGGAGCCTGGGGTAAAGCATGAGGGTTGAGGCCTGAGGGTTGGACGTTGGGCGTTGGACGCCGGGCTCGGAGTATTCACATTTCACATTTCACGTCTCACGATTGGAGATGGTTGGATCGCCGGGGATGCGGGCGTACCTCATACCTCGTATATCGTATCATATATCGTATATTGATATTGAGTGAATGGGAATGTGGTGTGGTGTGGTGTGATACAATGGAGTATATTGGCGTTGGGGTTGATATATAGAGTGATGCACGCGGCCCGCTGTTCTCCCGGACCAGGATTAGGACCAGGACCAGGACCAGGACCGGGGCATGAGGAGGGGTATGAGGGGGCATGGGGGAGGGCATGGGGTCGGAAGCGCGGAAGAGCGTACCGGAAACTTTCAACTTGCTTGACGCATTGATGCGTTGATGGGCGATCCCCGAGTGCCTTTCTACCACATACCACATGCCGCATACCGCATACCGCATACTGCAAAGATCCTGCTTTCGCGGCACCGGCAAGTAGGTGGTTGCAAATTAAATCAAAGTGGAATATGCCCATCATGCCCAGCATGCCCGAAGTGCTGATCACGTCGACATGTCTGTGGTTGGAATATTGACGTGATCAAGGAGGATATGTATATGAGGGTGTGAGGGTGTGAGGGTGCGGGATTTGAGAGGTTGGGAGGTGAGATCTTGAGAGGTGAGATGAGAGGTGACGTCGGCGCGCTGCCACAGTGCCAGGAGACGACAGTGGACGACGGTGGACAGTGCGGATGGAAGGCGGTGAGAGGGCGCGCAGTGTTGTTGTTGTTGTTGCTGTTGATGGTGGCAGCGTTGATGGGGGTTTGAGGCGGAGGGAAGGGGGCCGGTGCCAGAGGGTGGGCGATCCGATACTGTTGGCGCTGACAATGTTGACGATGATCGATGACCCGGAATCGAAGGCGCTTGCAGAGATCGGAGAGCGCGAGAAGGAGAGATTCAGAGAGGGAGGCCGAGGCCGAGACAAGGAGGCGTGATGCATGGGGGCAGGACTGGTATGGAGGTAGAGTGCTGGAATTGCCATGAAACAGTGGAACGGCGCAGTGTACACTATTGGCTTGTATAGAGAGGCATAGATAAGAATCGTTTGCAAACGCGTCGAGCGATGGCCGGAATGGCAATATGCATATACCAATCGTCTATACACCGTGCACCAACCGTGGCGCAGTCGATAGAATGTACGTGATGTATACGGAGGAGGTGAATAGATCTGGATCTGGAGGCAAAGTTTCACGAGCATATCGGAGCCCTGTAGACCCTAGCAACCATCCATATATGGCACAACGCATTCAGATAGGATTGGAAGGAAGGGGATCTGAGATGCGTATCATTTATCATTTTCATCGAGAAATCGAACGTTTGTTTTGTTACGGTTTCGGTGCGTAAGCGAGCCTCGAGGCCCGTTCTCGGATCGCCCGCCTGCTGTTTACTGCCTCCGCCGTATATAGTCCGCTCGTCTCTTCGCTCAGCACGTCTTTGCGCCTACGCCTACCAGCTGGTGCTACTCCCGCTATACTTCCATTCTGCATATAACCATATCCATCTCCATAACGGCACGATTCGAATAACGAATGGCAACCACCGCCCACACCCACACTAGCGCAAACGGGAGAACCTCTCCAATTGCGACACTCCATTACGACCATACTCTAAATACGCGCACCTATAATTACGCTAGCGTGCGTATGGAGGGTATGGCAAGTGCGCACAGGAGAACGACGTCCGTCGACTCGAGCTACTCCGCCTTCTTCACCTCCGGCCTGCTGTCGCCCCCCTCGTCCCCTGCTATGTCCCCCACCTCCCCTACTTCCCCTTCTTCTCTCTCAATTTCACCGTTCTCTTACCCCTCCTCCGCATACTATAACCCTCCATCCTCCTCGCGCCACAATCCGAAAAGTAGCAGAATGCAGATGAAGGTCGACGTGAACGTAAACGTGAACGTCAACCCGAGCCGACAGCTACCGTCGACGTCGATGCTCGAGCTCGCGTCGCCCAGCGAGGCGTACGGCGGCGACGCGCTCTATTTCGTTGCGCTGTTACAGCAGATGGAGGACGACGAGTCCGACATTGGCGTAGGAGGTGAACAAGATGATGTTGAGGATGTTGAGGATAAAGGTGATGGGGAGAAGGATCTGCGCGAGCTGACGAGCTTCCTGTCGCTCGATGCGTCCTCGGCGTCGCAGTATACGCGCTCTACGAAGACGAGGACGAGGACGAGGTATGTGTCCTCCCACTTCTGTTTCGACGTTCCCTGCCTTAGTTCGAGTACATCGTTTGCCTACTTCGTGATTGTTCCACTGCCCCCGTCCCCTTCTACTACGTCCCACTTCCCCACTTCCCCACTTCCCCTCACACTTCCGTTTCAATTTCAATTTCAAAATCTCACCCATCTCCCTTCACCCATCTCCCTTCCCCGAATTCGTCCATTCCTTCGTTATGCATTCTGTTGTGTATTATGTATTCTTTGTGCATTTTGTATTATGTGTTACATGTATGATGTTTGCACTTCGCCTCGTTCTACCGTTTCCCTGCCTGCCTGCCTTGCACGTTCTCCATTCCTCGATTCGAATCCATTGCTGACGCTATTCCTACGTACACAGTTCATCGACGACGCGCTCTCCGCTCCCCGCCTCCCGCTCCCACCCCCGCTCCCATCCCCACGATCAACCGCATTCACCGCGTTCACCCACCGCGAGCACGACATCCACCTCAACATCCACGTCGGCTTCGGTATCGCCCGTAACCCCGCCTTCGTATCCATTCTCGCAACACCAACACCAACACCAACAACATCACGCATATCACGCATATCACTCGACTGCACACCCCCATCCGTATCACTCTGCTTCCGCTTCTGCTTCTGCTTCTGATTCATCAATGCCAATGCCAACGTCAACGTCGACGCCAGTTCTAGATCTTACGAACACGGACGGTCGCGGTAGTGCTAAATCGGACAACGGCGCCGGTGTCGCTATTGTCGCTAAACACACTAACAACAACAACAACGCCAACAACAACAACAACGCCACCACCACCACCAACAACCCCAACAACACCGCCGAACGCGCCGCCGCCAAGGCGAGGACGGACCACCCGCGGTCGTTCCTGCCCTCGCTCCGGCACCACTCCCCGTCGCATCCTCCTTCCCTTCTCTCGCCTCCCCCAACCTCACTCCACAAAATCCCGTCCCTGGCGCTCCCCCCGCCTGTCGTGTCGTCTTTCGTGTTCGACGACTCCGAGTCTGACGATGACGATGACGATGAAGGGGAAGAAGAGGAAGAGGAGGAGGAGGAGGCGTGCGCCCTCGGCGGCCCGGCTCAACCTGCCCACCGCCATCCACATCCACATCAACATCGCCATCCACACCACCATCCACATCAACATCGAGACCGGACGGCGCACCGCACGGGCGCGCACACGGCCCCGCTGCTCGCGGCCTTCCCCGCCCCGCCGCGCACGTCGCTGGCCCTGAGGCTGTCCCTGCACCTCCCGAAGACGTCGTTCTTTGATGAGTTGGAGGATGGGGGTGGGTTGGTTGGGGGAGAGGAGGGGGAGGAGGGAGGGGAGGGGTTGGTTGTGAGAGGGGAGAAAGAGGAGGAGGAGAAAGAGGAGGGGGTAAAGGAGGAGAGGGAGGAGGAGGAGGAAGGGGCGAGGGAGTCCTATCTATCCCTCACATCGCCGACCTCGCCGCCCCCTCGATCTCGACCTCAACCCCGACCCCAGCTTCGGCTTCAGCTTCGAACATCTTCTACCCGGCCTTCGCATACGCGCACACCCTCGATCACGCTGTCCCCGCTGTCTACGCTATCCGTCCCCAAACGCGCGCTATCTACTTCCAAACGTGCGCTTTCCAAGTCTAACTCTGCACGACGGACGGTCGGGAGCCGGAGGATACGTGCGCCTGCGCCTGTGACGGCTTCCGCGCTCTCCCCCTCGCTCTCCCCCTCCTTCACCCGCTCCGCGCTCTCCCCCTCCCCCTCCTCCACGCTCTCCTTCACCCGCCCCTGCACACGCCCGGGCACGCACACGCGCACGCTGTCGCAGAAGGCGCGGGGGCGCGGGAAGAGGTGGACGCAGGTGAGCACGACGTCGTCTGCGAGCGTGTCGACGGGGTACAGGACGTGCATGCGCGCGGACGCGCTGGCGGCGCTGGAGGGCCGGGTGTGGGGGCGCGGAGGGGTGTGTGGGCGCGGAGGAGGAGGGGGTGTCGTGGAGGTGGGGGGACGGGGTATAGAGGGAGGGGAGGGAGAAAGGGGAGAGGGAGGGGAGGTGCTGATGAGTACGTGGTCGGACGAGGAGGACGGCGAAGAGGAGGATGGTGAAGGGGACGGTGCAGATGGCGAGGACCTTTGGGAGGACGATCTCGAGGAGGACGAAGATGGGTATGCCGAAGAGTGGGCGGGAGGGGACGGAGGGGATGGAGTACGGACGGAGAGAAGAGCGGAGATGTCGTGGATGGACTTTAACCAGCCCAATGTTCTCGCCCCCCACTCCGCGTCAGCCACGTCGAATATGTCAAATATGGCGAACGAGTCGAGCAAGTGGGGAGGGTCAAGGGGGCTGTCGAGCAAGTGTGGAGGGTCAGGGGGGCTGTCGAGTAAGTCGGGTGAGTCGTACAAGTGGAAGTGGAAGTGGCAGTCGATGTACTCGATTGGGAGCTCTGCTTTCGCGTCCCCGTTCACCGCTCGTTCTATCGTTGGAGAGGGAGCGGGAGTGGGAGAGGGAGAAGGAGCGGGAGAAGGAGTGGGAGAGGGAAGAGGAGAGGGAGTGGGAGAAGGGAGACCGTTCTCTGCGTCGTCGACGTCGTTGCCGGACTTGCCGTTCCCATCCTCGACTTCAACTTCGACTTTGACTTCGGCGTCTGCGTCTGGGTTTCCGTCCGCGGTGTCCCGGCATTCGAGGCTGTCGATGTCGTTAATGCAAGCGGTGGAGCTCGAATTTGAACTCGACGCGCCATCGCCCACGGCGGGGGCGGCGGGAATGCTGTCCCCGCTCTCGCTCTCGCACTCCGCGTCGTTCGCGCTGCCCCCACAATTAGCACAACCAGCGCATTCCGTACAATCGCCAGCGCATTCCGTGCAATCGCAGACGACGTTTCCGCTCGCGCCTTTGACCAACCGCCCGGGCAAGGGCAAAGGCAGGGGGAAGAAGGGGGTGGGGGTGCAAGCGGAGGCGGGGGAGAGGAAGGAGAGGAAGGAGGCGGGGGAGAGAATGGAGGCGAGGGAGAGGAAGGAGAGGGGGAAGGAGATGACGTCGTTCATGCTCATCGACGCCGACGAGCGCACCGCGCGGAGTGCGAGGGAGAAGGGCGGGTTCGGGAAGTCGTTCATTGATTTCTGAGAGATGATGAGGATGCTTTGTGTTGATGAGGGTACTTTGTGCTGATGTGTATTTTTTGGTGTTTTGGGGTTTGTGGTTTGTGTTTTGCTTGTATTTTTTGTCCCTGCACTCGTTACACTCGTTGGTCCACTTTGAAGTTCAATCGTTCAAATGTTCATGCATTGTTTGTGACTTTGTTTTTGTTTTTGTTTTTGTGTGAGCCGTTTGCTTTCGGTCGCGTTTTACGTTTTTACGTTCTTACGCATATTCGCATATACGCATATTCGCTCGTGTGCGCCCTTGTAGACAATTCTGCCGGACTCGTAGAGTAGCGTAGCGTCGCTTTATTCGGTTCTGTCAATTCTGTATCCCACTGCATACATGCTCAGCTCAGCTCGAAGATTCACCTTCGTATCATATAATATATAGAATATATAATATCATATACATATATAGCGCTGATGTTCGTCGTTCGTTTGAGCGGTTTCTGTTTCTTCATGACTTTTAGCTGAGCTGGGCATTCCGCGCAATCAAGTGCAGTGTGAGCGCTGAGCGCTGAACGCTGAGCGTTGGATATCTGGATGTCTACACTTGGACCAAGTCTACGCGCTCAAGATCCCAAGATCTCATCTCGCAGGTCAAAGTCACGGAACACCGAGTAAGGCCTAAGGCCTAAGGCCCAAGAGGGTCAAGGTCAAGGACTTGGAGAAACTCAGGAGTCAGCGGAAAGTCAGAGAAAGTCGGGGTACTAGTAGAGGCCAGGTAAGGCCAGGATAAGTCAGGTAAAGCCGGAGAAAGGTGGGTAAAGTCAGATAAAGTCGGAGAAAGGTCAGACAAGGGAGGTAAAGTTGGGGTAAAGTCAGGTAAAGTCAGGTAAAGTCAGGAAAGGACCTGACCTTGACCTGACCTGACCTTTTCCACGGTCGGGCTCGCTCATAACTTTGCGATTCGCGGTTGATGAGAGCTTCCGTAAATGCTTGTTAGGGCTGGGAGGCTGCCAGTGGGGTAGGTGCTTGGAGGGAGTGTGAGGGTATAGTGGTATAGTATATGACGAGGGCCCGGGGAAACTGGCAAGGAGAGGTACGAGGGGGAGCAGGTCGGACCGCCGGAGTAAGGAAGGGACTTGAAGAAACTCAGAGTAGAGTCAAAGAAAGGTCTGGGAAGGTCAGGAAAGGTCAGGGAAAGTCTGGTAAAAGCAGCATAAGTCAATAAAAGTCAAGAAAAGTCGGGTAAAGTCGAGAAAAGAAAAATCAGATAAAGTCAGAAGCCAGGAAAGGTTGGTGACTTTACCTTTACGGCCTTACGCGTACGGCCTGACCTTGACCTAAAGGCTAACCGTGACTTGACCTTGACCTTGACCTGACCTTTTCCACGCTCGGGCTCGCTCGTGTATCGTGTATGTAAGTGTCCTTGGCGAAGCCAGCGAAAGCTTGTGTACAAGTGCACGACGAGGGGAAACTCGCAAGGAGGGAGTACGAGCGGGAGCAGGTCGGAGTAGTAAGTACTCAAGTTCAGGAACCGCGGCTCCCCGATTTGACGCCCCGACTTGACTTCATTCAACCCTCAAGGCTCACGTTGGAATTGATGCTTGATGCGCGCTTGATGCGATGTGAACTTGGAGGCATCTATGCGGCAGTGATCGCTGACACTGCATGTCCGACGTGTTTGATGATCGACACCATGTTGGACGCAGGACGGGAACGTGCTCGGAGACGCGGGGATGGAGACGGGACGAAGAAAGAAGAAAGAAGAAAGACGACGGACTCGGAGAGTTCGACCGACTGGTTTGTGGACGAGGACATGGGTACAACACGCAGCTGCACTCCTTGGGCCATAGAACGTGAAAACGTAGCGCGTCGTCGTCGTCTGAGCGTCCCGACGCTGGCGCTGAAAGAAGAGGCCTAGCTGGGGCTGAGCGCTGAGCGCTCGCGACGGAGAACGGAGACGAAGAACCGGAGGATAGTCGATAGGGAGTCGTGTTGGTGAGTATACGCGTCTCCCCGCTTTGATCTTGGGTATTTACCACTAACTACTAGTCCCTCGAGCTGGCATGCGACTGGGGCTTCGAGAGAATGGAACGAACGGCAGAGAAGAGGGCGAAGAAGTCGAAGGAAGCGACGAGGAGAGGAGGGAGTCCTAGACCCCGTACCGCTGACCGGTCATCTATTGACTGTTCAGTGACTATCATTGACGTTGCGGTGACTGTCGTTGACTATTAGTGACCTTCAATGACCCAGTCGTCAAAGCCGACAAGCTCAAGGTCATCGACAGTCATTTTAGGTCAGCACTGCATCGACTTCCTGGCCTTACCTACCCACAGACTCTCCCAACGTTTGTGGTAGTTTTACTTCGAGTTTCTTAGCAGCCTCTTTCAACGCCACAATGCTTTTTCTCGATCCTCGCACTTCATCCACACTCACTTGCTTGACTGCTTACGCTCGCTGTCCGACCGTCGAACTGATTAACGGCTCTGGACATTCTAACCTCGTATGCAATCGCTTTCGTCGGGATCGTCATTAGACTCTTGTCTCTGGAGCCGCCATGGATCCTTTTGCGTTGTTCCAATATATCCACCAGGGTGACGATCATGATTGGGAGGACCTCGGCTCTCTGCTGGTACCCTAGTCTCTTATAAGAAATGACACTCAAGGTGCTTTGGGATGGTGAACATGTTTCTGCGAACCACCCCTACTCTGGATCTCGAACTCAGATAGCACCTCCATAGTCCCGGCTTTCACAAACTCCCCACCTCGTTGTTGAGCTCATGATCTCAAGGTGGAGAGGCGACGAGGCCGTTCCCGCCATTCACAACTTGCACCATTTACTGTTTATGAACTCATCAATAAATATAACGCCTTTGGTCCTCGTCCTGCTATGGCGTGGCTCGTTCTCACTTGGTTTATTTTATCTGCCTAGTTGCCCACCCACGAAGGGTCGACGGCGGGGCCTCAAATCCAGTACTTAGACAACCAGCCAGGAGGCGGTATATCATATCCGCGTGACCGCGACGCGACGCGCTCACCGATCGTATACCAGACACTGGACGGCGAATCCCGTCTTGCGGGTATATAATCCGTTGATCACCCCCAACCGCTCTTTCTTCATAACGTTCATCGTCTCCCGCGAATACCAACTCGATACAACACGCCCACCGCTTCTTACGCTTCTTACGACGATCATGATATCTATAACTGCCTTCCCCCGCTGGTACTCCGTCTCACTTTGCCTCGCCCTGTTCCTCGCCCAGCTTTTCACGCGGCCCGCCTGCCTCCTGGTCACCGGAGGACTCGCCTTGATGGCGAGCTTGCCGGGTCATATCCTTTCTCTTTGTACCTCAGCCTCCACCCTCTTCGTTGCCCTCGCCGAAGGTTTTAGTACCATCAACGCCGCGCTCGTTCTAGTGATGTGCGTCTACCCTGTCTTGTACTGCCTGACACTCGGTACCGCTGGCGATTCCGATTCCCCGTCGGCGGACTCTCAATGGCGCGGCACCACCACTAGCACTCCAGAAGTCATCCCTGACTTCGAGCCATCCTGCAAATATCAGAAGTGGACAAGGAGGACTTTCTCGAAAGGCGGGATGTCACCCATCACCCCGCCTGCTACCCCGCCACGCACCACTGGAACCACTGGCAGCACTTCTTCAGCAAGGACTTCCGACTCTACCTGGAACTATGGCGACTCTCTGGGGGGACACGGAATCGGACATGGACACGGATATGAATATTATGAGTATGGACAACGGCGAGTCCGCCCTCTCACCAGCACCTCCCTGCGTTCTGGCGACCGATGGACCACTCCTTCTCAAAAAGGCGGTCCCCTGGCTTCGTCGACTCCTGGCACTCGGACCTATCTTGCCTTGAAGCAGGCCTATATCACCGTCCGCCCTACGCCAATCCCAACAACTCTGGATCCGGGCTGTGCACCACCTGTCCCCAAGCCATCCCTTCAACCACCTTCGCTTCCTCAGCTACCGTCTCCTGCCCAGTTACCATCTCCTCCCCCGACGCCAGTTGCTCTACATGTTCCAGTTAAGGTCAAGACCGCGCCTACCTTTGTATCTAAGAAACCCACACGGATCGCACAGAAGGCTCTCCGTGCCGCTCCTTTCCGATACCAGAAGCCTTCGTATCTGGTGCGCCAGTCGAAAAGGACATCCCGCTCTGCACGCCATCCTACTTCTGGTCTGCCTGTGCCACTGGCTGTCTCCCCTGCCCAAGATGTGGGCTCGCCCATGATTGTAAGTTCATTGTTATATATGTTGTGGCTTCTTATCTGATAGACCGGTTCCGTAGGTCGATTTTGAAGACAAACCTCTGGTGCTTGCTGATCATCTCGAGTTCTCATGTACACCATTGTCTTGTGCGGAAAAGTTCCAACATGTGTCTTTCGCTCCCCTCGTCAAGATGGCGTCCCCCATCATCGGACATGATACACGCGATAGAGGTCTGGCACCTTACTTCCACGATTTTACCATGGAAATCGACCAGGATTCTGACTCGAGCGACGATGACGACTCCGATGACGACTCTATGGACGTGGACCCTCCCCGGCCTGTGGAATCTGGCGATGTCGACATGGACGCCTGGGACCATCCTCCGGTGGAGAGCCCCCTCGTAGGGTATACTTACGCGCCTTCCCTTCGACATCGGTTCTCTGGACTCTACATCAGGCCTTCCTGCGAGGACGATCACAACATGGCCGTGGACAATCATTGAACGCGACTGGCGACTGGCGATCTGTGGCGGAATTATGGCCGTGTTGACCTGAATATTATTACTCCATCTCAAAGACATTTTGCCCATCATCTCCCGACCATCTCCCCGTAATCTCTTCTATCTGTCCTTATCTTCCCCATCTCCTCATCATCTCCCCATAATTTCACCTCTATCTCCGTGTCCCCTCATCTCTCCCCCATCTCTTCCATTTTTTATCTGTTCTTCGTTCTTCCTCCCAGAGCAAATATCTCTATACCCGGACCCGTCCTGCACCTCGAGAGGACGACAGTTTTGCAGAGCGGCCTTGGAAGTACTGGCCATACTTCCATGGTTTCGCATTCCTCAGGCCCTCTTGCCTGATGGTTATGTGAGTGCATTCGCGTTGTCCGTAGATTCATATTCTTATGCTCCCTTAACAGTGCATCCATGATTCTCGGTCGAGCACACCCTATCTTCTATCCGAGGGGCCGGACGCCCTCCTCCTATTCCTGATTCCCGACGCCGCGAGCACCCAAGCACCGCATGCGCTTAGCAACGTAGAGTTTGGCGATCTTTGTGAATTGGATTAGTGACTGGCCACCACTTTTCTAAAACATGAAGGTCGGCGACACTGCTGAGCGATGCCCTCTCATCCATTCGCGCGTCACCCCACATTCTATACGATATGACTGTCTTTCCCTATGGAGATCAGTCACTCTCGAGCCATACTACGCACACTACTACACTACTTGGACGCCACAGCCCCCTACCCCCCACATTATGCATCGAGTGCCTGAGATTCTGACGGTCCTTTGTGTCGAGGCGGTGACTGGCCACCACCTCCCCGACGCACTGGGCTTGTTAGCTTCAATGTGCGACGATCATACATTCCACGGGCCATGCGTCATAGCACACACGATCAAATCTTCGACTTCGCCTCTCGGTCTTATCACTAAACACTCCCATATACCCGATTACCGATGCGATGCGAACCTATACGATCGTACATTACTATTGCCATTACTATTAGGCCACTATTGCCACCACTATACCATCACTGCACGATCACTAGACCCCTTCAACCTACCACTCCTCGAGTCTTGACCGACTCTCATACCCCATGCATAAGACACTACGATATCCCTTGCAAGCCTCTTATCATATAATTATAATTATTGTCCGCGGGCGGACTTTATTCTCGGATCGATCCTTCGCCTCTTTGCCTCTGCCCCTGCCTCTGCCCCTCTGCCTTGCTTCTGTATTTGGATTTTGGATTTGTACTGGCCTCGTCTCGGATTTGTAGCTTCTGGTTATACCCTTATACCCGATGTTCGGTGGATGAATATATCTGCTTGTGTTTCAGCTTCTCGGCCATTATTCAGTGGCTGTCACACGGAGTGAGTGTCAATAAATAATACTTATAGTCAACAACATGGACAAGTCTGAGCAATCCAGCGGTGAATGGCTCATGGGTTGGGGGGTATCGGACTGGTGTTTGACATCAGTGGCGGAGAAATCACTGAATGAAGCAGAACACTTATACATCGTATCACATCGGACGAACCGCGGGTAGGCTAATTCAAACTGTCCCTCCTCCCGTATACACGCCCTCTGACACTTGGTTTGGGGTAGGATTTGAGAAACCGTGCATTAATTTCACCAAAGCAATGCAGATGGCAGGCTGCTGATTCTATCACCCTTTGAACCCCTCCTCGAGTTCGCCCAATCCCTGCCCCACAACGTGTACATCTTCCATTTCATCGTGTCGCATCGAGGCTGCCACTGGTGGGTCTTCCGGAGGTAGGCTTTCTTGGGATATCGGTCCGTTAATTTGCCTTGATTTGTATCTTCAAATTATACGACCGTTCTTAAGAGGGTTGAACGTTTGGATTTGCGCACGTCGGCCATATTGGGCCATGGTTGAAGCAAGCGGTAAATTCTAAGTTAGCTACGTTTTGAGCGCCAAATTCAATCTAAATCAAATATGTAAGTACAACTCCGAGGCGATAATCAACTGATCATCTCACACAGCCAGCACAGCCAGCAGTCGCCTCGAATCTTGGGTACGAGCACAACACCAAGCGAGGCAGGAGGAGGAGGAGGAGAGAGAGATTGTTTATGTGTTCTAAGCTCGCGATGAACTATAGTCATGATTCACCTAATTGTCATAAGATGCATGTATGTTTGAACTACTAGATAGTATAGCCTAAACATGAGGGATGAAGCGTGTCCACGAGATGGACTGAGTGGCAGAAGGAGATAAATCGCGAAGAAGAACAAAGGGTTGGACGATCAAAATGATGCGCGCCAGACAATATACACAGAGTGCCACATGATGAATAAAATCTCCCCCCTTCGTGAATGCAATGAAGCAAACCCGGTGGAGGAACCTCTCAAGAACTGGCGAAACCAGAGCGGTGAATATTGTACCAGCCGTCAGAATGCATGGCGTGGCAGCTACGACTAGGGAAGACGAGATCCACAGCAGTCTTTCGATATGGGTAAGAAATTCAAAGTTCCATGCAATGCAGTGAATGGCGCCGAATAAAGTCGCGCTTGTGATCAAGAAGATGGCGGAAACCATGCCGTCGAAGAGAGGGATATCTGAGTGGAAGAACCTGCCTTCGAAGATGATCGTGTCCAGTTGAGCAATCCAGATCCCATGCAGGAAATCCGCGACTTTCAGCGGTTCTCTCGCAGGAGTTGAGTCATGTAGATCTACTTCTTCCAGTTGGGCTTGGACGAGAATCGGTGTCTGAACGTCATATGGTTTGTTCCACCAGAGCCCGTAGAGGAAAGCGGACAAGAGACCGTATGCAAGCGTCATGATCTCGAGTTCGGTTACGGCCAACCCTTCCACCCCACGAGCGATAATTTGGAGCACGAACCAGGTGGTCTGCCAGACGACGAGGGCCTTGGTGATCGTATCGCCCTGTCTCTTCTCTTTGATGTCGTCTTCTTCGACCATTGGCCAAGGCAGTTTGGGGGCGGTTTCCATGGAGTCCTCGGCTACTACAACGCCTAGGTCCTCAGGGCGAATGGTCCGTCGCTTCCCATCCGACTGGATGGTGACAAAACCTCCCATGGAGAGAAAAAATGAATGGGTGTTCGTCCACTGTGGTCCTAAGAGCACGTTACTATTACACTAGGCGGAACGGAACTGGTACTGACGCACTGTTTCTGGATTCATCGCTAGGAGAAACGAAGCTTGAAAAGAATGCATACAATCTATGGATTCGGAGTATACTGAGAGCAGGAAAGGCGACAAAGATGATGTACGCACCTCCTGTACTTTGGCTGAGCAACATCTTTGGAACTACGAGCGCCCGTATTCAACGGAATATCTATACTATCCTCCGGGTGCTGTTTTTTGTACGCTTCTGCTATTCTTCGAGTTTCATGCCACTGGGTGGCCGCCCGCAGAACCACTACTTCCGGTAGAAGAATGGTCCACAGTGTCATGTAGAGCCTGCGTAGTACGAATGCCCGCTTCGATCCCCTCGAGTCCGAGTCTGGGGGAGGCACGTTTGGGTGGACAGCTTTCCAGACGCAAGCGAGTATGACTGCAGCGCAGCTCCAGGTAATGTCTATAGCACTTCGATCGCAGCCACTGCCGAGTTGACTTGCGTCCGAATTTGTAGACATTCAAGGGTGCTGGGGAATTGTGAGATGCGGATTCTGGAAAAGGCCCATATACAAGGGGGTTTCTCAGGGTCGTCCGGTCGCACAGACCGAAAGTAATAAACCCATCGAAAGACGAAGTCTGAAGAGGTTCTCGAACAAGTGCGACGGAGAATGTGTGATCTCGATCATCTCAGCAACCTGAGTGATCGATTGATCGGTCACCGACAAACGGTAAACCACAGTCACTTGGAATCTCGGAGGCTTGTGTCATATCGAGATGGAATATCGTGTACACACCGCTGGACAACTGATTGAAGCCTGTAGGCCATGCCATTAGATTGGAGATTAACCAACCAGATGAGTGGATGAAATTCAAAGGGGATGAATAAAATCAAAGCATGAGAAAAGTATTGCTGTAGAAATGTGATCGGCTGAAAGACTGCTCCCCTTCCCTCCTTCGTTACAATGGGCTGTATGGCACTTGGACTGGGTATCGGGCTTTCGAAGGGAAAGATGTCACCTTGGGCGCTTAGCAGTATTTGTATCTATTTGCCAGAAACACCAGAGTCACTGAAATTGTTCCTCCGAGATACCTTGACTAGCCAGGTGATGCAAATCGGCATTCCTTTTCTAAAGGAGCTACGCTATGGTGAGTAACCAGCCTTCTGACGTGACCTACCCTCATGAATCTCGCAGCCCGTGTGTACGGATTGTGGGGGGACCGTGATCGAATACGACGCCGCAGCCGGAAACGGCTTCTGCATCAAATGCGGCACAGTTGTCGAGGAGAACACGATTGTCAATGAAGTCAGCTTTGGCGAGACGTCTTCTGGCGCCGCCATGGTACAGGGATCGTTCGTAGGCCAAGGAGCGAGTAAGTCGAGGAGTGCTTGTGTGAATTCCGAGCTCAAGTATGTGCAACAGCCCACGCGAGATTGACCGGACCATACGGAAATAGGAGCAGCACCGAGTCCAGAGAACAGACGATCGCTAATGGTATGCACCTCTTCAATGGCTATCATGGCCCGACGCTCAATATGTAACAGCCAGCAGGAAAATACAGAGCATCGCCAATGTTCTGCACCTCTCGGACGTTGTATGTCTAGCCGCAACACGCTTATACACGCTAGCTGTCGAACATAAGTTCACCAAAGGCCGGAAAAGCCTCAACGTCGTCGCCGTCTGCCTGTACGTCGCATGCAGACAAAAGGAGACGCGCAACTACATGCTGATCGATTTCTCGGACCTCCTACAAGTTTGTCTTTAGCTACAATCTCTTCGCATTCTAACATCTGCACAGGTGAATGTATTCGAGCTGGGGCACACGTATCTACAGCTCGTGCAGACGCTCAACCTCCGGCTCCCGCTCGTCGACCCGTCGCACTACATTTCGCGCTTCGCCGCGCTCCTCGAGTTCGGGGACGAAACACACCGCGTCGCGGCTGATGCCATACGACTCGTGCAGCGGTTCGACCGCGACTGGATGACGCGCGGACGGCGCCCAGCAGGGATCTGCGGGGCGGCGCTCCTGCTCGCAGCGCGGATGAACAACTTCCGGCGGTCGATCGAGGAGATCGTGCAGGTGGTGAAGATCGCGGACACGACGCTGAAGAAGCGGCTGGACGAGTTCAAGAGGACGCCGAGCGGGGCGCTGACGCTGGCGGATTTCCGGAATGTGTGGCTCGACGAGGAGATGGACCCACCCGCGTTCACGAAGGCGAAGGAGCTTGAGGAGGCGATGCGGTTGGCGGAGCTGGAGGAACAGGCCCAGGCGGACGGGGAGGGGGACAGTGGGGCTGCAGAGTCGATAACCAAAGGGAAAGGCAAGAAACGAAAAAGAAAACGGAAAAGAGTAGACGAGGAGGACGAGGAGGACGCTGATGTTAATGCAGGGAATGCAACGGACGCTTCCTTGGGACGAGTCCCAATCGATCCTTCACTCCTTGACGAAAGCATACTTGCCGGCATTATTGATGCAGCCACCGGAGCTGAATTGACATCTTCGACCTCTTACATCAACATCGATCCTTCCCTTCGACCTCTTTCCCCAGATAATATTCCTCAGTCTCTCCCGCTACATCCAACGGAGCCTTCTCTGGCTGATGAAACGCTAGCATTTTCAACTGAAGGCACGGCCGCAAGCTCGACCATTGCTCCCAACGAACCTTCTCAAGACCCGAGTTCTCCTCCAGCAGAGAAGACTCCCCTGTTTCTCCCCCTCGACCTACCCGACGTCGACGAAGTAGTCAATGCCGCACTCGCCGAGGAGGTATCCTCTATCCTCGCGAATCCACAGAGCAGCAGCCTCACCGAGGCCTTGGAAGAGCGGGAAGAGCGGCGCCTTGCGCAAGCCGCAGTCGTCGACGAGCTGCTTGGCCTCGATGAATCTGAGCTCGACGACTTCATCTTGACGCCGGACGAGGTGCGGATCAAAGAACGCGTGTGGGTGGAGCTGAACAGGGATTACTTGGAGGCGCTCGCTGGTATGTTTCTCTGCATCTCATGGCTCGCGCTTCTGGGCGAGCGAGTGCTACGCTTTTGCTGACGCGAATGTTGCGCTTCCACAGCGAAAGGCGAGCAACTTGAATCAGGAGGTACAAGCAAGAGTCGCAAGGTTCGTACCTCGCAGAGGGTCGCACTTGTTATTTTCTAAAAACATGGTGTTGTCTAGCGCCGGAAAACCAACAAGCCCCGCGACGCATCTACAGCGCATGGGGCCACGGCAGCAGAGTCGGTTCGGAATCTCATCAAGAAAAACCCCAGGTACAGCCGGCGTATTAATTACGATGCGTTGAAGGATCTGTTTGGTGATGCTGGAGGGCCTGGGCTACCTCTTGGAGATGATAAGGACGACGGGGAGGAGTTGTACCAGATGGGAGACGACAAGAGTGAGGATGGTGGTGAGAGGCCGGTGATGGTTATCGAGGAGGCGGGCAGTGTTGCCGCAGCACGCCCGGCTGAAGAAGTTAGGCATGGAGTTCATGGGAACAACGAAGAGGGCGACGGTAGCGATAAAAGCGACGACGAGGCGGGGCCGATGCACTGGGAAGATGTGTACGAACAGGAAGTATGAAATAAAAGGTAACTGTAAACGATATCTGCGGCGTCGGTGTAGTTTTATGCCTATCTATAGTGTTCGTCCTGTAGCCTTAGACAATTTGCATTGCATAGAAGAATATGTGGATAGTCATTAGAATATGACAAACTAGTACTTGTATACTGTATTGAATGAACGCGACGCACTCACGGCGTACTCCCGGACGGGGGATTACGATGCTGTCGCCATCCTCGATGCCTTGAGTTCCCGATACCGCTTGATCGCCTTCTCCCTCTCCTCCTCCATCATGGCCTTTTGCGCCATCGACAGCACATTATCCGCCATCTTCGACCGCTTCGAGTCCCCATTCTTCACGCGCATCGCCGCGGCTCTCGGAAGAGCCTTGAGCTCCGGCGGTGCTTGCGCGATGTCGTTCAGGCGTCTCGGGGCGGACGAGGAGAGCGTCGCGAACTCCTTCGGCGGGTCGCTTCGGTCGTGTTTCTGCGATGACGGCGCGGGCGCGGGGGGCTCATCCTGGTCGGATTCCGGGTCTGCGGGTGGTTTGCCTTTCTTTTTGCTGGGGAGCTCCTTGCGGGCCTTGCGCAGGGTAGCGTTCGACGACTGCATCGCGGTCTTGACCAACGGACGCATATTATCCTCGACTCTTCTATACACCAATTCAATGCAATCAGCCACCGCAGAAAGGCATCCCGTTCGACGGCTTACTTGTTGAAATGCTGTATCGACTCTCCGGGCAGAATACTGAGCTCTGCTTTCCCCTTCGCGCCCTTCTCTGTCTTCTTTCGTTTGACAGCACCTCCGCCCTCCTCCTCGCTGTTCTTCCGTTTCTTTGCGTGCCAGTCTTGCCGGATTTGCGAGGCGTTGAGGACGCGGGTCAGGGATTTCGGAAGGGCTTCGGTGGCGAGCGACTGCTGCGCAGGGGCGAGGTTGCTGCCTCTAATCGACTTCAGTGGGTGATCGCTTGGTGAGATGATGATGCGAGCTACTTTTCTGATCTCTCGCGCTCGCGAATAGACCGCTTGGCTTTCTTGTGCGGCATTTTGTATGTCCTAGATCTGGATTCTACTCAGTCTGATAATGGTTTGCTGAACATGTAGACGCTTGTTTGTGCTTGGAGATAGGGGCTCTTTGCTGTCAGGTGCCTGGGTCACAGATGTTGTCACGGGCCAGGCAACTTTCTACTTTCATCTGCAGCCGCCTTCGTCGATCGTCGAGCTCACTCAAAGAGTTCCACTCCGCCGACAAAAAGCCGCTGCAGTCCCCGTATGCCCCGTCGCCCGCTTGAATCCCATATCTCACCACTCCCCGCCATGGAATTCCACGATAAGCGCACCATGCTGCCCAGCTACAGCCCAGCATGGCTCAACAGCGAGCAGGTCTCCTACCACGACCTCAATGCACGGCTTGGGAGGGTCTATCGCAGCATAAAGCGGTCGGTTCTCACTATCTTCACCGGCTCGTCGATTTCCACATCCCATGCACACCGACACTCCCTTGCTAAATCATCACTCACTTCGGTGCAACCAACCCAATCATCGACCACAGTATTTGTTCTTCTGTGTTGTCTATGGTACGCCTCGTCGGCCTTGTCCTCGAACACGGGCAAGTCTATCCTCACACAGTTCCGCTACCCGGTCACCCTCACTTTTGTGCAATTTGGATTCGTGGCCTTCTATTGCCTTCTGTTCATGTCACCGGTGATACGCTTCAGCAAACCAAGGGCACCAACTCTCGCAATTTTGCGCAGCACCCTGCCAATGGGCATATTCCAAGTTGGAGGCCATATTTTCTCAAGCATCGCAATATCACGGATCCCTGTCAGCACTGTGCACACCATCAAAGTTCGTTTCATACTCTCATCATGCTTTTTTTCTCATGAGGGTGTTACACAGGCTCTTTCACCGCTTTTCACCGTGGCCGCTTATGCGTTTCTGTTTGGGGTTAGCTACTCCGCTCGCACCTATGTGTCTCTCCTACCGCTCACGATTGGTGTCATGCTCGCATGTTCCTTCGATATGTCTGTCTCGAACGCTATAGGGTTGCTTTGCGCGTTCGGCTCGGCGTTGGTCTTCGTCTCGTCCAACATATTCTTCAAGAAGATCATGCCCACAAACGCCTCCCACAGCCACCATCACTTGGATAAATTGAACCTACTGCTGTATTCTTCCAGCATGGCATTCGTACTAATGATCCCCGTATGGATGTATTACGACCTCCCCAGCTTGCTCGCCGCGAGTGCGGATCCATCTCACGTCGCCCATCCTGCCCAAGGACACGCTGCACCTCACTCAGTGTATTACTACTTCTTCATGAACGGCACCGTGCATTTTGCCCAAAACATCATCGCCTTCGTCATCCTCGCCTCCACATCCCCCGTCACCTACTCGATAGCGTCGCTCATCAAGCGTGTTGCTGTTATATGCATCGCCATCGTCTACTTCCAACAACCGATCTATTTTATCCAGGGTATCGGCATCACCTTGACATTCACCGGGCTTTACATGTACAACTCAGCCAAGGGGGATGTAGAACGCGGCGAGCGCAAAGTACGACGGGTTGAGGCAGCGAGGGATCTCATGCTCCCCACCGCGCTTACGAAGGAAGAGAAGGTAGAAACTGGGATGGATGTTGTGGAGGAAATCAGCGCTGCGACTAGTGGAACAGGGATTTCGTCGATATACGGGCGGCCGCGCGCAGCTTCGATAGCTCAAGCAGCCCACTCGCATTATTATGATCACCATCCTCGACCCCTGCACTCTACTCTCGCAGCTGCACCCCACCTCACCTCACCAATCGGGCTCACGATTTCAACGCACCCTATGCACGATAAGATTGACTCTACCCACCCGGCGTTCTCCCCGCCTGCCTCATATCCCTCGCCGCCCCCGTCCATCGACTCCCCTCCATCACAACCCGTACCATTGCCGTACGATGCTCGGGCTTTTGACAGTAAACACTATAGACAAGATAGCTTTGGGCATACTTACACTGTATCACAATTCCCGGTCGTTGGGGCGTAACTCTGGATGATCATCTCATAGAACTGCACTACTATCCATATTCAGTATTTAATGCATTCACATTGCGGGCTCCCGCGGACTAAATCTAATTAAGAAATTGCCATAGAAAGGGCAATATTATAAAACGCGTATTGAATGTATGTAAAGAATGGACAGCAGAAGAAGCCAATGTGCATAGAATAAGGGGATCAAAGATTCAATATTCAGATGTTGAGTCAACATCTGATCATGACGAAGGGGAACCTGCGTCGCGAGAAGCATACTCCTCGCTCCTACTGGACAGCCCGACGTGTCGACGCATGAGAGGTGTCCTTGAAGAACGCTCGCGACCATCGTCCCGCGAAAATGGACCATGGATTGGTAGAGGCGGGGCCGCCATACGAGGTTGAGTAGCCAAATGCCTGCGTAGACTTCGTATCGAACTCTGGCGCTTGGCTGGAACGAGAATACGAGCAAGGTCGATTTCCGCTCCATCTTCACTGCTATCACTTGTATCGCCATTGCTACTGTCGTCTTCGTCCTCCGCCAGTCCAGACGATGCACTATCATGAGTGTGGCGGCGAGCTGACGAAGACGAAGACGACTCCCGAATAGATACTGAGTGCGACAGTGAAGACGCCGGAGAGTGTAGGGTCAACGGAGAATGCGTTCGTTGTGGCGATGGCGATGGCGACGGTAGCTGCATACCCCAGCCACTGATGTATCGGTTCTCCCTAGTCTTGTCTCTTCCCCGCCTTTCCATGATAGTAACCTCACTATCTCGCCTATCCCGAACATTCGGCCCGTCATGCTTCGTCGGTAGTGTCTTGGCCCCTTTCTCATCTGCCCCTTTACCTTCTCGCTTCGCCTCAGCGTCATTGTGCCTGCGCATGCCCCATATATCGCCTTCGACCTTGGTCTTCGCTAGCACTGGAAGGTCCAGGTCATCGACACGTTTGCCTTTGCCCTTCGGCCTTCCCCTGCGCGCGAGTCGCAGTTCCTTCTGCCTCTCCGCCATTAGTTTCTTGAACATGTCTTCAGGCGTTAATTCGTCGTAATCATCATTGGGCATGGCGGATCCACCCTTGTTCTTCGATTGCCCCCGAGTGGAGCCTGCCTGCCTTACGCGAGAGTTCGCTCTGCTGCCTGGCGCACTTCTTACCACAACGCGGGCCCGACTGACTTCACCTTCACTCTGAGCCGAGCGTTGCAAACCCAGACGGGATAATGACGGAGGTGCAAGTAGATTACTAGCAGGTGGTGTACCTGGAACCCACAGCTCAACAATCGACTTCGGTTTGAAACGATAAGCACATACCAAGTCTACCAGATTGAGTAGAGGCACTTCGGTGGAGGGTTCGTTTAACGAGGGTGTTTCGTGAGGGTAACAGGTCAGACGTGCTACCCCAATTTGCTGGGGGACGTTCACTAATAGGACTATGTTGATTACTTAGGTTTATGGTCGGAGGAGGTCTTCGATAAGACTGATTAGATACAGTTCGAGACAGTCCCGGGCGACGAGATAAATCGGGATTTATACTCGAAGGAGAGAATCCTTCCCCTCCCGGCGAATCCTTTGTAGACGTGGCGTGCGGTGTATCGGAAGAGGGAGGTACACCAAGGAGCATGGTTCGCGCGACTGACTGCAGCCAGGAGTGTTTTGCTTCATTTCTAGCCAGGACACTCGTTCGATTTGATTGAAAATCATCTTCATGCTGCAAAAAGGTAAGACGGCTTGCCGAGGAAGGAGGCGTAGATTGGGGTCTCTCAGGTAAGAGGCTAGACTCGGAGGCAATATGACGTAGCAGCGCCCCCGCTCCGCCTAGAGGGTGAGGCACGCGCAAATTAGCTGGACGATTGTGAGGACGGGCGGATTGCCTTGCGTATGAATTACGATGGGAGTGTGATGAAGAAGGATTGGACGGGGATTCCGGGATAGTCTCAACTTGAAGCCTCAAAGACGACGTGGACGCTTGGACGTAACCGGGGCCATAAACGTAAGGACTTGATCGCTGTCCATGGCGGGCGTATGCACTATTTCGCGAAGAAACTCCAGACTGCTCAGACTGAGGATTCCAGTGAGGAAGGCTTTCCATAGACGAAGACAGTTGAGTCGACGAACTATTACGAGCTAGTTGATGTTGATGCTGATTCCGATTTACTGAGATTGAAGATGCAGACGACTGGCGATGTTGAGCGGGACGTGAAGGATATGGTGACGGAGACGGGGACGCAGGTGTCGTGTATTCCGGTCCTGCATTTACAATGAAGACCCTCAGTCACTGTGAACCGCCATCAGCTAAAGCCAACTGCTCACCTGCAACGTGTCCGCTGGCTCCCGCATTATCTTCGACCTTGCTTGCCACCAGTCCAGTGAAAAAGCCCACGAACGCTCCCACTCCACCCCGAAGGCTCGATTTCAGTGCCCGCCCGTGTTGCAGCGCCCCGTCACTGTCATACGGATTGCCAGCACCTCGAGCTTTGGTATTCCTGTCTGACTCTGGCGTGAAGATACGCGTCTCCTTGTAACCCGCCTCCTTCAATAGATCCTCCAAAGACTCATATTTACTGGAAGTACCTCGCCGATGCAACGGAACCCGGCCTGCTGCTCCTCGCCCAAGAGAACCATATGCACCTACACCCGGACCTCTTGTATTACGCGACTTTCGATCCTTGGGCGTTGGCGTCGTCGGGTGTGAGGTTGTCGTCGCGGTGGATTGATGGAGTGACTTTGAGCCCGGCTGATTCGACATCGAAGGCACTTGTGGCACACGACTCCTTGACATGTTGTCGTGGGCAGCATGGGGCATCCTGATGCTGTCGCATGAGTGGATGGTGGGAGACCGACGAAAAGCTGGAGGACCAGAAGCACGGACTCTGATCAAGCGCAACGTGGGTCCAGTCACGTCGATCAAGCCCTGCAGTCAGGAGAGCTCAGGGGCTTCGCAGGGATTCAAGCCTTCATCGATGCCTGGGGTTTCAAATCAAACAAGGTCATCAATTGCTCGTAAAATGTCAGGGATACATAATAATTCGTGGATTTTCTAAATATGAGGGAAGAAATATGACCATCGTACGGGTTGCTCAGCGGAAGGAGGCAACTCGCGCAGAAGCACGAATGCTTGAACAATCAAGAGGACACGGGCGATAAAGTATGCATAAACGCTCACTGCTAAAATAACGTAGCGGGGGACTACGAGGGCGTTCCGGATAGACGGGCGGATTTCGGTGGCCTTGCAGGCAATAACCGTGACGGCCTCACACACCCAAAGTGGTGGCACGGCGACTATGACCAAGGAGGACGAAATCCAGATTATTCTCTCGGCAGGTGTAGGGAACTGGAAATTCCATGCGATGCAGTGGATGGAGCCGAAGAGTGTTGCGCTGATGAGGGAGATGACGATGGCGATCCTTCCGTTTCTCTCGGGCGCCATCTCTGAGAGGTAGTCTAAACGTGTGTCTTCCACGATGGCGCCGTGAAGATACATGATCCAATCTCCATCCAGGAGACTTGTGAGGGACATAGACCTCCGACGAGCTCCTGGTACCTCCAGCTGGTCGCTTGTTCCAGTAAGAATGGGCTTGTGGACGTCGTATGGTTTGTTCCACCAGAACCCGTAGAGAAATGCGCACATCAAAGCGTATGCCAGTGTCATCACCTCAAGCTCCGTTACGGCCAACCCTTCGATTGCGCGAATTGAGAGTTGGATGATAAACCAAGTAGTTTGCACCGTTACGAGAGTTTTGGCGATACCATCAATCTTGCTCTTGTCGCTGATATCGCCTCCTTCGACAGCCGGCCAGGGTACCCGAGGAAGCTCCTTGGAGCCGGGAGGTTGGGGTACAACGTCCTCAAGGCGGAGTGTATGTTCCACCCCACTAATGTTGACGATGAAGCCTCCCATCGTCAAAAAGAAGGAGTGAACTATTGTCCAGGAAAGCTCTGACAAGACATCAATTCAGCGTACTGCATAAATTGCGAGTCAATCACGATACTCACTTTCTGGGGCGCTAGCGCTCGGCTTGGAAGTACTGGCCTCTCTTGTGCTTTCTGCGCTACCTGACACCAACACATAGCTGTCTCCCTCACCAACCGAATCCCTCGATTCGATATCCTGCTCGTTCCCTCGTCTTTGCAGCTCTGAGATTTCTCGCGCATCGAACCACTGGGTGACCGCCCACATAACCATCAACTCTGGTACGAGCAGAGCCCATAGGGTCATGCGCAGCCGACGTAGGATGAGTCTCCATTTGGCGCTTCCCCTCAGGTGAGCAGGGAGGACGTTGGGATGCACGGCTTTCCAGGTGCAAGCGACGATGACGGCGACACAGCTCCAGGTGATCTCCCATGCACTTCGTTCGCAAGGATCGGTGCGAGGTGAATTTGTAGACATCATGGGGGGGAGCTGGTGTGTAGTGCACCCTCGCCAGGAATGCATTTATTGCAATAAGGGCCATGGCTGAACGCCAGGGCATCTACTATTGGAGAGCATAGAAACTGCAAGCTGTAAGATCACAGTTCTATGTGAAGAGCGGCAAGCACTTACACGGCGTTTACCATAGATAGAAGATCGCGGTCAAGATGCGGCCAGTTGCAGAGAGCCTTTGCCCCACGATTTAGTAGTGGCTAAAAATAAATCAACAGCGCTTCCATGATAGAAGGTGGACAACATTGTACATAGCCGATGCTTTGAGGTGAACTCGTAGAGGAGGACCTCGCACTCAATGTAATTGGGCTCAGCGCCCCCCTGATTGGGCCTCGAGCCCATGTTTAACGTCAGTGGCAGGGCCCGAGGACCGACCGAAGAACACCCATGCGCTGTATTGTGACTGCTTGGCTTGCTGGCCAGAGCAAGGTCGGGGATCCCCAACAACTCATGACCAAGGGGCGGTCGCCACTAACCGGCGCTGGGTGTTCATCAGCTATAAGGTCTGCCACTTTGACGAGTAATTTACGGCATACCCAACAATCCCCTCTTTCGCCTCCTTGATGCATTTCCCCGCTTCCATACGTTTGCTCGCTTTATCTGCCTTGGGCATCTCGGTGTTTGCCAACGCTAAGCTCATCCCTACGGTGACTTTGGTAAGTGTCTTACGAACACTGCAAGGGGGCTGGGGACTCACGCGACAGACTCTTGTTCCATAGAATGCTGACGCTAGCGAACTTACCCCTCCTCCAACGACCACGACCTTCGTTGCGAGGCAGGAAACGATGTCCTCTTGCGGAACTTCAAGCCCTTGCTCCTCAGGATCCTCGTGTATTTCTTTTACTGGCCCTCTCACTGTACGTCTCGGACCTCTTACCAAACGCTGTTGGGTTGACGTGCTATTCATCATGATCCAGTCTGAGCAGTGCATCAACACCGATATTCCACAGTGCTTGACATCAACGTCTGTGACTGTTCATCATGCGATGACCACTACCACCGTGGGTCCTGTAAGTCATTTTACAGCAAAGCTGACACGGAGAGAAGGCACTGACCTCCTTCATTAGGGCGACGGTTGTGCTGAAGATAATTATTACACCGCAACCGTCTGTCCATGCTATCTGGCTTGTAGGGCAGCGTTCTCGGGGGTAAGTTCGTTTCGTTCGGAATTTGTTCCCCGACATTGACCTATGTGCGTAGTACCGAACGTGCGGCCCGATCCCCACGAGCACTTTTTAACATACCAATTTGCTTTCTCCCTACTGTATCGTAACAAAGTAGTGATAGAAACAGTAAACGAAAACACTTACAATTTACATTGCAGTGTGAGACTTCAACTAGCCACTTTCTTTCTTGTCGCTGCATAGCTAGGGGCTGAACTAGGGGGACTGGACGCACGAAGTAGATGAGAGTGGATGCCACAGTGATTCTATGTTTGCATCGACATCAGTGTGCGGAGAGATGCCATTCCCAATCCAGTATCGATTGTGTCATTACCCAGGTTCGCACTCCTGCATTGGCGCCAATCGTGCTTTCTTGTAATCATCCTCATGGCAAAGCGGTGGCGAGCCTCCCCGGCTCATCCATTCTCTGAACCGCCTTGTCGTTTCGACCTCTTCATAATATTGAAATGCCCTCAGCCGGCCGTTCTCGTTCGGCCCATTCCAAAACCTCTGAAACCAGCGCCGACACATCGTCGCCAAGGAAGAGAAGCAAGGACGGCGACCAGTCGAAGTCGTTTGAACCCCCAACTTTTACCATAGACCTGTCGCTGCCCCCTCGGGAAAGACACCGCGAGATATGCCGCATATTCCGAGAAGAGCTCCAAACCCTGGTGCCATTGTACGACGAGATCATGTCTTACATGCCGTTTCCTCGCTTGTTCCGAGCGGCGGCGAAGATGGCGCTGAGACGCGTGGCATCGCGGGAGGAGACAGAGGAGATGCTTGGGATCGTGGAAGAAACTGGGATACCGAGGCATCTGGTTGTGGCATATAACACATTCCTGGATATCATGTCTGGCTGTGTGAGTGGCGGCGTAAGGGTATGCGACGCGGGACTAGACGGGAGGACCGAAGGAGTCGTTCACTTTCGTGGTTTGGATTGGGAAATGGAGCAGTTGCGAGCATTGACGATTTGCATTGAATATGTGCGTGGAGGAGAGGTCGTTGCTAGGTGAGAACGTTCTCGTCGTGGTCCCGTCACCGTGGCTAATTTAAATATGTACTAGATCAGTTTCTTACGCAGGTTACACTGGGGTGCTAACCGGAGTCAGGTATGTCAGGCCTCAGACGGTATTGATAATTCGAGTTCTCATAAATTCTGTAGACAAGGACTTTCCATGTCACTGAATTACCGAATGAGGATCCTCTCTCCGTCGTCCCAAATCTCCCATCGAATACACCAATTAGCCCTTCTGTTTGGTCTGCGCCCTTCGCTCTCATCGTACCTCAGAGAAATCCTTTTGGCACCAGGGAAAGCCCCGCGACCTCGCTCTATAATAGCAGCTGTCCCGAAATTCTACAGTTCGCCAAGCTACCTCGTTTTCTGCACTCCTTCTACTGCACTTTTACTCGAGAAGGATCTGCAAGGTGCTACGGTGTACGTTGGTGACGGTGTGAGTGGCGGTGAGAGACTCGGGTCGCAGGAGGGCGAGTACCTCATCGTCGCAACTAACCACGACTGTCATATGGAATCGTGGAGCAAGGCACAGTGGAAGAAGGCCATCGATTCCCATGGCGAAATAGTAGAAGGTCTCAGCAAGGGCATACTGGAAGATAGCATCGAGAGAAAGCAGACCGTGGTGGATATGTGGCAAAGGAAAATCAAGCGGACACTAGGAAGACGGCCAGATTCTCCAGCTGTGGATCTGCTGCAGGTGAGGGATGTACAGAAGTGGTTGCAGAGGAAGCCAGTCCTCAACGAATGCACCCATTTTTCTTGCATCATGGACCCAAGTGTCGAAGGCGGAGGCCTTCTTTGGGTTCGGTCATATAGCGAGCCAGTCGACATGAGCAAGCGGTAGACGGCAAAGGCTACCTCCTGATGCATACCTCCCGAGTGCCGTACACATTAACCTATAATAAATAATAATATTGTAACATATTGAAATGCAATAGGCCCGTGACTCTAGAAACTACTCCCATTCATCAAATGTTTCATCGAGGGTCTCTTCTTCATTGCCTGTAATATCCGAGAAGTGTAAATACCCCGATGCTTAGAACTACGATGCATCATCACTCACCAATCATGTCGTACGATGTCGTATCTGCATGCAAAAGAATCTCACGAAGCGTCATACTCGGACCTTCGTTGTACTCTTCGGAATCTACTTCCCGAATCGCTCGATCACCACTGTCCGTCTGTTGCTCTTCCGGTATGTCAATGTCGGCTCCTCCAGGGTCCGATGCACTGCGCCCTTGGTCTTCGGGGTCAGATCCAAGCGGGCTAGGAAGCTCGAATTCCCGGATCGGCATCGCGAAGGAGGGATTCTTCATCATCTTTCCGAGATTCGCTAAAGCCTGCCCCCCTCGCCGGCTAGTATTCAGAGGTGTGCCAGAAGGCAAAGGGTGCGAGGGTGTTACCACAGAGAATTCGAGAGGATTGTCTTCGTCGAAGGAAACGGAGTCGTCTTGAATACCGTCGATGAGCTACATGTATGTCAGCATCTTAGCACGGGCACTTCGGGGTTAGACTAACATCAACGACATATTCACTGCGCTTCCGCGGTCTTGCATCCGTCCACTTTCCAGATCGCCGAGGTGTTTGCATGAGGGAGGACCGAATGGATTTGGTAGATCTAGGGAGCTGTTGGCGGGTATGTTCTGATCCGATACTCGCTTCCGCGTTCTTAGGTTGCAAAACAGCGCGTGGAAGACGGGACTCAAGGATGTTTGGGACGTCATCGGGCATCGAGGGAATGTCAGGAAAGTTGGGGAGGAGCGCCGTTCGGATATAGTCAATCCTAGACTCTAGATCATTCGAAGGCTCGTCAAACGTATCTAGAGAAAGAGACTTCGCGAGATTGGGCGTGTACTCTGTCTGTAACGAGGAGTGATTAACTCATGAAAAAGGTTACAGCACGAGCCTTACCTCAAAATTGATATGCATACTGGAGTTGTGTGGACGGTGCAGTAGTGAAGAGGCTACGAGAGGTTTCGGGGGCCCATTATTCAGTGCTTCGAGTTGGGCTGCAAGTTCGAGGCCCACTCGTTTGGCCTTGCTAAGAGCCGCAGATAAAGTTTGCTGAGTTGCTCGTTCGTTTTCTATCGCGTCCGCCACGGCGGTCGATGCGTAAGAGTGGGCTTGCTCCGACGTGCGAGACTCTCTGGCGTTGTTTCCCCTTGCGTCCGACACAGAGGTATCTACGAAGTTAGACGACTTCAACTTTTTGAGGTATGCGGGATGATGAGCAGCTGCAACTGGCAGAGGTGAGGGTACCACAGCTTTATTCTAGTAACGAGAAGTCAGATAATGCCCGTGCATAACTTGAAAAAGACGAACCTGCTGTTTCGGAGGGACAAATGCATAAGATGATGCAATGAGGTGCGAACCTGATTCTAGCTCAGAAGAAGGGATTTTGATGCCTGTTATTCTAAGAAAGGATTCAAGACTGGCGGTTCCATCTTCTGCTTCTACTGTATGGTACTTGAGAAGGTCTCGGTATTTAGACTCTGCCAGAGAGTGCATCCGTTCGGTCGATATCCCGTCGTACAATGAAAGGCGGGAGGTCTCCCCACTGAGCACTTCTCGCTACGCTACGCATTGAAGGAGAGACAATGGATGGACTGTTAGACCTCTACGTACCTGTACAAGCGCTAAATCCCCCTAAATAAAGAGGATACGCGCCGCCAGTGTACTCGCTTTGCTTGGGAGAGAGCAAGAAGTGAGGCATATTGCAACGGTTGGGAGCGAAGGAGGGCCTGATCCTCGAGAGCATGAGATGCGAAATTACAGATGTATGTAAAACACCTACTTTATCCGTTTCTGGTACATTATCCAGACTTCGGGAGACGGACGGTCGCTTTAGACGGTGGAAGATCGCATGCGTGGAAAAGCACAGTATCAGCCGTTCAAATCTTCAACCGGGGACGTTGTAGGAGTGCTCCTTTCCATTTCCAAGAAGATGTTTGACAGACCTCTCCCCTGCACATTCTTCGAGAAGTGATTTGCGCACAAGCGTGTCTTTCCACATTGTTACGGACACCGATTCCCTTGCCAGTGGAGGGCTGATATCAGACTTGTTATCCCTGTGGTGGTTTCTGAGAGTCTCCAGATATTTGGTTAGGGATACACGGAAAGCCGTGCTGTCCGCTGGTGTCATGCAGGGATACGATGGCAACATCTGTCTTTCGATGCATTGAATAAGATATCTGAAGCTAGTATGCAACGCGAACTACGAGGCATGACTGACCAGACGCGCTTCCTTCTTACCCACTATCGAATTCACGAGAAAGTACGTCACGTCCTCCATCGTTTTGACGCGCTCCCGCAGGCCGCGAGTGGTGGCATTGAAGAGATCTTGGTCGTATTCTGATTTGTTTGCATAAGGGTAATCCAATATGCAGAGATGTACTAGAAGAAGAAATGAGGGTGGAAGGTTTGCCATCTCTGCATTAGCAAGGCCGCGACACGGCTTCAAGCCAAGCCTGGGGTTCAAGCGTCAGAACAGAAAAGAGCAGAAGATTACGGAGACCTCTGGAGAGACATGTGACTGTGTGCATCTTGGCGCGCCGCCTCATTTCCATATCTGGGAGTAGGGGTGCGAGGCGGCCTAGGCTGCGCGTGGACTTTCGTTTCTCTCCTGCTATTGTGACCATCTCCAACATGGCTCTTCCTACGCGTGGCCGGGTAATCGTTGAGACAACTGCAGGGGAAATAGACATAGAACTCTGGTCAAAGGTTCCTCGTTCATGCATCCTTCTGTCTGTGTTACTTACCTCTGGGATCAAGGAAACACCCAAAGCATGCCGCAACTTCCTAGCGTTAGCCATGGAGGGTCTGTAAGTCTCCTGCTCGAATAGAGGACCGCTCCTGACGAACCATTGCCGTTAGGGTACTATGATGGTGTGATATTTCACCGGTTCGTTCATTCCGTCGCGGTTCGCCGAAGTGAGCAGACACCCTAACCTGCTCGTAGGATTGTGCCAGGATTCCTGGTGCAGACGGGAGACAGGACTGGAACCGGAGGTGGAGGAGAGTCTTTCTATGGAGGTGCGGCACATAAGGTATTGTCAGCCTTAACCCATCTCACTCTCCACGCGCCGCGTTCGTTGCAGAGCCATTTGAGGATGAAATACACCCTCGTCTACGATTCGCACACCGCGGAATAGTGGCAATGGCCAACAACGGCACAAAAAACTCCAACGATTCTCAGTTCTTCATCACGCTAGGTACTGGTGTCACATACTTCCGAGGGTCGCTTAACCTCAGTTAGAAAACAGACAGAGCTGATGAACTACACGGGAAGCACACACTCTTCGGTCGTGTCATGGGAGATACAGTATACAGTACGTGCTACCAGCCTCATATACTGTCGCAGCTCATCACGGTCTCTCAGATGTCATGAAAATCGGTGAAATGGGTACGCTCTGGCCAGTCACGAAAGTCAAAATTACGGTTCTGATATTGGCGTAGAAATCGACGCGAATGAACGGCCTGTCTAGTTAGTCGCGTCATGCATGGCCGTCTTGTAACTCAATACTGATATCTGCATTGTTATCCCCCATTTTTCCTTAGCCCTCCGAAAATCAAGACCATTCGCATCATCGACAATCCATTCGACGACATCGTCCCACGTATAACAGCGGCCGAAAAACGCGTCCAACAACGTGCGCGTGAACAGGCACAGCGAGAGCGCGAAGAGGACGAGCGGCGGAAAGGTGCTAAAAAGTGAGTTGAAGTGATTTGTGATTTGCGATTGTCGAGTTGATACTTGACGAAGAAACACTAAGCTGCTGAGCTTTGGCGCAGATGAAGACGGCGCAGAAGAGGAGGAACCGGTGGTATTCAAGAAGAAGAATATAGTTCGACCAGATCGTATGCGATGTCTCTATCCCTCCGAAGCCTCGAGCTTTGACAATCCGATTGCTTGTAGTGGTGACTAACACTGAGATGCCGTCTGCTCTCCCGGATTTCGTTACACAGCCGCAGAAGGCCCAAGCAAGCCGACCAAAGGATAGCGTCGCCGAAGAGAAACCAACGAAGGTGACTGTGACCCATCGTGGCAATCTTCACCGCTGACAGCCCAGGAACAGTCGAAACCAAGCAAAAAAGACGACGATATCTCCAAAATCCGCGAGAAGCATGCTCAGGAGCAAGCCGCCAGCGAGTAAGGGGTTCGACGATAGATACAATAGACTGTTCACTCATAGCATTGATCCAGACAATCTCGAAAGGCGGAGATCGAGAAGATGGAGAAAGAGATACGGAAGCTGACGAAGAAGCGTGACGGGAACGACAGCGACGACGAGCCGGCGAAGAAAAAGCCGAAGAAATCGTATCTGGAGGAAGAGCTTGCCAAATACGCCAAAGGTCGTGGGTTGCAGAAGAAGGGCAAAGATGGGCGCAAGAAAGACGAGTCAGACGTTCTCGCCGCTCTCAATAGCTTCCGAGGAAAGCTGCAGAGCACCATGACGGTGGACAGTGACGACGTTGGCGAGGGCGATAAAGTTCAGGGTGAGGCAGTCGAGGGTGACGTGGAACAGACGAACCCTGGAGAGGAAGAGGGGATGGAGGTGGACGATGACAGAGGGTTTATGGGACACGCGTTGCATTTCCCGAAAGATGATGGAGAGGAGAGCCGGAAGGCTGAGCGTGATTACGAAGTGATTGATCCTCGGCAACGAGGAGCGCGTGCTAAGGAAGAAGAGCGGGAGAGGCGGCGGCAGGAGGGGAAAGGCAAGAGAGGCGGCGGCGGTCGAAGCCATCACAGATAATCCAAGTCTGTACATCAGGTGCCGTGTTCGTTGATTGATCATATTCTCGTGACTGTTTGCGGTTTGCTGGCTACTTCAAAGTATCTGAAGGGATCTCATTATCGGCGAAAGCGCAGCATCTTTTGTGATAGCAGTGCAGGGGTCGAAGACTGCTGTAGTCCCACCGGCTGCCTACTACCCAGCGGGCGCAGCAATTGGTGAGAGCCAATGATGCGCAGAATCGCCACCTCCCAGTATTCGGTACTCTTCGCTTGCTCCATTTGCGTCACACCTAGGCCTCAATATTGCACCGTGTTGGTGGTCAACTCCTGCCACTGACAATTCCGAAAACACCTATATACCGGGCTTGCCATCTTCTGGTGTTTCCGCTACGTAACATGGCCCATCTCCTTGCGTCTAGTAAATTAATGTCGACTCCTCGACCCGGATCCAAAGACTTGCTGCCGCAGCCACTCATCGCTTAACCCGGTCAATTTGATTGGTGAGCTTTTCGAAATGCGTTGCTCGCCTTAAGTGGCCGAGTAACTGTTTCCATAAAGACGGCCTGGCTTCATCCACCAGCGGTGAAAGATTGGTGATTGTGTGACACCACAGGATTGCAAGGCTACACCGTCTTGATTATTCTTTGCCAAGTCCAATAATCGGTTCCCCGCCCGCTGATGCTGATGCTGAATGCTATCTGATCGGCGCACGGTGAGAAAATTCTAGAAAAGATGAAGACACCTCTTCCGGGACGCTCAACCTATCGTCAACCTCACAGAACCTTGGGCAAAATTCACCCTTAGTATCAATGGATGCCTCAACACGCTACCCACCATGGAAGCTGGTCCGCAAATGAGGCTTCAGACTATCCCTTTCATGGAGGTGGCTAAAGGCCTCCTTGGCCCTGGAGCCTACTCTGACAACTACAATGATGAAATGTTCCCACTCATACATGCATCTGGGACTTCACTGACTTCTGGAAGAAAGGCTGCAAATTTCAGCAAGTCCTTTTCTTTTTCACCGGTTGACAAGCACCTTGCTGCATGCCATGAACTAGTTGCCAATATATTGTGGTCACTTGGTCACTCAGGTATGAGCAGGAACAAATGAGCAGACTACCTCTAGATTTGTTTCCAGTCGCCTACGGGCTGCCCCTGCAATGACACGGTGGTACAAACCACATTTTTATGGAGTGTCCATTGCATGAGCATGCAAGTCTCAAGAGATATTCTTGATGAAGCTGCCACTAGTGCTGTGTGCAACAAATGCAATCAAGAAGAGTTGGTCTGTGCTCTTGCAGATGTCCGATGCAAAGCTCCTGGTGCAGTGCACCACACATTGAGCAGTGGGGACAGACTACAAGCAAAGGTGGGAAGGGTGGCATCACATGCAGAACAGTTGCTATCCAGCACAACTTGAAAGCACTTTGGGGCTACTGTCAAGGTAGGATTCAGTGGAATGGATGGCATGATATGGAACAAGGGGGCAAGGGGAAGGGATAGCAGGAGAGAGTAGAGCTAGATCAACTTTCTTCCCTTTCACTTCTTTTTACTCTAGCACTTTAGTCTCTTGACCTCGATGTGCAACCCCATGGTGGGCCTCCCTATTTGCAGTATACACCACCAGGATGGAATACTAGCCAAGTGCCACCTCTCATACCTGATCCTAATATGCCCTTTGTAATGCACACCTCATAGTACATCTCTAATTGTTGAACAACTCTCTGACATGGTCCTTCCCCCAAGAACTACTCCAACGAAGGATTTGCCTTAACCAGCCCCATGAACAGGTACACCAGGCAGCCTTTTGCCAGTGGGTTTTCAATGCACCCTTGCTACCAATGTCTGAATTGCTGCGGCAGATCTAAACAGGGAATGCAGGTACTTCCATGTTCCCGACAGGTCCCCATGCGTTCTAGTGGCTTAGCATACTTGTAGTGGCATTAAATGCAGATATAAAAGTACAATAAAAATATGGGACACATTTACGTGACAATTTATTGTGATCCCGCGCATGTTGATGTAATCCAACGAAAGATAGCGCCAAAGCCCATGGAGTTGCGTCTAGGCACGACAGTGGTGAGATCTGACCGTAGTACATTAATTTATCTACCGGGGTATATTGTCCGCGCCATCGGAAAACAGAGGAAAGCCGTCACCGGAAGCAAAAGCGGTATCGATGAAGATATCTACTCTGCTGCTACTGAACAGGAATCACGTATGCTGGCGAGGTTTTTTGTTTGTTTCGACAACAGGACAATGTATGACTCGAACAACTGTCTACAAGTTGTTGATATCTCTCGCCCCTCGCCCTCGGGATTGTATCCTGCGAGCGTAATCTTCAAGCTTCAAGATCGACCAGGAAGTAAGTAAAAGATAACGACAGGGGAAACTCCCACGATCCTTGCCCTTGGTCTGCCGACGGCTCATTTCGCCACTGGCAGCCCTGTTTGACGCTTGTTTACCCACTTATCCTCTGCAACTCCCACCCGACATCTACGAATTCGCCGTATCGAAATGGCCAGTAAAGCTGCCCAGAAACGCGTACGCCAGCCTGCCACCCACCTCAAGGGCATCAGGCTCACCTTTCTTTGTCTGTAGCTCACGAAGGAATATCTCGCAATGCAGAAAGAGTCGCCACCATTCGTTTGGGCTGTGCCAGACGAGAAGAACATCTTGACTTGTGAGCCCAGCCATTTCACCCATGTCTTGCATCCCTGACCACCGGCATAGGGAACTTCATTATCGTAGGGAATCTTGACTATTGTCGCCGGCATTTGGTCTCAATCACCCTATTTGCAGCGCGGTCCACCCGATTCACCATTCACCGGCGGCGAATACCACGGCGTGCTCCTATTTCCCTCCGAATACCCATTCAAACCTCCTGGAATCAAGGTATTGTTCCCGCTCACCCTTCTGTAGTGTGATTCACCCGTGAAATCACAGATGTTTACACCCTCCGGACGCTTTCAGCCAGACAAAAAGATCTGTTTCTCTATGTCGGATTTCCATCCTGGCACTGTGAGTCGTCGAAGTGCTGCGCAATTGGTCTTTGTGCTAACACTACGCAGTGGAATCCAGCGTGGAGCGTGGCGACCATGTGGGTTCACCTTTTCATCCCGCCCAATTTACCGAACCTCATCCCCTCTTTGTATTTCAAGCTTGACCGGACTACTCTCCTTCATGTTATCCGATGAAATGACTACAGGTTCTGTCACTTCTACAGATGGTCATAAACGCACATTCGCTCAGCGGAGTCATGCATGGAATGTAAGCCAGCAACGATTCAAAGATGCCTTTCCGGAAGTAAGTCCCCTCGTGGTTATCAATGGCAGCCTTATAGGTTGCCGGATTTGACTGCTTTTCGTTGCTGTTTGATGTGATTTTGCTGATCTCAACATTTGTTGACTGCAGTACTGCGGTCCTGAAATGCGCGACCTGCCTAACATGGGCGAGAAAGAGCGGGGAAAGCCTGTCGCTTCGCCAGTTTTGACATTCACTTCCTCGACCCCAATCATGCCTTCAACATCCAGTGCTATGATTGGCCATAATACCCTACTGAAGCTCAACCCCCCGACGAACATCAATAACCCATTTGCACCTCCGAATCCATCAAACCCCAACAGAGCTGATCTCAACCCCCGAATTCCAGGCCTTAACACCAACAGCATCGGCAAATCCGGATTAGACAAATCTGACGATAGTAACCATGCAAGCTGGGCGGCTACTTGGGGTCGAGTATTCTGGGAGAAGTGGCGGTGGGGCGCTGTGATCGTTCTTGCAGTGGTCCTTTCTCGCTTCTCTTCCTCTACCTAAAGGCCTCTCCTCCATCATGCAGCTGCCGCTTTCCTTGTCACGAATCTGTGTAGAGATAACTACCCTCTTCTGTCATACGTTCATTTACAGGCGTTGATCTTTTCTGATTGGCTTTTCTTGATCAAATACTCAAAGTCCTTTAGGGCCCGGTCTGCTCGTCGAGATGTTAGTCCCTACCTGCCAAATTTGGCTCCCACGGTTGGACCAAACCTGGCCCAAACCTACTCCAAACCGACAGTTTGGTCTGCTGTACCAGGGGGTTTGCGGGTGGGTTAGGACCTTCCTGTCACATTATTATGTCAGCGTTAATATACCTGGTGGCACCTTGTATCAACTGCATTATCTATTCCCTCCAATAAACAGTACTACAGCTTGTGGTGTTTATTTATTAATGAATGTTAGTGGTGAGATAGCAGGACGAAGAAGTGAAAAAAGGACAATCCGTGGCTCGAACCCGCAACCTTTCCGTGCTAAAAAGTAGTACTCAAGCGCGCAAACCGCTAAACCAACGTACCACATGTTAAACTCTTTTGGACTAGTATATCACCTACTGAGCCGGGATACTTCAGGTCGCCGACAAGAAATACAAGAAATACCGAAAGCAGAAGTTTGCATGTATTTACTTTGTATCTATTGCCGCTTTCCCACCATGATGTCTGTGACTTATTTGTGACGATTCCCAAGCGCCCTGAGCAGACTCCAGCGCTAGGTTTTGTCAAGTTCAATCTCCGCCAACCCCAGGCCCGAGGGACTGACATCTCGACGAGCAGACCGGGCCCTTATTTAAGTGGCTATTCACTCTCTTTTCAATCAACTACCGATACATTCATTTACTTTGTCATCTGGTGAATGTAGGAGCTTGTAACACTAATACGCTGAGCTTGTTGGATATCTAATACGCCTCTTCCTGAAGGATGTCAGTCCACAGTCTCCGTATGGGGTGTTCTACCCCAGTGATGAGCGGCTGTGCGTGCCTCCACACATCCGCCGACACGCTCTCTCTGTCTCTCCCAGCATCTATCGTGACCCACTGGTTGCCACTCTGAAGCCTTTGGCTTTGCATCTCTACTTCGATTCTACGGAAGACCTGCCTGACCTTCTTCTGCATCTCTTCCTTCTCATACCTTTCTTCCCCGTACCCACCGCGTTCCTTGGCTTTCTCTGGGCTAATATCCAAAAATATCGTCACGTCTGGAGCGGGTAAGTCGATGTCGGGGGACCGACACCACGCGTAAGACAGACCCTTCGATGCCGAAAATGCTATACCCGAGAACGCGTACCGATCGCACACAATGGAGGTCCCTTCTCTGAGCTGTCGCTCGATGGACGAACTATTAGAAGCGGTTAGATTGTGGTTCTCGGAGATGTGTAGCACTCAGAGCGTGTCGGCAAGAATTAAGCGACGACAGAGCGACCTCCGCGTTGGCAGTCTACTGGCTGGCAAATTCCAGCGATAAGACAAGAATAGAGTTAGACGTACGCGAGCTCCCATCGGTTCGCCGAGAACAGAAGATGGATGAGGTGATCATCCATGTCGGATTGTGACTTCAAGTATGAATCGATCATCTGACCGATTACTGTCGTCCTGTCTGTGCATGTCTTAGAAGTGGGAAGCGTATATGAATACGTCAACCCACCAGGAAACTTGATTAATTGTGCGACCACTCCAGATTCTACCAGCCGTTCATGTAAAGCGGCGCATTGGGTGCTCTTCCCTGATCTATCTAGGCCTTCTACCACGATGAACGCTCCTCGACGTTTGACCTATAATCATTAGACCATCAGTCTGAATTGACGTGAGTCCGATAGAGAGCTGCACCTCAGACATGCTTCAGCTGCGAACTTGACGGAGTTTCGCGTAATACTCGTTGAACGATTGAACTTGGATGTATTATGTAACGGTGATATCCCCAGTGCAGCCTCCTCCTGTAGGGGTGCCTCAGGAATTATACGTCCAGCGACAGCATGGCAGTCACCGTCGGGCCTCTCTGAGTTAGCGCATTTCCACGCCAGCGAACTCTATCACCCTAATCACTCGTTATATATAGTACGACTATGCCGTGGCTAGGTTCCACTAAGCAGAAGATATTAACTGATTGTTCCCTACTGTACATGATGATGGTGAATGTTATAGATACAACGAGCGTGATCGTTCCCATGAGGAGAGAGATCGATAACGCATAGTGCAGGTGGTATACATTACGTGTCTCTAGTGTGATGATTGAGATGAGGTGAGCCTCAATTCGCAATAAAGATGTCTGCGGGGAAATTGCCAATTGTGATCTGATGAGAGACAACAACCAATGGCCACTCCGTGTGTGAGCTGCAGATTAAGGGTTGGTAAAACTGATAAACACTTCGTCAATCACCACGCACCTATCTTCATTTCTCTGCAAGATGAAGCTTTGGCCAAAATAGACGGGGTGAGGATTGGGATTATCAACGTTTGTGGCCTCCCCATGACATGAAATGAAAACGGCGTCACGTTGGGGTAGTAAGTCATAAACGATCGAGGTTTCTTCCTGACACAGTTTGTAGGATTCCAACAACCGCAACGCACGTCCAATCCGCTCACGACCTTGAAAAACATTTCTCGATGCTATAATTCAGTGAGACACTGGCTTTGGGGATTAAAGGGTGAGGTCTGACGAACATAGTATGCTGGATGTTGGATCTGAAGTGGGAGTATCCGGCGAGGTATGTAGTCTGAAAGAAAAGAAAGCATCCGGGTGGTAGCCTTGGAGGAGGCCAGACCGATCATCATCGAAGTGTTGAACGAATCTATTCAATGATCCACGGCGATAATTAGTGACGACACTGTCGAGAACTCACTCGGACCTACCGCTCCAGGAAAGCCAAGGCCATTGTTTCAAGCCCTCGTTCCCTCAGCGGAGAAGCGGGTTCAGCTGCACACGTCTGCGAGCCTACCAAGGCGTCAACTTCAAAACGACTCGCTAACCGATCTCCAGTAAACGCTGATAAATTAGTGACTCCAGCGGCTCCATCTCTTGGAGAAAGGGACTGAGGGCTATTTGACCTTAAAGGGTTGGACCTTTCATTTTGCCTGAGCGCGGACTGAGTCTGTGATTGAGACGCCAAATCTTTGAGCAGCGCCGTTGTGTCATTCGTACAGTCATCAAAATGCGTTCGGCGGGGCTCCGAAAAGATGTCAGGTGTGGGCGGAGGTTCAGGGCTAACTTCCGGCTCCAAAGTGTCCGACCATACAGGGATACGACTCGACCTAAGATGCAATACTGAGACAACGAGCATAGACGTTGGACCCCGCGTACCATTCTATAACCATACCATCTTCTCTAGTAATCAGATCAATCAAGGTACCAGATGAAAAGTGGATGTGAGGGTTTACCTGGCCAACCACCGTGTTGTTCGCAAGCCTTTCGTCTTGAGGATGGCTACCTCATTAAGAGCCCATTCCTTACGATGAAACTTATACATCGGATCGAGTCTTCGGCAGTTCATTGGCATTGGTGTATAACGGGTGCAGCCAGATGTAACTAATCGTCTGACCGCAGGGGGTGGAGATGGACTACGTGCTTCATTCTTGATTGGAGTAGTTGGATCAGGGCGCCCAACCGCAGGACGGGGAGATGGGGAGAGCGATTCACGTTTAATCCAGCCCTGGAAAGAGTGGGAATGCTGGGCTGGTAATTGCGATACGGTTTCTCCAAAACACGAAGCGCTTTGGCCTTCTTCAATCCTCCTTCGTTTAGCAGGCCTATCTTCCGATAATCCCGGGGTAATGTGAAAGTTCGGAGAGGTCGTTAACGTCGAGGCAATGTCGTTCCGCAGCGCATGGTCTCCATGCCGGATTCGAACCGTCCGGTCCTGGGTAGCGAGATCGCGATTGCCTACGGCAAAACATAGACTCTTGAACGAATTGATATCCAGGAAAGTTCAAAACGTACTCAGTGATGGTGTGTCTGAAGCGCTGTTCAGCGAAGGGCGCTGCGTCAAGTGGGAGTTTGTACTGGAAACTGATTCATTGGATCCAGGTGTTCCACGGAAATGCAAGGCAGGAGCGAATCCGAATCTAGCTCCTCTGCCTCGGCCCAGATAAGGATTGCCCCGCCCACGACCTCTCCATTGCGGTTTCGTGTACTTGCTCGCCGTAGATATGGTCCGAATCGCAGGCGGCACAGTGGCCCTGCGTTTATCGATGATTTCATTTGGCTGCGTATCCTCTCCGTGTGTTCGTCGCGTCGGATTTGGCCAAATGCCTCGTCCACGATGGGGCCTACATGCACCATTCTGCGTCGAGGAGGGGCCTCGAAACATTTAAGCTATAGGTGCCGATGCTTGACGGCTTCAACGTTTCTACGTCGGACCCCAAGCTGCATCACAGGTTGAACATATTATTTGGACTGTGGCATGCCACATCTAAATGTCCATTTACTCACACGGTCACAAATTGGCATACGAATGACCGAAAGGCCAATACGAACAATAACCAGTAACAACGGACATAGGGATATACACGACATAGATTAACGTAGAAGCAGTGCTCCACACTACTGAGTAAAATAAACAACTGGACAAGCAAACCAAAGATAGCATGAACGACGAGATAAGACCATAAACTGAGCGTGCGGAGTTGGGTAGTTGAGAAGAGGGGATTGGAGAGGTGCAGGAGAGTGAGCTGGGGGAGGCGGACGAAGTGAGTAGGACTGCACAAAATGGCAAGAGGATATATACGAAGAATTAAATACGAGCATTCGATAAAAACGGTCCATAAAAATGGGGGCGAGACAACAAGGATTTCGCGAGGTATAAAAACATTAGACGAGGCTATAGACAAAATGAACGATAGATAAACAAGCGCATGCTCAGAAGGGCAGAATAAAACGTCCGCTTGAAAATGGCAGCGAGCCGAACAAAAAAGGCAAAGGAAGTCACCAAGCGATTTATTCCCTAGCCGGCTCTGTGGGCCAAACATTTTCCCGAGGTCGGTCCCTAGTAGGAGCCGCGCTACGAGCCAGCGGAATAGCAACCTGCGCAGGAGATGGAGGTTCCTGCGTGGATGCTTGAGGAGTTGGGGATGGCGAGGTTTGTGGAGGCTGCGGGGGAGGCGAGCTACTGGTCGGACCCTTCATGTCATCGATCCCCTTTTTCACCGACATCATCATCCGTTCCGTCTTTGCGGCTAGATCTTCAAAGACCTTTTTGTAGGTCTCAAGCTCCATATAATGCCTCTCCAAGTCGGGAACTGTAACGGGACCGTTACCGATGAACGGTGCGATATTGAAAGGGTGATCTGGGTGGAAAGGCCCTCCACCCATCAAATGAGGGGGAGGTGGTGGCAAAAAACCTGAGTGTAAGTGGAGCGCGTGCGTTGGTGGGCCCATGGGTGAATGAGTTCTGCTAGGCGCAGCAGACCCCGACCGTATGAAACTTGATGGAGGTACCGAAAAGTGTGCTAGGAAAGGACGGTTAGGATCGCCGCTAAGTCCCGGAAGCGGTGGAAGGTCAAGCCCCATAGGATGGGGAGAAGCATAACCTGAACCTGAGCCAGGGCGCTGAAGGTGAGCAAAACGAATATCTGAAGGAGCACCAGAACCGGCGCGTGGGGGCGAACCTCCTTCACCCCAACTGCTATCCTTGGGTTTTTTCCTTCGCGAATCGCGTTCTCTATCCCGATCGCTCTCTCGGTTTTCCTCTTCGGTCCCTTCCATGGCCACGTCGTCGTCCCCGCGTTTGTCGTTGGCGGTAATCCGACTCTTCCTGCTTCTGCGTTTCTTGGGTGGTTCTGAGGCTTCTGCTTCACTTTCTTCGCCAGCGGTACCTGGAGCACTTCCACCGGGGGCAAACCGTCCAACCGAAACTAGAGTTTCAGCGGCAGCTTGGTCGGTCATACGAGTTATTGGACCAGAAGTTCCACCCATACCAGGTGCAGCAGGTACTCTTTTCCTCCGCTTAATAACCGTCTTCTTCATAGAATTCGGACGGTGAGTCCCGTGTAGCTTGAAGTAAAGCCCTGGAAAACGCGAGAATAAGCAACCGTAAAATGGGATCAAAGACACGAGGGAGCGTATATAATTAGGCAAGAAAAGGAAAGCTTTAAACGTAGCTGGGCATACACACACAACACCGCGTGAAACAGTACGCAGAAGGCACTACCAGTAAGAACGAACGTCCCAAAATCAACTTCTGCTACCGTGAGAGATAAGATTGATAAGACAACAGGGTTAACATGCATAATCAGATAAGATGATCCACCCTTGTTGCCGTTGTCACATGAGTGACGTTTCGAGGGTTCCCATTGATGATGAGAACGGAAGCAAATGGGAACGAAGGAGAGAAGCAAATGCCCGCATCGCGATGAGAAAAAACCGGAGGCATCGGGATTAGGAAAACAAAAGGCGCAAGGAATCATGCAAGAGGCAAGAGGAAAAATTCGTAACAAGCCAAGCATATAGACACGCACCACAAGCATTACAAATGTTATTGCCAACATCGTCCCTCCGCCACAAGGGCGTCGTGCTCGTCCCACAGTTGAAACAGCTTAATGCGCCAACGGCCGCACGAGCTTTCTTGCCCCCTGGCGTAGAATGCCCGGCCTCCGGGCTCCCAGTCGCTTCCGGCGACGAGGCTTCAGGGTGCGTAGGAGATCCTGGCCCTTGAAGGCCGGCAGGCGTCTGTTCTCCAGCATTCGCTTCCTGGGCTGCACCCTCCATCTCCAAGCGCGCTGTTACGGCCAAAGTATTATTATACGTCGGGCACCCATTACACGCTGATGTTCCTCCCGTACCGTCACATCGTCCATCGCCTGGACAGGTACCAGCAGCATGACTGGATTTACTTTGCGATTGGTTTGTAGCCATCGTCGGAGAGTTGGGCTGCCTGCCGTTTGTAGTTGGTTGAGGGGTGCTAGGCTTTGGGACGGCGAACGGCGACGGTTGCGTGCCAGACTTAATAGGCTGATTGGCTGCATGGGTCGTTGGAGGAGGAGTCCGGCCAAGTGGTGAAGGGCGAGGCATGCGCTTTGATTTTTGATAGAGACCTGAATAGTGATGAGTACGTAAATATGCGAGGTCCAGCCTGAAGGATAAGTCAAAGGAGAGGAAAGGCGTCAAGACAACGTCCCCCAAAGACACGAAGAAAAGGAGATACACAAGATGGATCACAAAGACATGGATCATCAAGGCTTGACAACACGCGTCCACAGGCACGCGTTTCACAGCAAAGCGAAAGACACAGATTAGTCGTGGACTACACGCACGACACGTTGGCTACGTAGACTAGGTTCCTGCAGAACTGCACGCCAAAAACGTCTCCATCTCGCGTGGAGATAATGATCGAATCGGAAAAGAACGACTCACCACAGGCATTGCACAAAGGATTACCGTCTGCATCTCTCCGCCATAGAGGAGTGTCCTTGATACCGCAATTGAGGCAAGGACCCCGTGAAGCTTTGTCTTTCTCAGAATTCATCAAGCTGGGGTCAATTTGATCGCTTGACAAGTTTGAAGGAGTCAATGGGTCGAGGGGGAGCAATTCAGCAGCTTGTGGTCGATCCGACGGAGGCAATGGCGACGAGACTGGGGACGACAGCGACTCGTTGCTGCGAATAAGATCTGACGTGCCGTTCGGCGAGAACTGAGAAAGTCGTGCGATGGGGGACATGGGCGTGCTGTGCATGTTCATGCTCATCGCTGGGGCTTCCAAAACTACCGGTGACATGGCGGGTTGGTTTTTGTGTTGAATTGGGCAATTGATCCGGAAGCGGTCTAGCGTGGCGTCGTAGTGCGGGAAGTGGGCGTCTTCGGGGGAGTAGTACTCTGCAGCTGATGCGCTGGCTGAGGGATATGGACAGGAAGTACGATGAGGAGAAGGGGTAAATTCGAGAATTTGAGAGCTAAGTTCAAGGGTGACAGGTTTTGAGATAAAAGCCCAGATAACCGGCTAAATATTTATATCCCAGCCAATCATCCGGCGCTCATTACGATAATCCCACAATCACCGCAGATAACGAGAGATTATCTAATCACGAACATCTTGTCATTATTAGAGGTCTCGACGCAGTGAGATCTTGAGACGCAAAAGAACTGGAACACTTTATATGCGAACTTATAGAGCGAATTTTTTTGTTGCCTTAGGGGGGGAAATGTATGCTCAGCCGCACCTGCAGGGGTCCAGTACTCCGGCGGTTTTCTAGTCCCTAAGCACGGAAATCTTCTCAAGGTATTTGCCAGCAGCTACCTCTCAAAATTTTCATGGAACGGTGACCTCGGAGGTAGTAATCCTGCGTCTTGCCCATGTCATCAAACTTGACATTTATGTGGACATTTCCGAAGTGCCAGCAAGATAATCATCAGCCCCTGACAATTACAAATCTGCTAACCTCACTAGGACAAATGATCTTATCAGATAGCCCACAAGCATCTTATCTCTTATCGCAGCACTGTCACATTCCCATTCAAACAATACGGTCTTGAAAGACTGAGGTAAGACAATCTCCGTCCATTCACACCTAATGCTACAAGAGGGCCACGTTGCATGATTTTCATGAAAGCGCAGCAGAGGATTCATGGAGGCATGGGCATGAGGCATGTATTTTCACCTGGGAGGGCTTATGAAGGATGCAACGTTATGCAGTACATAATGCGACAATGGGACGCAGTGACCCGTTGTATAGGGGGGAAAGAAAGGGAGAGCCGAAGTATAAGCTCCGCTCATGCCTCAGCAGTAGTCTTCTTGGCTCTCTTCGTCGCTACGGTGTTCTCTCTACAAATATATGCTCATCGGACACGAACCGGATGCGGATTGGACAGCACTAACCGGAAACCATTCTTGAACCGTCTCGATACGCCTTTCAAGTAGCTCATGCGGCCAGTGCCGGTGGTCTTTCTGCGCTTGGCCTTTTGACCCCATTCATAAGAACGCAACTTGGCGGAGGGGAAGCCGCATTGAGCGCAGGCTAGTCGAATCGCAAACGCGGATTGAAGATGGATCCATCACAAGCGGAACAGCAAGAATTGGAGGAAGGACGTGAGCTCAGGGCAGGACAGTTGATGATCTTGACATACTTTTGTGTTGTCTATGGAAGGCACGATGTCCGCAGCGGCGGCACAGGGTGTGGGTCTTGGTATGTCTCTTACTGTATTACACGAAACCGATAAATCCATGAGCATCACAAGCGAGATCAAGCAGAGGATGCGTACATACCCGAAGGACGATGTTCCTATTCATCGAAGGGATATGAAAGCGGATAAGCATTGATCGTTTGAAGGGCAGAGCGGGCTGCCCAACGGCTGATGGTTGAAACTAACCTTTCGTCTGCAAAGCAAAAATAATGAGCAACCGATCGAACGTAGTATCGCAGAGGAAACAAAGGATATGACAAGTAAATTTCAGTCCCTCGACGCGTTGGCCGTGCTGGGCACTGAGCGCTCCACCGTCTTACAAAGTTTCTTGCTCCTCAAGCCAACCGAAGCGTCCCACCCATCGCACCAGTTTCCAACACTCAAACATCGGCCCAAGCACATCCATCCCGCCCAAGCGTAATCCACCCCGAAAACAACGTCCTTTGTCGCAGAGATCACTCATACACCATCCATCCAATGCGTAGAGGAACATCCAACACTATGCAGACGAGAATCATACTCACCATCTTGTCGTCTTGAGGTCTGTCGGTGTCGGTGTAGTCTGCGGTGATTTGGGTACGAGAGTTGTTGCTTATGGGAAAGTTAACACGTGGTTACACAGTAGGGGCTAAGCGCACATGCTTCTGGTCCAGGCGCTAATTTCAATTTGTTACTTCCAGAGTATTGTACGCCCTAGAGTATGGATAGCAGCGTATCGTCCGGCGCTCGTAGAAAAAGGCGTGAATATATGTGTCTACGTGTAATGTGATGTATCTTTAAATAATTGAACAAATCACTCCTCGAAACCGCCAACAGCCCTGATGCCATTAGCAAGACGCCTGTACTCTCTCAAGAGCTCTCCAATCTCCGATATTTTGAGGTCACCTTCAGTGCACTGCAGAAATCTGGGATTAGGAGGCGCTAATCGTAGCGAGCCTACGGGGGACGATGGGCCTGAACCGTGAGGACCACTCGTGTAAGACGGCGGTAGGATGGAGGAGCGTCTTGAGGGTGACGAGTCCTACAAATACGACGACAAAAGTAAAGTGGCTGTTGTCAAGACAGACTGCCGATGGATGTGAGTAAAACGAACCTTCAACGAAACAATCCCCGACACCCTCGCCAACCTGTCTGTCAAGCTCTTTCTCCCTGTCCCGCTCCTCTCGCGACCTTTCTGCCTATCACTCATCATACTCTCAAAGCTCCTGATACTCCTTGCATCAAACTCCCGCTTCCCACTCCCCATTACGATCTGGTCGCCATCACCCTGTTCACCCTCCTCTCCTTCATCCTCAGCCTCCTCGTCTTCGCCTGTTTCATCGTCACTCCCTTGCGATGTCGACGTGACTGAGGAGTCATCATCGGCCCTCTCTTTGAGGTGCGACGACCGCACTGAACTAGGCCTCGAAACAGGCAGCAGTGGCCGCCCCGTCTCCTCAAGCACGGACTTGCTTCGTGCACCAGGGATAGGCAGGGACGCCGCGATACTAGCAAGCGAGAACCCACTGCTTTGCCGCCGCAGAAGGCCGAACCCAGGCCTACTAGCATGTTGCTCGTCGATTGGTGATGGAATGGCGTTGATGGGTGATGGGTTAATGTTGAGGGGGCTGTTTGGGTTGTTGGTTATGATGGAGCGGAGGATGGTGAACGAGGAGTCGACGACGCCGTTTATTACTTTGTTCGCAGCGTCTACGCCTTGGCCGACTCTGCCACGGATTTCCTCTAGCCGGGCAATAGTAGCTTCGGGTGTGGGTGGTGTCAATATAGATGGACTGCGTGGAACCGGGAGAGGCGTCAAATCCGCCGTACTGTTTGATGTTATGAACATTGAACCAATAGATCTGTGACAAAAGTCACGTACCTCATCACCTTATTGACATCATTCAGCCCAAGTGCTGCAAGGTCCACATTCTCCAAGAACTCAGCAACGGCCAACAAGTTGATTAAACAATAACTCTCCTCCCCTCCCACAGTCTGGTTTCGAAACCGTTGCGTGAACAGCAAGTGCGAAACCAAATGCGGCGGGTTGGCTTTGACGACGGAGAAGATGACCATGGGGAGTAGGACATCACCGGAGACGGGTGTTGGCTCCTTGCGGGGCTCGGGGGAGAATGATAGACGACTGGACTCGGATCTCGGAGGGAGCGCGGGTGGGGCGGGTTTCTCAATGTCAGCGTCGGGGGGTGGATCAGAGGAGATCACCAGCGTCGGCTTCTCCTTCTCCTTTTCTTGCTCTGGTGCTGGGGCAGAGTCTTCTTCCTCCGGTGATGATGTGGCTGCGGCTGCCAGCACACTTGCTGGCGCGCCAGCATCGGTTAACAGGATCATCGGGGACTCTCCCTGGGCGGGTGGTTCGTCTTCCGTTTCTGAGTGAGCCGTGGAAGGTTCAGATGTAGAAGATTCCTGGGGGGCTGAGAGAGGAGACTCTGTTATTGGGAGACCTGTTAAGGGCTTGTCCCGGATAGGAGTTGGAAGAGTCGACGGTGTTCGGGATTCGGCTTGCGATTTTAGGCGTATTGGAGGGAGCCTGGATAGACCATCTATATGTATTCATATTCAATCAGTTAAAATAAAGTAAAATGTGAATACATCGAGAGGTTGTTTCACCTACTACAACCTTATGTGCGGCGACGAGAACCGCTGCCTTATCGCCTGGCGACCGGCATGCGACGTCCAATTGCGTCAGAGCTATAGTAGAGATGAGTACAGCCATCCAGAAGGCGGCGGCGGGAGAAGAACTGGGTGAGGAGAATGTCCTCACTTTCACCGCATGCCTTTACAACAAGGTTCAGCTCTGGTGCCAAATCGCCAACAACGATGTCGAGATGTTCTAAACCTAGGTCCAGCATATTCAGAGCAGCAACGCGACCAGACAATGCCTCGTCGTGTGACGCGTCGTCGGAAGTGGGTTGCATGAATACCCTATACGTCGTCGTTAGTGTTTAGCGCCTTTCAGAATAGGAATCGTCCAACTGACCTGTCGTAAAACAGTGAACATATTGTTCGCTCGACAGTCTCCATGATCTCCGCAATCTTTGCATCGCTATCTATCTTCTGAGTCACCGTCTCCTCACCAGGGGGCTGGTCGTCGCGCTTCCTGCTCAGGAACGGTGTGCTCCCTCCTCTCAAGTCCTCTTCCACCGACGCGTAGAAATCCTGAAATCTCTCCGACAAATCCTCCGGCGACTCGAGTATCGGATTTATTATCAACACCGAAGACGAAGACGCGGCTGGCGACTGCCCCGGGAACCCAGGCGACCCCGTTTCCGTGGTCTTGAACGGCTTCTTGTTCGCGCTGAACTTCGACGCTTTGACGAGGGGGTAGAAGTCGCTGCTGAACTCGTGCACGCGATCAGTGACTGACGTAGGCAGCCCAGCGAGTGACTCCTTGATCTCAGCTCTCAACGCGCGGTTGATCTCTCTGCCAATATCCTTGGAGACGATCTTGCGGTTGATCGCAAAGGCGGTGATTTCGCACACGTGGTCGGCGGCGTCAGCCGAGGTCGGGCTGGTCTGCGAGGCGGTTGGCGCCGTCGAGGGGTTGGGAGAGGGTGGCTGTTTATGCCCGAAGAGCGAGGCGAAGGGGTTGGAGAGTCGCGACACGGATGCAGGGGCGTTGGCACGGCTTTGGGGGCGAGGGGGGAGCGGGGGCTTCGACAGTGACGCGCGCGGGGGGAGAGGTACGCTGTTCGTCTGCGCGGAGATGGTGAACGTGGGGTAAGGGCTCGGGCTGGAGAGGGCGAGGTGGTTCGGCAGCGGCGGGAGAGACGCGAAGGAGTTGGACCGCGTCGAGAGGACCGTGATGTCGTGGAAGTGCTTCGTGGACGGATGCAGCGACGATCGGAAGACGAGCGTTTCGCCGCGTTCCATGTAGCCGCGCAGGCCTGATAGCGTGACCAACGGTGTAGGCCCTTTCGGTGTCTCGTCATAGTACACGATGTGGTCCTTGATGAAGGCTGCAGTGCACTTGTCGTGTGCCGAGAAGTGCTCCGTGGGTAATAGTAGTGTCGCCTGCAAGTAGATCATTAGCAAGTGATCCAGTACAGAATATAGCACCCACCTTCCCCACAGTCAGTGCATTCCATATCTCGGTCCACTCCGCTCCTTGGTCGCCCTCCGTCACTAATTTGTCCAGCATCGCCCACCCGATGCTAGTGCTATCTAGCCCGATATTCTGCGTAGCGGCCTTCAAGTTCATCAACTGCAAACGACTAGTCGCATCCCCTTGGAACTGGTGAGGAGGTGAAGCCGTCACGGACTGGTGCACGGTGGCATTCGTGGCCGTGGACGAGGGGGATACACGTTGCCTCGGAGTATACGGTACATATGGGGAGCTGATTGTTGGCGTCGCTCCTGGGTCCTGGGGCGAGGATGGGGCCAGCAGAGGGTGGGCGGTCAGGCTTTCATGGGATGGTGTTCGCGGAAGCCGCGTTATGGACGTCGCTGGGAACAGGCTTTCACGACTTCCGGTCAAGCTCATCTTATATTAGCATACGTGTGGGCTTGACTGAGTGCGCTAATGGTCGCAAAATTCGCAAGATAACGTGGTAGGCGAGGGAAGTGTGGAATGATTGCAAGTGCTAGATAGTCCGCGATATTGATCGTGTGAATATTTTGCTGATAAGTCGTGATATTCTAAGGAGTTTGTGAACTTCGTGCTAAATCATACTCTCGAACTACTGAACAAGGGCAGCTATCAACATCGGCACTATGTCTGCACATAACCAAGAGGAGAAGCCAAATCCATTCACTCAACACCCTGGCGACGTGCAAGATCCTTCGAACCCAAGTACTTCGCATGTTGACGCTGCACGTCGCGCCCACTTCATCCTAGAATTCAAACGGCGGCCATTTCCAAGGTAAGGCACCCCACCGCATCATGAATCCTCATATTTGGCCCAACGTAACCACCCGTCCCAATGGTTCCTTGTTCAAGTCTAAAGTCCATGAAAGAGGACGCCGAGAAACCCGATGGTCTCGAGATGTTCAAGCAGCGCGTCGCGGAAGTCAAGTCCCAATACGCAGACGATCTGGCTGCGTTGCAACGCCTTCATGGCGAAGAATACCACGAGGACGCGCTGGACAAGTTTTTGAGCAAGGACGAGTCGCAGTACCTCGTCCCTAGCGAGAACAATCCGACTGCGGTCGCTGCCTACAAAGCGATGGAGGTACGCACCCGGACCTACTTTACCGGGGAAGCTAAATGTACATAGGCCCTATATAACTCGCGCTCTCAATACGTGCTGAACACCAAATTCGCGGATGATCGAGAACGCCTCGATCACACTTACCTTCACACCCTCTTACCCTTGGAAGGGCAGGTCGCCAGAATCACCAAGCGCGATGAGGAGATGCGTCGCGAGAAGGCCAAAAGATTCCCTGGGACCGTCGCCGAGTTTCGCGCGCTGGACAGCGAGACGCAGCTGCGTGTCGCGACGTACCTCACGTCGGACCCGTTGAAGCAGGAGAACATGAGAGCGCAATATGGCTGGGTGTGGCGTCAGACACAGGCACTCGTCGATATGTGTGGTACAGATGTGCGTCGCTGTTTTTGAAACTTCGTTACATCCAACAATTGATTGATGTCTGCCTAGGGCGGCTTCATGATAGAGGTCAAGGCAGCCGCTAGGAAGCAATGATCTGCCTTGGTGATGTATTTGCCCGTACCCTTTTGATTGATTAGACTTCCTACGTTTGATCCATGTTTGGCCCTCAGCAGGCCAAGCAAGAGAGTATATATTTCCTGCTAATCCACTCATTGTTGAAAAACATCGAAGATTGCGCCGAAGTGGTATCTCTTCGGGCACAGCTTGAACTTGTAAACAGTGGGACTTCTTAGTACTGCTCGGAATCCAACTTTAACCCCTCGGTGGATTGCATCATTTACCAGCGAACGTACGTAGGCACCCTTTGATAGTATTTTGTACGCTCGCTCACACGTCCTCAGCTTTTTCGTGGAAATTGTATTCCCCAAAATGTACTTCGCGTGGCTTCACAGCAATGCCTGTGAGCTCGCGACTCTGTTGCTTTCCTGATGGAAATAGAACAACAGGAACGTAGATTTGCTGGCGAATTCGATGCACTTTTTTGGCGTCTCGTACCAGCCACCCAGCTTATCGAGTACAGCGTGCATGTCACCGTCCCGCCATAAATCTTCCTTATCTATACCTTCTACACCTTCGGGCTGTAGCTTCGTGTACTTCAAGCTTTACGATACCCTTTGACTTGCGGGCCCCGACTACCAGATCCCCGACTTGAGCAGCGCTCCCAGTCCCAACCCTAATCCACAATATTCACGCCCTCCTCCGCTTCCAGGTTCGGTTGGCATCTACGTATACGTCGCTCTGAACCCGATATGTCTTCTGCAGATTGAAGATATGACAAAATCTATGGCCTAGTGGTACCGATTCATACATTGTCGAGCACTCTTCACGAGGAACGAGCACGATGAGGTTCAGCTCTATGTTTTCTCGACGAGCCTTGTCCCTTCGGATATGACCATAGCCACGCTTCTAAATCGCGATGGTATGATCAAGCCGCGGAGGTCAGCACTTATTACAGGTCTTACAGGTCCTGCTGATGCTACATGGAACCGATGGACTCATGTATAAAACATAGCTGTTTTGATGCTCGTTGCAGATAAAACTTCAAGCAAGGCCCAGGGGTCAACCAGAGAAGTCGGCATTCTCGGCTAAGAATCCCATCGTGTCTCGATAGAACATATCGTTGGTTAAATTTATCAGCAAGCCACGGACGTGAGGATCCCCCTTGATGCTACTTCATATACTTATTCATGCCGACCTCCATCTTCGTAGCTGCCACGATTTTCTGAACCTGCATCGCTGGTTTGACAGGAATATTTCTGGGTTCGTGACCTACCTGCTTGCTTCGAAATCCCCCCTCTCTTGAGGTCTGTGAAGAGCCCATGCTTGATGATACTCCGTGCACTACTCATACAAGCGGCTGTAGTACCTTGCTCGGCGAAGTTGATGCCGCCCGCTGTAAGGAACAGCGCAAGATGCGAAACCCTTCATATGGGAGGTTACGCGATGCTGTATGTCTACCAGACAAGATCGCTGGCAATACGCCAAGTTCCCAACAGTGCCAGCGAGGTTTGATCGGGGTGTTAGACCAAGCTGTGATGGGGAGTCCCCGAGTATGTGACTTGTAGGCATCAAGCATCATCGCTGTTCGCGCTGGTAATGGCTAAATTCGAACTAGACAATTGCTAGCTAGGGGTTGATGCAAACAATGGGAGGTTTCTGTGAACCGGGATAGTCGATTCGAAACAGATAGCGTGATCTGACAAGTACCACCAACTAAGTAAATGATCTGCAACCTTGTAGAACAGCCATCTCTGCGGAACCGCACGACCGCTTTCCGACGTCTCGTGTCTGGTCGTTGCTACGCACGCTATCCAATCCGCTGCATGTACATTAGAGTACAGTAGTCAAAGAGTGCCTTTCTGCCTTCTGGCAGCCGGACCCGGAGTGTGGCATCAAGCCATCAGTTTTGGTCCCGCGTTTTGATGTGAGATACGAATGATGGATGGAGCATTTGGTTGGAATCTTGCTTTACTACGCTGATGAACTGTACCGCATGAAAATTTCACGAATGCACTGGCACTCGCCAACGCAGCCCTCGGGTCAAATGTTGTGTTGTCAGCGCAAAAGTCTGGCATGCGATTATGGCAGAACATGCCTTTTTGGTATATAAATCCTGCGCTTCTGAGCTGCCCGACCACAACTCTCCGAAAACCCACCAGCCTCCACATTCACCGGTCTTGAATCAGGTTTATATCGCTGTGAGTATTCCGAATCGCCAACTCATATATTCAATTTTCCACTGATGATCGGCCCCAACCATATAGACCGTCGCTTCCATCAGACTTATCACGGCTGTACGGCAGCGACCTGGCAATTAATTGTCGACTAGAATTGACCATAAATCGTGCTTCGACCGCGGTTCATTCCTGCATTGACGCTACATATCCTGCCACTACACGACAGTCTGGTCGTCGATAAGCTTACCAACAAATGTACGCTCAGAATCCACGAACGTCGGCGTCGAGCTCGAGCAGTTCCAGCAACCACAGCGCGCAATGGGGGAAGCAGAATTCACCCGTAAGTAGCATCGTACCTGGCATTCACTACCAATTCAGCTAACGGTTCCTACTTGACTCTATCCGTTACATGGAACTGCGGAACCACCGGTTGTTACCGTCTCTGCTCTCTGGCCGTTTTCCAGTCGGATGTGTCTGCTGCAGTACACAGGCTCCTGCTTTCGACGAAGCAACTGCAAGAATCCCTTCGACTATGGAGTACAGGGCAGTTGACTGAGACAGAAGTCAGCGACGTGTACGTTACCGTTGGGACAGACTTCAATAATGTCATTAGAGCTTTTGCGTATCATCGCATCGATCTAACGTGAGTCATCGCTTCTTTTCCTTTCCTTGTCCTTGGTACTTGAACTAGCGCATTCTTTGAAACAGTGACATCCATTCCATCCCCCAAGACTTACGCGCAGTTCTTGAACAGTGCCTGTCAGAAGATCCATCACCAGAGGCACTCGCGACGTACATGCCTGGTGTGCGGCAAGTCTTATTCAAGCTACTCAAGGGTCTTCAAACCCGAGAGGCAGCCTGGAAGGCTGTCAAAGGAACCATGATGTCGTAATTCTCTCGTCCAGTCTGTACATGCCCCTTCTCTTTACCCCCTCTCTCGACGTCCACCTACAGCAAGTCTACCCAACTTCATTGTACACATACCAACTAGAACCCCGCCCAGCGCGGAGCATGCCTTACACGCAACCCTTATTTCCGCCGATGGACACACCCGTCGGCCTCTTTCTGCCTCGATCATCGGAGCAAGAGACCCCCTGGCCCCCGCCCCCCCCGTCTTTAATTCCACGCGCGTCGCCCATGTAGTTCATTTACCCCGCAACATCTTGCGCCCTCTTGAATGAGCATGCGCACTCAACTTCGTCGCTCGTTAGTTATCGAGGTATTTCACGGACATCAATTTTGTATACTTCATCTTGAATACTTATAGCCATGGTCTACATATATAGGTTACTTCGTTGTATCTTCCTCTTAGCTGTCGTAATTGTGGCCAAGCTTGCTTGGACTCTTCTGAAGTGATTCATGAAGTTCCCGTTTCTCTCCCAAACTAGCGAACATCGTGCCGGGTGTGTAAACCAAGCAGTGCACGCTGCTGCCTACACTGCCCCCTCGTGTCCAAGTCATGAAAACACCACCTGGTGTATAGCGCCTGAATAGATTCACAAAAGATAGGCAACACGCTGCCCCCTCATGTCGAGATCGTATGCCTTTAGTAGCCTCGCAAAATCGATGCGCCACTGCCCACACGGATTGCGCCCCCTCTTGACCTCAAGGAGCAATAAAGCGGCAGTCCATCTACCTCTTGTCATTGAAGTCGCTGCGGCTTTTTAGCAATGAAGCCACTCTTTGGCAGAAGCGTCTCAGCCAAGCTTACCAAGGACAACGACATTCATCTCAAGCGAAAGGTATGGCGTCTATCACTCGTTTATTTCTCATCTGAATCGTGACTACCATGTAGGGGATAGTAAGGGCATTTCTGCGGCGGTTCACGCAGGGGCAGCCCCGCAAACTGGATAATCTATCGCCACAACCATCGGGTTCACCTGAAAACTACGTGATTGTGTGCGTATACATTCATCGACCGTCCGAAGTTTCACCAAACCCGTTCAGTGTGTTAGGCCTGGCAGGTTCCGGGAAAAGCACAGTACGCTCTTCTCGTCTTTTCACCCTTTCCTGTAGTTTGACAACTCGCAGTTCATCAATTTGGCTACCAACCGGCGGACAACCATTGCAGACAAACAATCACTAGAAATTGCAACAAAATCCATACATTCGATCTCATATACGCCCGAGCACCACGCATGCACTTTCCACTTCATAGACACACTCGGGCTGGACATAGACAATCATCAAACATGCCAAATCTTCGATCAGGTTGCTCAGTTGTTCGTTTGCTTATTTTATCCCTCTTTGGCAATAGGCTGACTGACACATGTGTGTATTTCAGGTCCCCCAGTCGACGGATAGATGCCTTGATATATCTGCGGAGGAGCGATGACCACCGATCAGTTGACCCAGCTGTAGCATACGCTCGCGTTTTTTTGTCTCTGGGTGGGGCGGACTGGAAGCGCAAGACCACGTTTGTTACTACGCAGTGGGGTACACCCACAAAGAAGGCAATGCAGATGGCAGGGAGACAGTCCATTCTTTGGCGTGCATCCCAAGCGCGAGTCGACCGGTTTTATGGCCAATACGCAGACGCCTGGCGTATAATCGACCGGATGTATAATTCAGTATGTACGCTTTATGCAATAAACTTTTCAACCTCAATAACATATCTCAATATTTGTTAGGTTCACGTAATAGCGTACGTTCCGAACACCAATGCGCTTGTAAAGCCAGCTAAAGATAACCGATAGACTACTGGGAGCGTCAGGATCCGGGAGATCTACGGTAATTAGTGTTCAACGGGCAGTCCGGCCTTTACTGAGTCGCTTATTATGTACTTTCAGTTTATCAACACAGCTGCTGGAAGGCCTATGCCTTCCGCTGACCCGAATAAACCGACATTGGAACCAAACACAATGGAAGTCGAGGCTATCCCGTACGAGCAATCCACACGAGGGAGCGAGATCATCTTTATCGACACACCTGAGCTGCAAAATATCGACCAAATTCAGATTGCCAAAGTTCGTGCGAGGTAAGCGAGCCATTCAATTCGAGAGCAATTTATGCGATGTATTAACCAAACCACGAATGGTTTAGGTGCCCTAAGAGACGCGTGGATGGTATTATCTACTTGCAGAATATTGGAGACAACCGAATCCAACCGATCACCACCTACGAAGGTACCTTCAAGGCCCTTGCTGGTGAGGATTGGGCAAGGAAAACAGTTGGGGTGACTTCGATGTGGCCGCTGGATGACCAACCGGAGGGGCAGTTGCAAGCTAGACACGCTGAACTCGCTCGTCTTTGGAAAGCAGCAGGAATGAAGGAAGCACAATTTTCTAAGGTTACTCAAGACGAAGCTTGGCAAATTATCGACCTTTTGTTGGATAATCCAACCATACGCACTCCCTTGTAGCATAAATGCATACCTATCACGACCCCCCGGCTTTCCGTTCCTCCATGCGTATGTGGGAGCGGAAGTGCATCTCCATTCTCCTTATGTACATCTATTCGAGTACTTACTGGTGAAGAATAGTCGAGAAGGTCTAATTTGAATTGTAAATTCTCAGACTCTCAAAACAGTGCCACGATATCGGACGAAGAGCCTCGGTATATTCGCAACTGCCATGAGAAGATATTGGTCAAGAGCGCTGGCAATGGTCGTTGACATGCGAACAAGATACTCCGCAGAAAAAAGTATATTTCAAACAGATCATTTATACACAGTTAATATCACAAACATCCAGAATCGAATACAGACCCATTGGCAAAGGTTGGAAATTCATAGCAGCAGAACCAGCATATTCAGGTATCGAAGCATTTACGATCCAGGGCTGTAGGAGACGTAGACAATGAGCGCGCCTTGACATATTGGGTGACTAGGGTGACTAAAAACTTACACGGGAGGGACAGAGGTTACTGGGCCTGAGAAAACGAAGAGATATACCAGTCAGTTCAAATAGCGCGGCGATAAAATGTTAACACCGCATGTATTCACCTGGGTCAGCAGTAAGAGCAGGGAAAGGCGTCTCGGCGCACTGATCACAGATCGTGAGGACCCTCATTTATCCAGGGAAACAAGTGCACGTACCGCTTGCTCTACATCGCTAAGAGAAAATCCCGCCGGCAAGTGGGCCGCTCCGACAAGGGCAGGAGGGGTGGGGATAATATCAGAGCAATCAATCAGTTTGCTCTTGTCCTGGCCAAGAAGAGCCATCTTCGACATGGTACCAGCGAAGCGGTTCTGAATCTTCGGCTGGTTGTCTGGTAGTAGGGCGATTTAGTCAGCCTCTGCGTTACACAGTATGAAAGGCAATATTTTACTCACTAACCATGGACTGCCATTCGCAGGCAGTCTGGGGGTCTTTGGAGGCTATGAGCATCGACATCAAAGGCTGCAAGGAAGACTCGTACCTCTAGCCAACTATCCGATAGATATTTGTCAGTATCACTAGTTGAATAATGAACTGAAATGGCCTCACCAAGTGATCTGACTGAAGCCTGATCTCCCCTTGCAATGGAGATTGGACTTCTCCCTTGTTGTCAGGAGTACTAGATACAACCTGAGCGGGTCATATTTTGGTGAGTCAGAAATGGAATCACTTACCCTGGAAAGAGTCTGCCTTTAAGTTGCGTTTCGATGAAGAACTGAGAATCAAAAACTCCGGGGGTTGAATCGAATGGCGTTCTGACATGAAGTCAGTAGCTGACCGCGCCAGTGGATGTTCGTTCTTACCCAGGAATCTAGACAATTATAAGGTATTAGCCTTTACAATAAACTTGCCAGTGCAACTCGACTTACCGATGGGTCAACCTTGTCGGCAGCGGCAATGGAGTGCCTAGGCTACAAGTTAGATCGATGGTGGTGCTTACATCTCTCCATGCACTCACGAAGCCAGGAGCCAAACGACCTCGACGGCACTGAAGCCTGCGTCACCCATTCTGGCAAGAATAGTGTCAACAGAATCTAGGCGAACCCACACCCTCAGTTCTCGTCAATAATATTACCGTATCCAAACGTACCAAAAGGCTCTGGCACGAGGTGGTCCGGGGAGGCGGCTACGGCATCCGGGCGACCCAAGAAGAATGGAATCCTGACACCACCAGGGCAGTTGGAGACTCCAACGGCACCAGCAAATTGAATGCTAGAATTGTTTGGTAAGGGTCACTTTAACCTCTAACATGAAATGCTTACAAGTCGCCGGCGGAGATGTTGTGTTTAGCCACGAATGGCTTCTGAGCGCTGACAATTTCATCGATGCCAGCATTGGCGGGGAAATTGGTCTCAATGGTGTCGAATGTGATGATGGAGCCGTCAGCTCCTCCTCCCCTGTTGTGCATAGGTTAGATAATAGACAACACGGGTGATGATCGTTACCTTACCCTAAAGTAGGAGAGAAACCGATTGCATCGTGGAAAGTCAAACGAAGGGACTCGTGTACCTGTGTACGCGCGTGAATTAATAGCCGTTCTGCATTAGGACAATAAGTATAGCACCTCTTCTCCACACTGGGCACCGTCGAAGAGGTTTTCCTGGATGTCATCCAGGATGGGGAACAGAACGCAACATGCAGCATTTGCGGTGGTGCGTCCATCGGCGCAAGTTGCGCGTTTCTGGACGAGAGGCACAGCAGCTGAAACACCAGTCAGCAAGGTTGCCTCGACATCGTAGTCAGAGACGAAGCCCACCACTCGTGAACTGGATAGCGGCGCCGAGCGCAAGCACAAGAGCGGAGAGCGTCTTGAAAGACATTGCAGTGGGTTGTAAGACTGGGGATCTTGGGGAAGAAAGAGAGTTAGTAGGCGGCCTTTTATACCGCAAAACTGCACAGTAAAGCGTCAGTATATCGATGACTCGACCAATACCATCCCTCGTTTCCATGAAATGTCAGCGGAGAGGGTCCATTGGTTTGGTGTGTGGACGCGACGAAGAGGTTCGCCATAGAGGCATGGGCATAACCTGCACGGAAAGGCCGTGTATTCCCACCTCATCCTGAAGGTCGAGCGGGATCCATGCGATACATTTGACCGAGAGCGCGACCGACGCGACGGGTCCCAGTGCTACGGGCAAAGATGCTAACAAACCCTGATGCCGATTGGAAATTTTCAACAACAAAGGGGCGGCTATCAGAGTTCTTCCCCGGCTCTGAAGTTTGCCATGTAGACAAAGCACAAATGGACGATTGCGATTGCACAATCGAGGATGTCCGTTATCAGAGGGTGGCCATCTTTTTTTTACCTCTCAAGATTCAACGGGGTCGGGTGTCGCTGACCCCTCATTGCGGAGTGCACAGCAGCCAGGCTCGACTCTGAAAATACTAGTAGTCGTCAGCAATGGCGCAAAGTTCGGCATCATATCATCTCACTCACAAATGGGGCCAAGCTCCGAGAATAATATGTACGCCTTCGAAGATCGCAGTAGCTCTAATACGCGAGCTATGATTCGACCTTTGTAACACGATGTCAACGCATTCCGGCTGTACGGTAACGGGCGAGACGCCAAGCAGCCTTCGGAAGTTGGATATGAATTCGGCATGGTTGATGCCTTCGGTTATCAGACCTCGATAGAGTGATTCACTGATTGTTTATACAGGTCGACATGTATTAGTGGTGGAAATGCCCGAGGTCATGAGAATTCCGTGGAGGGAGCTACATAGACCACTCAAGAAGCATCGACCTTCGTTTTGCACTATTGTAAACTTCTATTAGCTTATCGGAAACATTCACAAAAAATGATAGAATGTACTAGATATCAGCATGTTGGTGATTCCTTTTTCGATCGAAATGCACGAAGAAGACCCTTCCGAAGTGGAATCGATGAGGATAGATAACCGCCATAACATGAGCAGAGTCGTCGGTTTCAGTAAACAAGAACGTAGTCGGAGCCGAGACAGGGGATACACCATCAACCCGACGCCATTATCCATATGCCGTGAACAGATCAGTCTCACGAAGGGCAGTAACGGCGCGTTGACTAGAAAACTCAGTGTTTCGGACCACTGATGTGAGATATATTTAATCTATGAGAAGGCTGGAGACTCTTTTCAGGGCCGAAAAGGGGGACGTCAAGCCATGATTAGATCATGATGTTAAAGACTACGAAGGTGGCCACAGGCGAGCATGGAGAGGCAGAACTTCAACAAAACGCGAGCGCGCCGTCACGTGGAAACCCAAAGCTTGGAGACTGTCACATTCTGTCACGCTACAGAACAGCCCTCGACGATCCTTCCTTCTCACCCAACAATTTCGGGCATCACAGTTGCGACTATGAGTTACGGCAAAACGCTCTTCTAAGGCTCATAACCCAACCGTGCTGGAGATAGAACCTCTTATCACATCGAGGCCGCTCTACACTGTCCCGATTCCATCATGAACTATTAGTCGCAATACAATGTGCGTGTGCTTTCAATTACTGGAATTATTCTCTGCTGTTCTGACGTTACGTTAGTGCAAGGTCCCCGGACAAATTTGCATGGTCGGGTCGCCTCGTGCTGTGTCGCGATCAGCTCATTCCGTGCCCAACGCGCTGATGCAGCACCAGCACATGGGGATTCGAGGGCTCACACGCAGAAGAGTGAATACCCCTTTGCCATCTCTGAAACTCAAATTGACATGAGTACAGACATACTAGGGGAGGAAGGCCGAACAATCAGTGAGGACATCAATCTTCCCAGTACGCAGGTATACTTAGACTTTGGTGAACTCTTCGATGAGTCCCTGAACCGGCACTGTTCCCCGAGCGAAGACGTGCGCAACACCGCAGTTCGCCACCTCACTATGCAGAGGCAATATGGATAGCCTATCCCACTTGCCGGTCGCAGTATGTACTGTGCACTGATGAAGGGGAAGAACACTTCAGGCGGTATCCAGAACTCAGGTATCATCACTTCTTTAACCACGTATGATGCTGAAGCGTTTAGGCATGTTCCTCGGAGATCTCCCCTCTTGAAATCAGAGACGCGGGATCATGCAGCTTACAGCAAAGGACGGCAATGCATCCGTAAACTAGGATAGCTAAGGACCTCTGAATCAATGGAAACGTAATTATTCTCTGTCGGCTGAAGAGTTCCGTAAGGCCTATAATCATTGATGCTGCTCTAGGTTTGCCTTTAACACGCCAGAGAATTGTTACTTCCGAATCGGTGACTTGTTCTTGACAGCCAATGTTTCACGATCCTCACCGTGTCACGTCCCCCACCTTTTCCCAGTTGATTTAGCTGGAGTTTCTCGACCCCTTCCAAGGCAAGACGTGTAAGAGGGTGTATATCTGCTGGTGAGCTTTCAAACGTTCATTTACAACTTCGATCGTCTTTCTCCTCGCGTTAGCATTTTACGTTTTGCTTTGCGGGGAGTCCCTACCAACCGATTGGTCTTCTATTCCTGAGGAAGGACATGTCGGAGTGACTGCTGTGTCAAGTGTACATAAATTGAGGTGTGCCTTGCCAACTTCCTCCGACAACGAGTCTCTCATCCTTCTTGATCTGGAATAGACATTGACATTTTGCGCATGCGCCGCAGGGTCCACCCCCACTGTAGATGATTTTCTAAACACAGCGATTTGTAAAGATTCCGGGGCTTCGACAGTTCACGCACGTCAAGCCTCCTCAGGTTAGGGCAAGGTTAGGGGCCTCGAAAGGTCGAACATTGTGCATCTGTCAGGACATTGGTCTGATTGTGGGAAGAGGCCTACTGACTGTGCGAATGTGACATATGAATTCCTCGGGGAAATCGTTTTGTCCCTTCATGCAGCTTGCTTGACACAAAAGTATAACGACCGCGTATTACTCCAAACAAGTCGTGGTCCATGTCAGGCCAAGCCTCACCATTGGACTCGGCCTCCGATTTCTAATTTCCCGGTGCTATATCTGACGATCATTCACGAAGGAAGGTTAGACATCACCTGGGCATGCTGTGTGACATATAGTATCCTACCCTGCACCATCCTCCGTCCTACAATATTCCAGCTTCCGCGACATTCTCCACGAAGATAGTTTGGACACGTTGCTTCCCAAACGGGAGCAAGCCTGACGCTAAACGCCTCAAGTTCTTCGCATGCATCCTAACGGTCTACTATGTAAATGCAGCCTGCGACAGGTAGGCATCATCAACCACCTTGATCGCCATCCACCCTTCCCCACCCGCCATGGCTGCACCTATCCATATCGCCGTCCCCAAAACTGAGGTCGCCCCAGTCCCTTGCTCCTCTCCGGCTGCCCAAATGTCTTTTGAATACCATCCCCAATTCGCGTTCGCCGATGCGGACGTCGTCCTATGCTCGACAGAGGGTACGCTATATCGCGTATATTCATATACCCTCAAAACGACGTGCGGGCTCTTCCGCACTATGTTCTCTCTACCCCAGAAACTCGGTGTCGAAGCGGACAGCAAGACACCCGAGCCGATCCCCATATACGAACACGACAATGTACTCGAGAAGATACTCTGCATGATACACGGTCTACCGATACCGAAATGGAAGTCGCTTGACGACCTCGAGCAGGTACTCTTCCTTGCTGAGAAGTGGGACGCGCAAGGGCCGCAGGACGCTATTCGCGCCGTGCTCACGTCGCCCCAATTCCTCACCGAACCCCTCCGTGTGTACATTCTTGCTACTCATTTCGACTGGGAAGACGAAGCCAAACTCGCTTCCCAAAGCACCCTATCCCTATCCCTCCATGACGAGACCCATCAGCCGCTTCTTTCACGACTTTCATCGAAATACCTCGTCCCATTACTTAATCTCCACCGGCGACGACGGGATCTATTCAAGGAACTCCTTGACAGCCCCGAGCGCTTTACAGCAGGGAACAGCAACCCCTACCATTGTTCGCGTTGCGGCGTCACACAGCTCGAAAATCACTCATGGCGTGAGCTCAAAGCCGCCATGTTCATCGAGATTGACAGATGTCCCCTCGGAGATCGGATAGGGAGCTTGGATCTAGCTTCATGGCCAGAGGCACAGGCGTGTTGGGTCGCCCGATGTAGGAAGGAAGGATGCGGGGGACTGAACTATGATAAGGCAGCCACTCTAAGGCAAATTAAAAACTGCCTGGATCAGCTGCCTATGACGATTTGAAGATAGCGGTGCGGGCACCCAGGCGCTTTGATGGAGATATGGCGGAGTGGTAGCCGACACATACCTTTTCCCGCAGCAAGCATTTAATCATATGGCCATATATACATACTGTCGATAGATGAGTGGGTTCGTTGTACGTCCTGGATGCTTATGTATCTAGCTTCGTGTTACAGAGGTTTTAATTGTAACATGCACCTATGTATCAATATTATCAGACTCGATCCACTTGCGATTGACCTCATAATCAGCATGGCAAATGTAAAGTCCGCAAAGAACCCTCGGTAGCAATGGTATGAGTTTGCGTAAAGACGTCAGGGGACGATCGCGTGGGGCAGCTTTAGCTACCGAGCGGGAATACACCAATTGTCGAGGCGGTGGCATACCATTATGCATTACCGGGTTCCTCTTACTGACTAGAGCGTTATCTTTGCACGCGGAGTCTTTCCGATGTTCTAGAGGTAGATTACTATTTTCCAGTCTATACACGAGCAAGACAAACCGAATAAAAGTACGCGTCCTCGGGGAAAGGGATGATGCAAATAGGCTTGTCTATGTACGAGTATCTACTGGAACGCGAGTATGAGGTATGCGCAATGCAATCAGAGTAGTGAGTTGCGACGACGGGGGTTGTGCGGGGGAGGTTACGAGGAATAAAATAAGTAAAGACCAAAACGACGACGGTAAAGAGCGAATGGATGAAAATTGTTCATGTCATTATCATGCGAGATTATATCTCTGTGTACGTTTCATCCTAGACGAGCAGACTGAATTAGATGCCATATACTTAAGTAGGCGAAGCGACCCACTATGTGCAATTGGTCGGCCGCAATAAGTCCTTTACTTGCCACCGGTTGTTCCCATACCCATGGCAGCCTTGAACGAGTCGTAAATCCACCATTGGAAGCCTGTCGCGCCACAGAAGTCAGAACCGAGAGGTCTAGTGCACAATGAACATGAATAGGCTCACCAGTCAAAGTACCAATCATCAGGACACGAGTACCCAAACCCTTTGTGGCGAGCTTAGCAATTCCGACTTCGCTAGCGATTTGTCCAACGCCCTTGCCCTTGTTCTCAGCCTTTCCGAGGAGCGAAACTAGGGAATCCGCAGGGTGCGAGACGATAGCGCAGACAACACCAGCAAGGTAACCAGAAGCGAAAGTAACACCGAGTTGAGTCCCCTTGCTGTAGGAGGACTTGGGCTCAGTGAAGACGTGGGTGTAGAAGAGGGAGACAATCTTCTCGAAGAAGAAGAACTTCGCCATTGTGTAGGGGATCTGTCGCGACCACAAGGGAACGAGGGAGCCGAAGGGGAAACGGGTCTCAACCTTGGTGGCGCGCATCTGAGCGAGAGCAGCGCCGAAGCCGACCGGGAAGGTACCACTGGGACTTGTCTGGATCTTGACTTTTGTCATCTCGAGCGGGCAGAGGGCGATATCGGCGAAGACCTCGGCAGAGGCAGAACCCGCAAGCCAGATAGCGGGCTTGTACTTCTCCGAAGCCTCCTCACCGGCCAAGTTCATGTAGAAGTCTTTGAACACTTCATATAGACCGTACTTGAACATGCCCTGCAAGGAGTAACCGACGAAAGTCGGGCCGAAGCCCTTCCAGAGGCCTTTTGAACCTTCTTCAGCGATAACCGTCTTGAAGCCCTGACCGAGGCCCTTGTATTTTCCGGGGTCTACCTAGAAGAGAAAGGGCGTTAAATAGGCCACAAAAACTCAAGTCGCGGGGGAGACAAACCTGCATGTTGCATTTCACGACGTCCAAAGGTGTAATCCCGGCGTGCGTGATACCGCAAGCAAGGACACCACCTAGCATGCACTTGGAGTAGTAGGAGATGTCATGGGGAACAGGTCCAATGTACCTAGAAGTTACATCTCAGTCCTACAATTCCACAACAACGAAAATGCGCCGGGCAATGACACATACCTGGCATCCCATTTGCCGCTGATAGGTGCTACAGACATCGTTGAGGCCGTCTAAGGGAGTTTTGGTGGTCTATATAGAGGGACTTGACTGGATTGCCTGTCCAAGGTCAAGGAGCTGCGAAGAGCTGGTGGTAGTGGTGAGGGTAAGAGAAGGGTGATTGACGGAAATGTGATGCCAGCTCGGACTTGTATAGCAAATTTTTGCACGCGCCGGACTCTCCCGCAATTCGCCGAGCCAATCAAGGCGGCTCATCTATCACGTTCATCGCCGACCACATCGTCCAAGTGTAATATTTTAATCACCACCAGTGCGGTGTTAGCTTCAAAAGTACCTCATGCTGGCCTTCAAGCCACAGTACGCAATACTCAGGACTCAAAATCAATTCCAAGCAAAATCTATATTACGGGAGACGATTTACCCACTACCGAATCTAACGGACGGGTTGCCGAAGATATGCGTCACCGAAACGGTTGCGGCTACCCGGAACGCCAATATGTTGTCGCAGATAGCTTCAATGGGACACACGGAACATCGATATAATTGCGGAGTGATATATAGATAGATAAACCGGAAACCGAATGGCCGTCAAACTTTGGCTTCGTCACCAGTCGGCTTGGGCGACTTCGCCGGAATGACAATGGGTTCATTGTTCATACGTTTCTCTTGCCATTCGTGGACCCGCGAAGTGATCAGGCCCTCCCTATTGGCGCGTCTCTCTGCGACCAATTTGAGAATTTGAGCTCTGTTAGCGACCAAGGGTCCTCTCCACTTCCAACCGGGACTATTCCTCGAGTCGGAACGCGTCAGGCGAAGTAGCTCGTACTTCTGCTGCCACTCCGTCTGCTTGATACCGAACTTTTCTTCTATCCACTTCTCGCGGTCCTCTTTCTCCTTCGGCTCCATGTCTTCGACACGGAGTGGGTAGTAGAAGGGGTCTATCAAGCCCACAACAGCCCGTTTGTATGTCTTGTGGCTTTTCGTTGTATAAGACCCGGTAGCTGTGCGATGCAGAGGTGACCGATAGATGTCGGTACGGATGTAGGTGGTTTTCACACCGTACACAGAAAGAAGATACGAGCGTATGTCGGTTTTCGTGATAGAAAGTGGGACACGGAAGGTCGCCTCAAACGGATTGTAAGGCTTTCCTGGCGGCGTTTGATTGCGCACAAGGCGGAAGATAATGTTGGGAAGATATATCTTTTGGCCGACGACGGATGTTTCTTCGACTCCTTCGCTGGTCGTCTGTTGACGGAAACCACGAACCCTGGACCGTCGCTCGTTGACGGACTTGATCCATTGAGAGGCAGACATTTCCTTGCCAGGTCGCCCCAGTTCCCCCTTCGCTTTCAACCGTTCATAACGCGCGCGGTCCGTCGGGGTGAGGTCCGACTTTGTGAACTTGGTTCCTTTGCGAAGCCTGCGTAGACGTACGGCGCGGGGAGTTGAGTTTTCGCGAGCCACCAGGGCTGGCCCAGGTATCGTCGCGTAGAACCGTCTGAAAGTACTGGCAATGGACTGCATCTGCAGCTGCGCGTCGAATTTGCAGGAGAGCGCTTGCAACTGCAGACGAGCAAAACTACCATTACCAGAAGTAGCAGTGTTTCCCACGGATGTGGCCTGTCCGCACGCGTGCTCCCCCTGTCAGTGTCACACTTGGATCGTCGTGGACTCTGCTGCACTTTCTTCTTGACTCTCATCGCCTTCGCCAACGCGGCTCTTTGTAGCCATGGCCATAACCATACAGCGGGTGAACAGGACCGTACGCTCAACATGCGCACCCATGCTTGCCATCGTCGGATTCTCCTGCCTACTCACCATCCTGTTCGTCTTGTATCAGCCAACCCTAGGACCAGGCGCTTTGCAACGAATTGATTGGCAGTCTTGGGAGGTAATCGACTTACCTCTCGACAATGCAGCGGCGGGTAGCTCCCATGAGCAGTCAGCCGATCCGCAAGTCGGGCTGGGCCACGGTGCTGGGGACACCAAGCCTGGGGGAGTAGATTGGTGGAATGTGACGGATAGCATCGACACTGGCGTAGACTTTGCTAGCTTACCTTTGGATGTATGGAACCCGTTGTTGCCGCATAATACTGGCAGTGCGTTACATTGCTGCTTATTCGCTTACATGTGTGCTAACTATGAATCAGTATCTGAAATTACTATTTCTCGATGCATGGTCAGCCCGAGCATGGCTGGCGATATTTGTACGCCGTACACTACCAGCGCAGATGACTCCCACAAGGGCAAGTGGGTACGGATCGACAGGAACTTGGACCGCGAGTCAGGCGCCTGGTATCTCGTACGTCTCTTTGACGATACCACCTGAAGCGTGACGCTTACAGCCTTCTAGCACATATATTACAGAAGGACCCGTCGTCAGGATATACCTCTTATCGACGACGTACTTCTGTTGGGCGACGCCGAGGAGCCTCCAGCACGACCTGACGGCTCGTGGCAGAGAGTATCTCGTTCCACGCGTGATGGCGTTGTTCACGTTCCAAAGCTCTTCTTGTGGTACCACCTGGGAAAGACCCTGCAGGAAATGACAAATGAAGAGCGGCAGAAGGACTTGATAACGGAACTCGATATCCTCTATGGCGAAAATCCTCCTTGGTTCGGTTTCAGTAAGGTCGATCCGCCTATCACTGCAGAACAAGAAGGAAGGATACAAAGCGTGTGGTTGACGTATCGCAGAGGTGTGAAGATTCCTGCAAAAGCGCCACCGCTCCATTTCTCGCACGATGGTAAATTCAAGATCATGCAAGTAGCCGACTTGCACTTCTCCGTTGCCCCAGGAGACTGCAGAGACACGATTTTGTCTCCTTGCACACATTCCGACAATCTAACGAATACTCTCCTTTCACGTGTACTCGACGACGAGAAACCCGACTTGGTGGTGTTCACCGGCGATCAGCTCAACGGCCAGGGTACTTCCTGGGATGCTGGCTCCGTGCTGTCGAAGGTTACGCGCCTGGTGATTGAGAAGAAGATACCGTGGGCCGCAGTCTTCGGTAACCATGATTCTGAAGATGAACTCAGAAATGGAAGGAACGGCCGAGAAGAACAGATCAAGATGATGCAAGCGCTGCCTTACAGTCTGGTGCAAAGGGGACCGAAAGATGTACATGGCGCAGGGAACTACCTACTGAAGGTGAAGAGTGCAGATCCGTATGTATATTCTTGTGAATTTCTATAGGTGATACGTTGCTCATCGAAACACTCAGGTCGAAGACACATCTGTTAACTCTTTATTTCTTAGATTCTGGATCTTATTCGAAAGGTATCCTCGACTGGTTTGGCTTCTTCACCCCGACCGAGTACGACTATATTCGCGAGGTATGTAAATCATCTGAATACCGTCTCTATTGCTCACGTATTTCGTCTCAGAGCCAAACCAACTGGTTCCTTCAGGAATCAGGTATGTTGAAATATTTTGGCATGTCAAGTTCCTTTCCTTACTTTCTATCTTAGCTTCGATCAGGGCCATTGAACGTCCATTCCATCCAGACACCGGCAAAGACTTTGGTGACATTTGGAAACGTCAAGGTGTGGACCAACTGACTCCGGCAACCCGCAAACTAGCAAAGCCAAATGCGTTCATGTTCTTCCACATTCCTCTGTACGTTGCATTCCGTCCCAATAGGTATGGCAGTTATTCTAACGGAACACAGACAAGAAGCCTACGCCAAAGCAGACATCGATCCCGTCACTAACAAGGCTCTCGACGTGGGCAGGCATGGTATGGAACCTGCTGGGTCTGCAAAAAAGAACGAAGGATTCTTTGAGAAGGGGTTGTTGAGAGCGACGGAAAGCGATCATGCCACTAGCAGTGGTATTCCCGAAGTGAAGGTTGTTGGGAATGGACACTGTCACAGTCAGTACAGCACCGATACGCTATTTGATTATGCCTCGCTCATCTCATCCTATACAGTAACGGAGAACTGCAGGCGCGTTAAAGGCATCTGGAATTGCTTTGGAGGAGGAGGGTAAGCTGATTCCCATGCACCTTCAGCCTTATTGATTTACATATGCCCCCGCTTCTAGATCATACTCTGGTTACGGAAAGGTAGGTTTCGACCGTCGCTTCCGTGTATACGAGGTCTCCGATTTCGGCGAGACGATCAAAACCTACAAACACACGGAGAAGGATGAGATTGTAGATGAGATGGCACTGGCTGGCAAGGATGCACCGAGGCTTTCGTCTTAGTTGTCGTGCGGTTAGCCGTTGAGTGGTGTTGTCATTTATATAGATGTGGATTTAATATGTATTTCTATGCGCTGTAGCGTGAAGACAGTCAATGTCGTCGCCCAGTTTATGTGCTATCTAATGTTCACCTTCGATTCATCGTGAATCCCTTTGTAAAACGGCACCGTCTTTTCTTGGGTGCCAGCCTTATATTAACGCTAATCGGCCCAGTGTTTTCAAGCCGGCTGTGGGGCAAGGGTACTGATGAGATACGATGTCCTAAGAATCCATTGGAAAAAGAGCGTTGGTAACGTACATTGAGAACGACGGAGATATGAAAACATGGCTGGTATGTACGTATGGAGCATACGAGATGTGTGTATGAAGGTATAGTAGTAAGCTAGGTGTCGCAGACAGTCATAAAGTATCTAGAAATGAGACGGAAGATTATGTATATTATTTGTATCCGCGATCCACAAAGTTGAAAACGTAGAGGAGAGCGACAGGAGATGAGGTGCAATGGGGAAGGTTTGGTGAGATGATAAATGCGTGAAATGATTTACAGACCCACAGTATCCGAATACGCCCTCATACATCGGTCGTAACATTGAAATAAAGTCCATTGCGTGGGTCCAAGATGAATCAAGGCGAAGTCATCTACTAATCAGCACCATAACACATTAAATATGCCTTCACTTGGCTCTGCCATAGTGTTCAGCGATCAGCACCCGTTAGGGGGTCGAAGCGGGCCTCACATCCAAGGAAGCGTCGAGTTTCATGCTCATACAAACCCGTTTCCAGTTCTCATATCCGGAGACCCAGGAGGAGGCGTCGCTGTACCCCCACTGAACATCGCCTTCAGCGTCATCTCATCTCTCTTCTTTCTCACCCTCTCCGCCTCCTCCGCCCCGCCCGTCATCTTCAACTTCCTCTGGCCCACGAACTCGCCCAGCTCGTTATGCAGTTCACTGGTTGCCCGACTAGCCATTTCCTTCTGGCGATTCTTCTGACTGGCCTCAATGGCTTTCATGCGCTTCTCGGGATCTATGGGCGCGCCCCTGATCTCCATCATCACGGCGGTGACCCCGCCTGCATTCTCGTCCGGAGGCGGGGGGCGGAATAAACCACGCGATTTAGCGGGTGCAGCGCCTCGCAGGGAGATGACTTTCTCAACGTGGCCGTAGACGTCTGATAGTGCCTTGAGATCTTCCAATAGATCTTGAAGCAACTCCTCTTGGTGATTCAAGAAATGCTGCTCCTCGACAACGTTCTGAAGTTCTTCGGCCCATGTCTTTTTCCACATGGGTTTGATGGTCTTCATATGCTCCCTGAGCGCGCCAAGCTCCGTGGCAACGTTTTCGATGTCCTTCTTGATAGATTTCAGGTATGCGGGTTTAGGCGTGACATGTCTCTTCAGAACATCATCTTTGATGCCTTCAACCGTGTCTTGAAGCTTCTCGACTTCGGTAAGAACGTTCTGGCTTCTCCCATCAAGTTTCTTCTTGCCCGTATCGATATACTCTCTCGCACCGCCAACACGTGTTGTAGCAAGTTGCTTTACAGACTGCGTTTGCGTACGAAGCGTGCCCAGAGACTCCTTCGTTTGCTTCATAAACTCGGTATATAGTTGACGCATTATTCCAAGGTCACGGCGGAGATTCTGGACTTCATCGAACTGAGTCTTGAGGTCGCCTACGACACGGCTCGAGTAATCTGAGAGGACCGAAGCGCCGGTCATTTGGGGTTGAAGAGACTGCCCAGTCATCTGGGGCACCATTGGGGGAGGAGGGGGAGGGGATGGAGGGAACGCGTCGTTAGCTACGAAGCGAGAAAGCCGACGAGCTATGCTTTGGAATTGCTTGTCGGTCGGTCGGCTAGTAGAAGGCGTGCTTTCGCCTAAGGGGTGGGCGATGATAGGTGATGGGGGGCTTCGTGCATTGTGGACTACCGCAGATCGTAATTCTTTCAAATCTTGCGATAACGTCAATATTTGGGCGTCGATATGTTGCTTGATTTGGTCAAGAGCTACCATAGCGCCATAACATTGATCAGCCAGGGCAAATCGACAACAGAAGGCAGGTGAACTCACGTTCGATATTTAAGGAGAGTAGACACTTCTCTTTGACTTCATCTACATCCTCAAGTTCGTACTGAACGCCACTCGAAGGATCTTGAATATATATAGCAGGGAAATTCTCCAACCCGGGGTTGTAGGAAAACTTATCAACAAATAGCATGCGCAACGAAGCGAACGACAACCCAGGTTCGATAACCACTTTCTTGACTTCTCGACCGAGTTGAAGGAACACGGGAATGCGTGTGGGATCGGATGATGAAGACTGGTCACTCGCACCATTTTCGACGACCGGTTCAACTTGAGGAGGGCCAGATGATGCGGCGGTAGAGGGCTCAGGACTTTTAGAGGGCGTGCGAGGTAGGGGGGGAGGTGGTGTACTGGCCCGCGGCTCAATGTGGTCTTTCCTCGCCCGTGCTCGAGCTCGAGTACTTCCATCCCTCCGGATACTTCCCAATTTCGTCACGGCACTCTCCTCGCGTTGTGGTTCGACCTCTTCATCATCCACTTCTGTCAGCACTGCAAGCTCGCCTGGGGTCAGAGCAGACCCAGCTGCCAATAAAGACCGTCGATTAGCATTATTCCCTCCACGCCCCGACTTTTCCCTGCTCGCACCGGCACCGCCTGTCATGCGCGTAATATTATAGGAAGAGAACCGTTTAGAGGCGCGTCGCTCGAGAGTGTCGCTCTTTTTTAGCGCGGCAAGCGACGCTTGCTCGGGACCTGCAAGCAATGATGAGGGCGGAATCGGTGGAGGCGGAGGCGGAGGTGATGGGAGGGAGGATTGATTTTGAGACGGGGACGGAGAGGAATTTTGGGAATCAAGTTGTATGTCGGGGCTCGACGGTTCGACGACGACGGTAGGTGCAGAAGGGGGGGCCATAGGTTTGTCGACAAGAGAATAACGCTTGATGAACGCTGGAACGGCGGATGCAGGGACGGGCGGTGGGGTATCGGGAGGTGGTTCGTTCGGTGGAGGCGTAGAAGGCCCTGCACGAAGGGATACTGGTACTTGGTTCGGGGAGTCCACTGATGGCACAGACTTCTGCCTTCGATGTTGCCCAGTAGAAGGGGTCGTTGTCGCTTCTTCAGTGTACGAGTCTCCGCCGTTCGAAGGAGACATTGCGAACCCACCTACGAATCTCTCGTCTCCGTTTCCATTTATGTAAGGCGCAGGGGGTGGTGGTGTATTCTGGCTATTTGAGATGTCCCTTCTGCGACTAGACTGTGCGCTACGACGTGATATGGAATCTCTTTCAGGGGGACGGTCGCCACCTTCGATAGTCCCCTTCGAAGCAGTAGAACGATGCGAGCCTTCGCGTCGAGAAAGTCTCTCGGAGCGCGACGACCTGCTGTCGTTCCGCTCATGACCGGGGGGCTGGTCAGACTTGTGCCGGTGCTCAGACACGATGCGCCTATATATTGATTGCTTCCCGCGGAGACCCTGAAGGAGGTTGGTGATAATCTGGCGCACTATGGGGAGGAATCGCTCCAAGTTCTCGGGGGTTGCGTCTTCAGCTAGGCAGGCCTCAAGGACGGTACGAAGATCCTCAGGTACGGACAGCAATTCACTTGAGACAACCACTATATGAGCCCAGATTAATGCACGCAGACAAAGCATGATTTGCGCACCGCATATCGATATTGAAGGCGCTGAAGGCAGCGACTGCCGCATTGAAGTCATTCCCCAACCTAACATACACGTCGCTGACCTGATTCTCGTCCATTTTCAGTTGACTCCATGATGTGAGCGCTTCGAGTAGCTGCTTGATGGCCACCAGCAGTCGGGTTACGGCAGATTCCACCGCAGGCTATTAAATGTACATCAGTTTCGAGACAAGCCACTGGAAAAGTGAGAGGACAAGGCCCATACATGCGATGCTGACCGACTTCTGCCAGAATGGTTGGATGATATTGACTGATTATCCTTGCGAGAGAGGTGGCCCGGATTGGTCTTTGCGAGCTCCATGTCCATAGACATTTGTACGATGTTGGGGGGCTGCGCGATGGGGACTAGTCAAATAGTATCATAAAGCAGTCGGACGAGCAAGTGCGCCTGGGTGCAACGCTTGAACCGCGAGCTCAAGGCGAGTGTCTCGGCTGCTGAGGCCCATATCGATGTTTGGCTGCATAGCTCTAACCAAACAAAGGCGAGGCCCTTGTGATCATCAGGGGCACTTGGCTTTACCAACTTCGCATAGACGCAGTTGGCGTCTTGAAGTATAAGCCAAATGTTCCAGTAGAGCACATCGCCGAAGTAATGACAGTTACAGTTGCACTCACTACAGAAGTCTAGACTATACAGAGCAGAACAAAGCCTACAACAACATATACCAAAAAAACCAATACAATAAAATACAAAGAACATACAGTACACAAGCATCGAAAACAAGATCATTATATAGTGACGACCAAGCAGAGGAGAAGTAAACGGAAAGTTGATCGAGGGAAGGGGATAAAGTCCAAATCAAGACGGAATTAGTCAATACAGCCCCAACTCATTGGGCGAAAACGCGACCTGAGCATTAGGCGGAGGTGTCGTATTCCCGAAGGACCCCCTGCCACTCGCAGCCGTAGCCCTCCCATCCTCCGGTGATCTGGCATAGGATCTGCGAGACGCAGGGATTGTGTGCGACGCGCTCCTCCAGTGTTTAAACCGCCCGGAGACACGGGTAAGGACGTTGCCCTTCCTCGCGATCGACCCATTAGAACGGGCGTGGTTTTTTGTAGTAGACGAGGCGGAGGGTGACTGGGGATAATGGCTTTTCGTTACGCCCCCTCCTGTACTCCGGCGTTCTTCTTTCCCATACGCATTAGCCAGGTTTCGTCCAGGCCGCGGAACATCCACCCGAACCCAGTGAGGGGTTAGTATAAATTTGGCGATCGGTTCTGGTATGAATGGCATCCTGCTTTCTCTATAACGTGGTAGTAGGTGATATGGGTCTTTCGCGACTTGAAATTGTAGTACAGGGGAGCTATTTGCACTCCAAAAACACGTCTGTGGTATATGTAGATGAAGACGCGTTCGAACTGTCCCAAGACGCGTCCAAATCGTATTCAGAGCGAGGGACGAGCTATTGACGCTTCGTCGGGTGCAGAGCGATGCGAACAAACGACCCGAGGTAAACCTATGACTTGCGTTGCGTCCTAAGGTGGTTCTGGTAATACAGATATTCGTCGTTGGTCGTGGTCAATCGTGAGGATGAAGTGAGAACGGGGAGCAGATTTGGTGAAATGGCAGGGGAGGCCACCAGAACTCTCCTCGAGGCTCCCATCGCCTTTTATCGGGTATCTGTTGACCTGATCCGCTAGACCACAATAGTAAGCAAGAAGGGCTTCGGAACGTATAAGTCACTCATGGATGACCGGTGACCGCCTACATATCTGATCCTTTGTTCTGATCAGTTCCTATTGATAGGGCAGTCTTTGCAGTTTGTACATATATAGCTTGAGCTAAACTGCCAAGTTACAGCGCCAGACTCCAGTGGCACTGGCCGTTCGACTGGATTTGTATCCTGATTGTCATTTTTTCAGAAGACCGGTGGTGCCCGAATTGCCGTGAAGGCGAATCCCTCCAGACAATGCACCATGGATCCGTTGTTACCATGGAGGTCTTCGATTTTGGTGTGGCTGTCCGAGAAGCAGCAAAGAGGCATGTGGAGTAGCTCCGAGAACAAAGTAACGAATAGTGCGCCCTACGACTCCATTGTACTTGTTATTTGTAGGTCCAAAAATTATCACCGGGCGCACCGATTAGTATTCGAGCCCGATGATCCACTAGGATCATTGTTTGCTTTTGTTACGAAGTTGCCCTGGTAGTTACTGGTAAACTAGACTCCCGGACTATCGAGTCATCGTCAACTTGTCGGTCTAGGATTAGTACCGTTTGGACTTACGCTGTGGTGGACTACAAGCAAACCCAGTAACGATGCTAGCCAAATACTGCGAGGGACCAAAGACAAAAGCACTAAAGAGACAATTAGTGGTATCGCCGATGTGACGCTTCGGCTCGTGTCGCGTATCTAATCCAATTTCAACCTTAATTCACGGCGGTAACTCAAGTATCACATATACGACACGAAATAGAGAAATCCAATCAAGAGACTATCCATAAGCAGTTCATCGTATATCTGCCCAAGACGCAGACTCCCCAATGACTGTACGTTTGATTGTAGAGGTATCGGCTCCAGTGGTAGGCGTGGCAGTGGTTGATCTCCCGCCTTTCGAAGACTCTGTCTGTTTCTTGTGTTTACGGGGGTGACCCGGGGGAGCGACTGCGGAAAGGAGTCGCGCGTTCCATTGACCAAGAGGCACTCTATAGTACGAAGAGTGCCGAGAAGTATCCGGAAGCTGTTACAGCTATCACGGCGAGTGGTGGGTGGGGTTACATTTCTTGGGGATGGGAGTCATGAAGAAAGAGAGTTCGAGGTGATCAAAGGAATTCTATGCGCTGAATTGGGTAGATCGGGGTTCGCCTCCCAGAGTCGGTAAGTCCAAGCCCAACTTGAGCCCAATATACAATTGGAGAATGCGCCGCATCGTGGTCCATCAATCATTACTTGAGACCTAGCCGTATATCTTTCGTAGGTGAGTGATTGCGCGCGAGACACAGGTGTTAGAAAAATGTTCACAGGTACGACAAGCAATCTTTGATCATTTCGTAGTTGGGTTCAACTGGGTGCAAGCGGTTGCTCTCGCAATCGTCGAAGACCGAGCCTTGAGAAGACGGGGATGCTTGGGCCTGACGTAGAACGCTCGGAAATTCAAGAATCCAGAGGTACTCAGAAGACCTGCTAAACGGCTTCCAATGGTCCGGTGTGTGTACGTCCGTAGCAGCAGCTAATATGGATCCGCGGGCCGCGCCGGCGGTAGCTCGCTTCGAAGTGCTAGGGCAAGGATTCAGTGTATATTCCTAGACTAGGTAGATGGCTAGCTATTACTTGCGTAGAATCTATGAGCGCTAGGAGGGCGCATATGAGTTCTCATCAATATGCACCCAGTGCGTACACCGTAAGCTCAGAGAATTAGGCGCGCGCCACGTCAGCAAGTCTCATTGACGGAAGTTGAACAACCTTCGCCAAATTACGGTCTTAAATCATCAAATCTCTACCAAAAGTGCCGCTTTCTTGGGGCAAACCAACTACGGCAAGCAAAATCCACACTTCCCATGATTCAGAATTGTGGAAAAGAGGCCAGTTCAGCCAGAAAAAAACACGACCGAGCCTCCAAAGTACGCAGAATTTGTTTGGCCTTATTTGCACGGGCCTTGAACCCTTTAGAGCATGATTGCTCGCTACGCTCGCAATCAGGGAACATATACTTCATGAACCTCAGGCTGCCGAACCATGGTGAGAGAATAGAAACTGACATTTGACGCTTCCGCTGGTCGCGTGGTTTGACCGGAGTTTGAGCAACCAGCCCAGCTGCGCAGGGGACCGTCTATTTATCATCATGCGATGTGATGTTGAAGGATTGAGACTTGGCTGAAGCATCTAGAGAATGGTGAAAAAGAGTTGGATCACGGTTTTCATCGTTTTTGTTGATGTCGCCGTCGTTCTCGGTCAACCAACGGTCAACCGTAACAGTATGGGCGCTTGATCGCCAAATCGGGCGGTTAGCATTCAATTCACCGGGCAGAGTGGCCAGCCCGAGCTCCCTTTTATCAAACTTGTCTGTGATTTCCAAGTACTACCGTGTGCGATGTTGACAGTGATGAGCCACTGCTTCACGTCAGGGAGTGGCGTAATAGACACGCCAAATTTCTTCAAGGCGTCGAGATAGCAACTTTACAGTGATTGCAGCTAAGGATTTCAAGCTGTACTAAACAAAGGCACGAGAGAATTGATAAACATAAGCCAGCACCTATACACGAATGGAGAAGGAAACAACTATAGCTAGCACAGATATGGGGAGAGCGTCGCGTAACAAACGTGGATTATTAATTAAGTAGATATGCAAGATGGAGATATGCTCAATGTTGTGTTATCCAACGAAACGACTGGTGCGAATCCGAATGAGAGCGAGAGAAAGGAGAGTAGGCACCACGGGTAGTTCTATCGAACACCGGCGGTATATCATGTGGGATGTCGTTAGACAGTAGGGCCGATCGAACTGCGAGGTAGATCGAGCGATGGTATGTGTCATGGGTGATAGGTCTTCTCCACCATGGGGTGATCCTCGTTGAATTTCTCCGTCCGCGAGAGGTCACCGTCAACTGCGTTACTATGTATATCAAGTGACGGGTGAAGGTGCATATCAAGTGAATGGCCATTGTTGATTGATACACCGTCTGTCCGTTGGTCAAGGTTTCCTGGGGTCACTGGGCGAGACGCAAGGCCAGGTCCGCTTGAAGACGTTGCAGTTACCGTTGAAACGATATGCTGATTGGTAGGATAGTATGACCGTCTTTGCATCTTTTTGAAGTCATATGAAGTGAACCTATGAATAAGAAGAGTAAGCGAAAGCCAAAAGAAGGCTTAGCTAGAAGGCGCACTGTTCCTCCATCTGCCTCATCTCCGCGCTCAAGTTATCCTGATTCGCTTTCCGTGCTTTAGCCTTGAGGGGGTTGTCTTCTAGAAGGAGTTCTTCCAATTCATGTGAAGCGTCGAAATTGGCTTTCTTAGCCTGTAAACCGTGATGAGCCTCGATTTGTAGACTAATCAGTCCAGGAAGATGAAACTCACGTCGGGTATGAACGGGGATATTTGCTCCTTGCTCTCCAACGTATCCCAGTCGATGGACTTAAACCAAGGGTGCCGGCTAAATTCTTGGAAACCCTCGCCATTGGGTTTACACCCGAAGCGTTTGGTTACATCGCGCTCCAATAACTACCGCGGAAGTCATGACAATGGGTCGAACTCTTAGTAGAAGGTAACGTACCCCTCGAATGACTTGCAGGCCAGCTCGGCTGCATTTCTTTTCTGCGTCCTCGGGGTATTTTAGGGGGTCCTTGGATATGCTGTAGGTAAGGTCGCTGTTCGAACGTCCCCTGAACGGCCGTCGTCCAAAGATGAGTTCATATGCACAGACACCCAATGACCACCAATCGATGTAGTACGTATAACCGCGTTTCGTTAGGATCTCCTATAAAACAAAGTAAAGCATATACGGGGAAGAAAGAAATATGTCAGGGCCGATGAACGGGGAGCCGGAAGCAAGCCGAAGACGTACCGGTGCCTATTCGTCGGAATTAGAGCCACGGCTGAGCTGGGAAGACGTGAAACACGTACCATATACGCCATTGACCCAGCGACACTGTTGAGCTTACGGTCTGAAAAGTGGACGGCGATGTTGAAGTCGGTCAGATGAGCATTGCCGCGTTCATCAAGAAGAATGTTATCGGGTTTTAAATCCCTAGAATATAGATGATGGGGTAGTCAGGGTGCATGCTCGGAGTTACACGAAGGGGATTTAGTCACCGATGCATTATCTTGTTCTCATGAAGAAAGGCGAGGCCAGAGGATATTTGGGCAACGTAGAAACGTACAGTCTCTTCGCTCAGCGAGCCAAGTCGTTCCAAGTGGACTGGATGGAATGAGAAGGACTTTTCCAATAAATACCGCAGAGAACGTACATCGTAAATCCCCTCCTAGCATAAGGTCCAGCACAAAGAAGCAGTTCTCGTCGTCTTGGAATGCATACCGTAAGTTGACGATGAAGGGGTGGTCAATCTAGAAGGATGGTAAGGGGGTGTCTGAACAGTAATGGGGGGTGGCTGACCTCCTCTAGCAATCGTCGCTCTTGTATTACATTGGGAACTGCTTTCATCTTGACACATTTCGTCTTGTTGATGTACTTCAAGGCGTAGAGATCCCGCGTCTGCTTGTGCTGTACCACACGGACCTATGGTGGGTGTGGTGTGGGTAAAGGAGCTGTTGTTGTGGAATACGAGCTTACCTTCCCGAAGGCTCCCTTTCCGACGCAGCGCAGCAGGACGAAGTGGAATAGATTGACTTCACCGTCGAAGTCAATGGGCTATTGGTACGGAGGGGCGTTACTGTGATGCGAAAGCTTGATGGACGTGTTATGCGCACCTGTGGTCGACAGCAGACAGCACCCATCGTGGTTCGTTACAAATCGTCGCAGAGGAGGAAAACAAGGAAGTCTTCGAATGTGAGAGTAAGATAAAAACAAAGGAGAGGGTATACAGTCAGGCTTCTAAATTGAAGGCCAGAACGAGGAGGAGGTGTGAGAGCAAAGGAAACAGTGGCTGTCACGCTGATGTGACGCCGTCACCAGGTGTCGCCCCCTTGATCTCCAGTAATTTCAATTCTTCGTCGCACAAATTTTGAAAACATATGGCAGCCATGCCCCCTTTGCCAGACTTTTTGCGGCCGCTAGTACTTTCTGGCCCTTCGGGAGTCGGGAAGAGCACCCTGCTCCAGCGTCTCTTCACCGAATTTCCCGACAAGTTTGGTTTTAGTGTCTCTCGTATGTAGCTGTTGAACCGCATGGGCGTTGCCACAAACTGACCTGGAAATCCATCACAGACACGACACGATCCCCACGTCCGGGCGAGATCCATGGAAAGCAATATTTCTTCGTTCCCCGCCCCACTTTCGAGCAACTTATCAAAGAGGGTGCATTTATCGAGCATGCCGAATTCTCTGGAAACTATTATGGCACTAGTTTTGAAACCGTTCGCAGCGTTACAGCTGCAGGTAGACGATGCATCTTGGACATCGAGGCACAGGTGTGTATATTCGTCTCGACTCTATTTCACTCTCGTCGAATCCGATCGGCGCATGGCACCAGGGTGTCCGACAGATAAAAAAGACGACTCTAGACCCTGTCTATCTATTTATCTCCCCGCCATCGCTCAAATCGCTCCGAGACCGCCTGAAGGGACGTGGAACGGAGACGGAAGAGTCGATGAAGAAACGCCTTGCCACGGCGCTCAAGGAAATCGAGTACGCAAAGCAGCCGAAAGCGCACGACTTTGTGGTGATAAATGATGATTTGGATCGCGCATACGACCTCTTGCGCAAGATTGTGTTTGGACAGGTGGCCGAGGGAGATGTATTGCCCCCACTTGATGATACTGAGGAGAAAGTTGAGCCTTCGCCACAGGTGCAGGCATAATGATGATTTTTGTAGTGTACGGACGTCAGACTTGTAATCTCTTGTGCAGTACGCTGAGGTCTCTATATAGCTGCGCAAGAAACGCGGCGCTCTATAAATTGCAGCGTAGGAAATACTTCCAGGTACAGCGTTGCCAAGTCAACGGCCCGATTTCTAATCGATTTGTAAGCATCTTGGCTGGCGCTCGGCATCCATTTCTTTCTCCGATGCGCGCCTTACTCAGCTTAAATCGCATCTGTGGACCAGTGGACGTTTGCGCAACTCTTGTTCTCGATTGCGAATGGCCCACTGCCACGACCCGGAGGGATGGAGAGTTGTCTCGCATCTCCGCGACTTCGACACGACGCCATGCTTTGAGGAAGGAATCGTTCTTTCAGGCCTATTGACGGGAGTATTGGTCCTGAGTTTGTTGCGAAGTCTTGAGCTAGGATTTCTAGCATTCGACGCGGAAAGGAATACGCCAAAGAGCTTGTGGATTCTAAAAGGGAAGGTGGTACGTTGCTGATTTGTCCCTATCAAGGCATTAGGAACAATCAATTTACTCAATATGTTTTTGGCATATAGGCTCTACTTGTCGCAGGGACGGCAGTCAGCGCGGCGAACATTATACAAATATTGCTGCAAAAACTCAGTGTCCCGGTCTTGCAGTACTATGCTCTCGAGCCGATTGCGCTTCTCGTCATTGCGATATTCACTTGGTTTAACCACACTCGAACTCGTCGATCTTCGTCTATTCTCTTATTGTTCTGGCCACTTTACACCGCCGCTCAAGTCGTTTGGACACGAACACTGTGGCTTTCGGGCGACCTGGACTATTTGGGCACCCTGTTCACATTAAAATGGATCACTGTTGGACTTGGGTTATGCGCATTCGCACTAGAATGTTTGGGCTCGGAGTTTGGGCTCAAACAAATTCATGACGCAGAGGGAGATTTCTCAGAAAGCCCCCTCCTGACGGCTAATATCTATAGTCGATGGGTAAGTGAATTTCCCAGATCTATTTCGGGCATGTTTTCTCTAATAAGTACATTCTTATGTAGGCCTTTGGATGGATGACGCCGTTGATGAAGAAAGGATCAGAACAGTTCATCACGGAAAAGGATCTACCATCACTACCCCCTGATGACAGTGCGGCTGCTCTTGGCAACAAGCTTAGGGATGCAATGAAGCGCCAGTTCGTGTTGTTCTATGTTGAGATACTTTGCACTAACATTGTATTACAGTTCTTCCCTTTGGATCTCACTCTATGTTGCATATGGCGGTCCATATGTTATCGCTCTGACCTTGAAGCTAGCTCAAGATTCGTTGGCGTTCATGCAGCCCCAGTTGCTGCGATTGCTCCTAGCATATATCTCGTATTATCAATCCATACAACCGGATCCTGGGTTTGGGCCTAGAGAAAGCCCTATTCAAGGCTTCGCACTGGCTTTCCTGATGTTCGCGGCGTCCATGTTGCAAACCGTTACTCTAAATCAGGTATGTGCTAAACTCTATCTGGTGCTTTAGGGTCTTACTGTGACTGGTCCGTTAGTACTTCCAACGTTGCTTCGAGACCGGTATGCGTGTTCGCGCGGGTCTTGTGACGGTAATATATGCGAAGGCACTGGTGCTTTCCAACGAGGAGCAGAGCAGAGCGACCGGAGACATCGTCAACCTTATGTCAGTCGACGCGACGCGGTTACAAGACCTATGTACCTATGGATTGATTGCTATCTCGGGTGCGTTCAACATCTGGCTCATTTTTATCCTCAACGAACCTCTAATCTATCCTCGCATTTTTTACGTCTTCGTTGTCACTAGGTCCTTTCCAGGTGAGCAATAGTAGTTTTTTTAACCCCCAATCTGTTCCTGACAACGCCATAGATCGTTATTGCCTTCGTATCCTTGTATCACTTGCTTGGATGGGCTGCCTTCGTCGGTGTGGCAATCATGATTATCTCTGTCCCTCTCAACACCTGTAAGTCTTTTCCACCCAGTTCTTTGAACATTGACAAACCTGTGCCATGATAGTCATTGCGAGAATCTTGAAGAAGATGCAGGAACAGCAGATGAAAAACCGGGATAAACGTACTCGATTAATGAGTGAACTCTTGAACAACATCAAAAGGTATGTGCCGCATTCTCCTATTCGGTCAGGAGCTAAATAATCAACTATATAGCATCAAACTATATGCATGGGAGAACGCATTCCTACGAAAGATCCTTCTTGTGCGCAACGAACAAGAGCTTGAAATGCTTAAGAAGATCGGAATAGCTAACGTACGTGAGAGCTTGCTCAGCTCTCCGGTCTTGCTAATCATTTTCCTAGTCCTTGAACACCACGCTTTGGGGAGGCATTCCCCTGCTAGTCGCCTTCAGTTCCCTCGCCACTGCTGCTGTCACATCGAGTAAGCCACTTACAGCCGACATCATTTTCCCGGCCATGTCACTTTTCATGTTGTTGCAATTCCCGTTGGCGATGGTGAGTCTTGTGTGGGATGTTACTTTTGCCTTCTGGAACTACGTTCTTTTAGTTTGCCCAAGTCACATCAAATATCATCGAAGCTATTGTTTCAGTAAGGCGGTTATCGGACTTCTTGAAGGCAGAGGAGCTCCAAGGCGACGCCCGCAAAATCATAGACGCGAGAAATCTGAAAATTGGAGATGAAGTACCTTGTTCTTTATCTCTGCGTCATCTGTCCTCTTAAAGTCATCTCGGCACGTAGGTTTTGTCAATCAAGAAGGCCGACTTCTGGTGGTCGAAAAAGGACGTCTCCCCAGCTCTAGAAGACATCAACATTACTGTAAAGAAGGGAGAGTTGATGGGTGTTTTGGGCAGAGTAGGTGCCGGAAAGGTAAGATAGACATTGGTGTTGATCTTGTTCTAGTGGTGGCTAACGTTAAGCGCAGACGAGCCTTCTGTCTGCGATAATTGGAAACATGACACGAAGCGAGGGTGAACTTGTTATTTCTGGCAGCGTTTCGTATGCTCCACAGAACCCTTGGTAAGATATCTTTTGCTTGCTATCACGCCCAATAAGCTTAGCGTAATTGAAGGATTTTATCGGCAACCGTGCGCGAAAACATCATATTCTCTCACGAATACGACGAAACCTTCTATAATTTAGTCATTGAAGGTAAGGAAATTCTTTCTAGCTTCTGGGAAGAATATTGATCGAGCTCCAGCCTGCGCTCTTACACCTGACCTGGCGCTTCTCCCCGAAGGTGACATGACCGAAGTCGGAGAAAAGGGAATTACGGTATTTTGCCTTCTTGATTTATCCGCCAATAAAGAGGTCTAATCAAGCTGTAGTTAAGTGGTGGTCAGCGAGCGCGTGTATCACTGGCCCGCGCGGTTTATGCCCGAGCTGATCTGTGGGTTGTTTCATTAAAATGATGCCTTTACCACCCTGAAAAAACAATATCAGAATTCTCTTGGATGATGTTCTCGCCGCGGTAGACTCTCATGTCGCTCGTCATGTATTTGGTGATTCATCCGAATTTGATGTTGGATGTATGCGCGCTAACCTTTGTGTAGATCGGGTCATTGGGCCTGAGGGTTTGCTCTCAACGAAGGCTCGCATTCTGGTCACCAACAGTATAGCATTTTTGCGACACTTCGATCAGTTGGCGTTCCTCCGACGAGGAATCATTCTGGAGTCCGGGAACCCTAGATCGTTGATTGCGGACCCAGAGACTGAGATAGGAAAGCTGGTGTAAGTTCACCTTGTGTAGTGAATTGTATAATGCTCATGTGTTTTTGTAGTCGAGGGCACGGAACTCTGTCAAGCAACAACTCCTCTGGTGCCTCTACCCCCTTCACGAGCGGTAGTGGTAGCACTACTCCCAAGGAAGCAGTATCACCTACTGGGTCCAACCTTGACTTCGATGAATACGGTAGCCTATCCGAGAAACTGCGACATCGCACTAGCTTCACCAAAGCCAAGATTGCGCCCCCACCTCCACCTAGGGCATCTTCAGATGGCATCAGCAAAGAGCATTCAGAGCAAGGACGCGTAAAGAGGGAGGTCTATCTTCGCTACATTGAAGCGGCTACGAAAAGTGGTTTCTTCCTTTATGTTCTTGCCACCGTCTCTCAGCAAGCATTATCGGTTATGGCCAATCTGACGTTAAGGGATTGGGGCGAACACAATCGCGCCGTAGGTGGGAACACTGGCATGTTGAAGTACCTGTTGTTCTACGGAGGATTTTCATTGTCCTCGACGCTCTTGGGAGGTGTCGCTGCTATAACGATGTGGGTCCTGTGTACCATCAAGAGCGCGCGCCAGCTTCACGACTCAGTATGTTAACATTGCCGGTGTGTCGATTGATGGCTGACCCGTCCGCAGATGCTCAACTCAGTGTTGCGTGCCCCTTTAAGCTTCTTTGAGCTGACGCCAACCGGACGGTGTGTGGACTATCGATATACCTAGGCTGAGATTCTTATTTTCTTTTGCGTCAGCGTTCTCAACCTGTTCTCTCGTGACACATACGTTGTGGATCAACTGCTTGGCCGAGTATGTGTAATCCATTTTTGCTGATTGGAACAGCAATGAACCATCTTGCTTTCTCTAGGTGATACAGAACTTGATCCGGACACTTGCCGTATGTTTTTCGATCGTCGTCGTAATTGGAGGTAGTTTCCCGCCTTTCTTGATTGCCGTCATTCCACTGGGATGGTTCTATACGAGAGTGATGGCGTATGTATTTGTCTTTCGTCGTCCTAGCTAGCTGCTGATGGGCTCACTACGTAGATACTATCTGGCTACTTCGCGAGAGTTGAAGCGTCTTGACGCTGTATCGCGTTCCCCTATCTTCGCCTGGTTCTCAGAGTCCCTAGCAGGCGCCGACACTATTAGAGCTTACCGCCAGCAGAGTATCTTCATGGCAAACAACGAAAGGCGTATCGACCGAAACCAACTTTGCTACCTCCCCAGTATCTCCGTAAATCGCTGGTTGGCCGTTCGACTTGAGTTCGTGGGGGCTTTGATCATCCTTGTGGCCGCTATGTTGGCCATGACGGCCCTAATCACAACGGGTGTCGACGCTGGGTTAGTCGGATTGGTCCTCTCGTACGCCGTGAACACGACGTCTTCTCTGGTATACGATATCGCGACTTTCTTACGTTATGTCTCGCTGACTGCTTTTGTCAGAACTGGGTCGTCCGCTCCGCAAGTGAAGTCGAACAGAACATTGTCAGCGTGGAACGGATGGTTCACTATATAGAGCTACCCTCAGAGGGTGCCATGGAAATTCCAGAAACCAAGCCTACAGAAACCTGGCCTTCAGAAGGCGAGGTAGAGTTTAGGTGAGTACAACTAGTTTCTGTGGCCCATCCATTACTAATCAGTTGTAGGCTATATTCAACCCGATACCGCCCCGAGCTTGACCCGGTTCTCAAGAACATTTCGATGACAATTGTGAGCTATAACTATTGGGTTTCACTGCTCTGCTATTCTGGTGCTGAACTACCCTTTCAGCGCCCGAAGGAGAAGTTGGGTATATGTGGTCGAACTGGGGCAGGAAAATCATCAGTGAGTGGTGATATATCCTCTCCCACCCTGGGTCAATCTGATCGTTGTTGTAGTTGCTATTGGCGCTGTTCCGAATCATCGAGCCCACTGAGGGAACTATCCTTATAGACGGTATTGATATCACAAAGATTGGGCTTCATGACCGTAAGTGTTCTACGTTTATCGTCCTGAATTTCAACCTCTCTAAAGTTGCCTTCGTCCAGTACGATCGTCCATTGCTATTGTACCCCAATCTCCTGACCTCTTTGAGGGCACGTTGAGAGATAATATCGATCCACTTAATGAGTATACAGACGCGGACATATGGCAAGCTTTGACTCAGGTTAGTGTCTGCTTATCGCCACCTTGGATACCAGCATCTAAAACTTCTTGTCTGTCAGTCACATCTCAAGGAATACGCCGAAGCTCAATCAGAGAAGCTGGACGCCCCGGTAAGGGAAGGCGGCTTGTCGCTATCATCAGGTCAAAGACAGTTGTTGTGCTTCGCCCGTGCCCTCCTCCGTAAAGTATGCTGCTGTGTTTCCAGTGGCATTCATTACACTCATTTCATTTGTTAGGCTAAGATTCTTGTCTTGGACGAAGGTATGAGATATCGCAGTGCTTCTTTGGAAGCAATGCATTGACCATTTGTAACAGCTACTTCCGCCGTCGACCTTGACACCGATAGAGCCATCCAAGAAATCATTAGAGGCCCTGCTTTTGCTGATACTACTATCTTCACTATTGCGTACGTGATTCTTCCTTTCATTCCATCTCCAAGTGCTGATCTCCCGCCGTAGGCATCGTTTGAATACAATCATGGAATACGACCGTGTGCTCGTCCTCAGCAACGGACAGGTAAGCGCCAGGTTAGGCCTCTAAGTGAAACATTATTCATCATGAAATTTAGATCTCTGAGTTGGATACTCCTTCGAAGCTACTGGAAAAGAAGGACTCGCTGTTCTACTCCTTGGCCGCAGAGGCTGGATTGGCATAGATGCACACATAAATAGCACGGAGTTTCTTGAAAAGTACATAGATAATAGATGAGCGCAATCATATGGTTATCCGCTTTTTTAAGCGGGGGCCATCAATCCTTGTTTGGTTTTATTTGGTTCTCATTTACTTCTCGGTTTCTGTGTCCAAGGCGGCGAGTGACTGTGGCTGCGGGCACTGTATAGATGCACCAGGTCTAATCGTCTTACGAAATACATTCGCGACCGTTCCAAATGGTCTTCTGCTAAGTACAAACAAAGGGATAGTATCCACCGTCGCACATCAGTCTCAGTGTTTTGCCTAAGTCTGTGTGAGTCATAAAATAATGACTTAGCCGGACCTAGGCCGGAATATTTACCGTAAAATGACTTGAAAATGATTTTGTGGGTCCCTTTCGGGTATCGAAGAAAACAGGTCAAGCCAAGTCTGTTAGTGTCTAAGTCAGTCATGGAAAGTCAGGCCACCATGTTCAACGCAACAGTCGCTCACGGTCAGTGATGGTCAGGTTAAGTCAAGTACAAAACCGTTCTCAGGCAATAAAATAAATTCATACTAATAGTAAACATGATGCAATATATATATATATATATATATAATAATACAGTATGGTCTATTCGCTTCTTCCATCGCCAATGGAGGAGGACTCTAGAGAGTAATGTTTAGCAATAATTTTCAACTGGTTGGCTGGAGGCATCACATTGACGTTGAAATATAAGGTACTCACAAACCCCCTCCGTGTCCATGGCATGATGATTGCGTGTATTGAGTGGTCTGGAAGCTTGAACTTGAGTATGAGAGTCGGAATAGTTAGCGAAGCGCGTAGGGGAATGGGAATCCTGCCAGTAGTCTGTTTGCCAGGCGCGTGGATCCAGAGAGTCGGAGCAGTTGTTATCCACACGGCACGTTACGGCGAGAAGAAGTGTCAAGAGCTTGAATTCGGGGCCGCATTGAATGCCACAAGTGTTGTGAACGGTTGTCGAAGAAATAAGTGGACATTGGGGATGTTGGTGAGGAGTTGAAACGTCGAAACGTTGAAGTCCAACAATTGAACTGGCCATCGAAATCAAAAAAGATTATGTAATTGAAGACAGGGGGGCATCAGCGCCTGTCACCAGTATTCATGCTCTTCCAAGTCTCTCGTCTTGTATCTAAATACCCCTGCATTATCCGACATTCAGCACCCTCAAGATACCCCCTTTGTCACTTCCTGAGCAACTGCTCTTAGGCTAGAGCCTTAATGTTCTCTCGATTAATACATCTTCGCCCCTGGGATTAGTTCCCCTTACATAAGCAATGTCTGAATCCTATTACTTTACGCTCCCATTCCCAGTCAAACTAAGTCACTGTAAGTTTGCTTTTCACTGACTTAGATTTCGTCGTGACCTTCCGCACAAGATCAAAAGAGGAAGGTGCCGGAATTTTTACATCAAAAGTACGGAAACTGACGAATTCCATCAAAAAATGGACTTACGTGGACTTTATACTGACTTAGGCAAAATACTGAGCATCAGTGGTCTTTCAAGCGATATCTACGTATATTACGTTGAAAATACAGCCGAAGATCAACTATATTGACTTCACTGTCGGCGTGGCCGCTTACTAGGTGTATCGGGTACGAATACACGTTTGCTTTTCAGCGAATACGAGTCTAAGTCCTGCTCTTCCTCAATCGGTCGCAACAAAAGGACGTCGGGCGAACTATTAGGTAATTCCCATATCTCTTCTTCATCATCGTCATCGAAGCTCTTGCTACTATCAGGCAGAGCGTGCTTGGCCACAGTCGACAGAGCAAATGGGCGCGCCTTGGAAGTACTTCGAATCATAGCTCTGGGCTTCTCTGGCGTCTCTTCGACGAGAGTGACCCCTTTATCTTCTGTCAATTTCTTGTTGACCCAGGGTGCCATACTCTTAGCCTTCGTCGACTCGGCTGGTTTCGCTGTTTCCTTAGGTTTTGGTTTGAAAGCCCTCGACATGCTGACTTCTCGATTGAGTACACGTTTCTTCACGAAGCCAACACTTGCGGCCCGGGCTTTCTCCTCTTGAGCAAGCGAGACAGATAGTGAACGAGACCGTGCGCGTGATAGGGTGCGACTAGACGATGCTCGTTCTTGTCCATCACCTTCGGGTATTACTGAGCCCGCTCGAGAGCTTGCACGCGAGGGCGCTGTGACTTCTACATCACGATCCGGAGAAGACGAACGAGTCGAAGTACCATCGGAGAAAACTGAAGTCTGGAAGACTTTAGAACGAAAGAGCTCGCAAACCTCCGGCAGCGATGATATGAATCTGGGAGACAGGCTAAGTTGTCGATGCCACACAGTTAGGAAGAGACGAACTGAGGTTCAATGATATCTTGGCAGAATATCTGCATCCAGTCAAGGTTATCTTTGGTGCCTGCGGTCGATTCTAGGTTTTGAATGTGCTGCCATGCAGAAAGTTTGTCCATGAAGGATTCTAGTATATCTTCGGGTGCGAGTGAGTTCGCTGGTTCATCCGCGCGTCCTTTCCGTTTCCGCCTCTTCGGAGAGCGCTCCGGTTGCGGTTGTGCGGGCAAAGTTAACTTGAGCATGTACAGCAGGATCTGCACCAGAACTCTGTCCATGGTGAATACGAATTGATCGTAGCAGAACGCGACGACGTACTCGCGGCGTTCCATTCTTGTCAACCAACTCTTCCGCCATGTGTCAGAAGCTCGCGCCTCATCATCAGACCCCGTGGTGTGGTCAAACTTCTCGTAATTGAGAACATACCACATCGTCGTCTCCTCTATCTCCCCAGCTCCTCCATTGTCCGTAAGTATCTGCGAGAGCTCGACGTGATACTTGTTTCGAACCGAGCGTGGCGTCAGTAGGAGGGGTTCTAACAAGGCGTGAAGCGGGTGCTGCGTCGACGTCGACGCGACTTGAACGCGTTGGATGGCCGGGATGAGGAATTCGAGAGGAACTATTGACTATCGCATAAGTTTAGACGGGTATTCCAATCGTGTTCCATGCTGAAATGATGTACTTCGGGAAGCCATAGGAATTGTAGGTATGTCCGCGCGACGTATTGATCGGGTGTTTCGAGGGCGATGTCACTGAAAGGAAAATCCTTCGCGATTGACTTCTCTTGACTTGCCGTCCAGTTTTGAGGCTTCGAGGATTGACGAAGATAATATTCTTTCTCGACAGTAGCCATTGTGGCAATGAGGAGGTCAAGTTCGTTACATAATTTCAATTCAATTTCCTTGAACCAGTGACAGTACGAAAGTTCCCACCACGTGACCGTGTACCAAGAACAGTGGTTCTGACTCTCAGTACTTATTGTTTCTCGAAACGGTTCTCATCTCAATGGCTCGAGCGAAGAAGGCCACTACCCCCGGCCCTGTGCAATCGTCAACTATTCGAGATTTCTTTTCCGGCAAGGCCTCCTTAGCCAAGCATACCAAGAAAACTCCTCCTGTCGTCAAGCGTCCCAAAAGCGAGGTCATTGTCATAGAATCGTCGGACGATGAATCGACGGAAGTGAAACCCCCTCCACCGCGAAAGCGGCGCAAGTTGAGCACCAGCTCGGACGACATTGAGATTGTAGACTATCGCAGAATAGATATCTCCGAGCCTGGTACGTCGAGAGGGGCCGTTCGTGAAACATCTTTGGCGCTGTCCAGGACGAAACTATCCACTTCGACTACTTCATTGCCCGCCCTATCAAACCTCAACATGTTTGGAAAGCCAAACCACTTACTAGGAGGGACATCGCCTCCTACTAATTCCTCGTCTGACGGCTCTCTGGGTACCGTGTGTCCAACAAATCTCCCAAGCGAGGCGAACTCGCACTTCGTTGATATTGACCTGTCAAACGAACCCGAAGATGAATGGGCCACTGGCGATGATGAGTTGGCCCACCTTATTCTAGAGGATGGGGATCCGACTTTGCAAGTCGCTGACGATTTCCCGGAAGAGATAGACGCGTTTGAACCCGTGAGCATCAGTATCATACGGTGTGTTAGGCAGTCATTAAAGTTACTACCTCATTCCAGGACGATGTATCGGTTTCTGGCCCCCAACTACTCCGGTCTTGCGACGGAAAGACCGCGCCGTCGAGCAATGCCTTCTCAGTTTTGATGTCGTCCAACAAAGACAGGGAAGCTTGGAAGGAAGCCGCAGAGGCTGAAGACCCGACTTTCCGAGCGACGAAGAGCAACGGGGGTCGGCGGAAAGCCCCGTTCTATAAGATCCTTCAGGGTATGCCTATTGCGGTGGATGCATTCCGTTACGGGAAGATACCTGGTGTGACAGCGTACTTTCTAACGCACGCACATTCCGATCATTACACCAATCTCTCTTCGAGCTGGAGTAACGGTCCTATATATTGCTCGGGTGAGTCACTCTGCTAGACGCTGATCGTCGTGTTGAGCGTGTGCTAGAGGGTACGGCGAATCTGATAATACACATGCTCTCCGTGGACCGCAAATGGGTGCATCCTCTTCCCATGGACACACTCACCACTATCCCCAACACTGGTGGCGTATGCGTGACTCTCATTGAAGCTAATCACTGTTCGTTTCCTCCATTTACCTTACTGACTGTTTACTGACTCGCATTTGCTCAAGGTCCAGGATCTTGCTTGTTTTTCTTCGAGGGCCAGCAGACGGTCAACGCTGGCGATAGCGCCTATGATTCCCCGCACGTAGGGAGTAAGCGTCCTTACCGATATCTACATTGTGGGGACTTCCGCGCCAGCCCGCAACATGTCCTCCATCCAGCGGTAAAGGGCAAGCACATAGATCATGTGTATCTGGACACCACCTACCTGGATCCCAAGGTATTTATTTGGTATATCTCTTATTTTATGTGTATTCGAATGGAGGGCGCGCAGTATACCTTCCCTCCTCAGCCACTAGTCATTTCCGCTTGTGCGGAGCTCGCGAGGCGACTTTCTGGTGGTCAGTTGTGTCAAGGCAGTACGCGGCCAGTTACATCGTGGATGCAACCTTCGCCCGCTAAAGAGAAAGGGAAGAACTCGGAAGATTCTACTTTGTTTGTTGTAGGGTGCGTGAGCAACATACTCATGTCAGATCCTTTCCATGATGGATACATAGGACGTATTCTATCGGCAAGGAACGCATTGTCAAAGGTAATGATAACCAAACCTCCCCTTTCATTTCTGACCGTCTACTTCACCGCAGCCATTGCGAACGCGCTCAAGACCAAGGTATATTGTGACAAGAGGAAAACAGCTATATTGATGTGTCAAGACGATCCAGCTTTACATGCCCTCTTGACATCTAATCCGCTCGAAGCTCGTGTACACCTTGTGCCTCTTGGCGTTGTCAGTTCCGACAAGTTGAAAGGATACGTCGAGCGCTTCAAGAAATCCTTCCCAAAGGCTGTAGGGTTCCGGCCCACTGGATGGACGTTCGTATCTTCTCCCCTTTGCTCCAACGTTCTCTTGATTGACTCAACACGGGTCGTGCTTCAGATACACGCAGCCTGCTGGTACAGACATGTCACCTTCAATTGACACCATAATCTCTCGTTCGCAGAGCCGCTCATTCACGTATTCGGATCTACGCCCAGTACGCAATTCTACGGCGGCGCTGCAGGTATACCCTGTGCCGTACTCGGAGCACTCGTCGTTCTTCGAGCTGACGTGCTTTGCGATGTCGTTCGAGTGGGGGCGCATGATCGCGACGGTGAATGTGGGCAGCGAGACGTCGCGCGCCAAGATGGCGAAGTGGGTGCAGAAGTGGGAGGCAGAGAGGAGGAAGAAGGGGAAAGGGGCACTGGTGGTTCCGTATCGCAAGGTCGATTACTGGTGAATTGGTTTAGGCAGCCTATCTATCTATACGGATATCTCACGATGTTGAATTTCTAAGGTGATAAAAAATCCACTGTGCTATGTCATACATTCAGTTCTATATACGATAATCTTCAAGTCCCGAATAATCATGCGGTAGAGTACTCTGATATGACTTCCTCCACGCTGCGCACAAAGATGGCGACAATTTTCTCGATTTCCTCCTTCGTCACATTGTACGCAGGGGCCAGGATGAGGTGGTCGCCCTTCGTCGCCTCAAGGTTCGACCCTCCCCCAAAGCCCATAATCACCAGCCCATTCTTCAACGCTCGCGCCTGCGCAAGAATACCGAACTGCCCCCCTTTGAAGTCGATCTTCTCACCCTCGGGCACTTCGAAGTCGAACTCCACCCCCCAGAACCCCCCAGCGCCTCGTATGTCGAAAGTGAACGGAGCAGTAAGAGAGTTCGGGCTACGGAGGCGATCGTTGAGGAGTTTGTCTAGGTAGGCACCTTGGGTGCGGATGTTCTCAAGCAGGTTCTCGGATTTGATCACCTGTTGGACGGCGAGGGAGGCGGCACATGCTAGCGGGTGGGCCTGTGCAATGATACCTTAGGAGAGCCCCACCATTCTGGACAAAGACTCACTTGATACGTGTGACCGTGCTTCCACAGTCCTGACTTGCCTCGAATTCCCTCAGCGACTTTTTTCGAGATAAGGACGGCTCCAATGGAGGCGTATCTACGAAATTGCATGAGCATAGGCGCGTTGCATGAAGAGCAGATATCATACCCTCCACCTAGTCCCTTCGCTACAGCTTGAATATCGGGGGCAATTCCGTCACCAAGAGTCTCCCATGCATGCGTACTACCCATGCCTGATTGAACAGATACAGCAGAGCACTAGACATATATTATTAGGAGAACTTACGACCCATTCCGCTCATCACCTATGACCACACACCGGCTTAGTACCTCCATGGATACGATATATCAAACTTACTTCGTCTAGGATGAACAAGGCACCATATTTGTCGCACACCGATTTCATGGCCTTGAAATAACCTTCCGGTGCAGCGACTACCCCGGTGGTTGCGCCCACTACGGTCTCTGCGACAACTACGACCCCTGATATCAGCGAGGAGCGCTACTGCAGATGCTCAATCACCTACACCCAATAACAGTGTCGGGTCCAAGCTCAACGAACTTATCGTCGAGTTCTTGTCGTAATCGGTCCACGTACTGCCCGTCCGTTTCACCTGTCTTTTTGAAGCGGGCGGCATACGCGGGGCTAACATGGTGGAAGTTGTCATGATCTAGGATTGCTTCGTACGGTGCCCTCCGAGTAGGGTGATACGCTAGCGATAGAGTCGCGACTGTATTTCCGTGGAACGACAACTGACGCGCAATGTAATTCTTGCGTTGTGGCTGACCGGTTTCGTGGAAGAACTAGGGAGTATCATTCGAGATACAGGCTCGGCACGGAGTCACATCAACTAACCTGGCGGCCCAGCTTGATAACGCCTTCCATAGCCTCGGATCCTACGCGCCGAAATTGATGGGATCTCCATTGCACAACTATTTGAAAAAGAAAACATACCGCCCGAGACAAATCCAACCATCTCGAAGGCGCCATTGCTGGTTTCGACCAAATACTTGGCCAAAGCCTCTGCAGGCTCATTCGACAACTGCATGTTGTATACATCTGGCGAGAGCGTGAGACACTGTTCACATCTTACGGGGAGATCACTGAGGCTCACAAGATACGCGATCTACCTGATCCTTAATTGCTTGCTTCACAACGGGGTGTCCGTTTCCAATACACGCAACCGCGGCTCCACCGACCGCATCGATCACTGTCTGCCCGCTTTCGAGCTGCAAGTAAATTCCCTGACCGCTTACTGCTACCGGGGGCCTCCATGGGGTACGGTGAAGGATCATCGTGGGTCGCTGCTCAGCCAAAGCATTTTTCTTTACCTCTGATGTTTCTTCGGGGTGAACGAGAGCTGGGGCCATTTTCTGGGGCAGTTGTTTGAAGACAAGAAGTCTCAGAGGCTCGCCTATTGATAAGGACCGCGTACGTGTACCCTTGAAAGGGATGGAACAACCAGGGATTCACAGAATAGCTAATAGCTGCCGCTGTATGGGAGTAAGATGTTGCGAACCGGTCATGACTCGCAGCCAAATGGTACACATGACGCGATCTCCAAATCCAATGGCTCACACACCTGTTCATCTCGGCCGATATTGGCTTGTTGGTCGCGTAACTGGTCTGGATTCCTGGAGACCAAGTTCCGTATAATATCTATCATTTCTACGGAAATCGGTTGGTTTACACCAAGGTGAAGCGATGTCTCGGAAGCTTCCAGTTGCCAGTGAGTTAAGTCCAACGAATCACGTGAGTACAAAGTTATCTGTCTGCCATTGGGTACACCTTGTAGAGCGAGGAGAATATTGTATTCAATGTTTCTTGTTCCAGTAAACTCGAGAGTGTTACAAGTATGCCCTGCGCATGAAGTAGTTGAAGCTGCTATTCGCCGATATCAAGGAAATTTCTCTGCGTGCCCCTGACTCCTGAAGACTTAACGTGACACCGTTACTAACGTGACAGATTCCAAAATTTGGTGTGTATACCACCCGTCCTCAACGCCAACGCCGATAACGACTCGCTTCAAGACATCCCCTCAAACTATTAGCACATTATGGTCCGTATTACTCCAGCAGCCTACTCGAGAGTCGTTGGGCCATCGAAGTTGCCATTTTGACCGATGTTCTTGATGGATGGGACTTCGCGCTGCTGGATGACCCACGATGGCCCATATCGCACTTCGCCCGTTCAACTTCAATACTCATCTGCTCTCTCAAATTACAGGCTCGGGGACCCAAAAAGCACTTAAAGCGCCTTGCCGCTCCCTCGTCATGGATGTTGGACAAGCTGGGTGGGACCTACGTACGCGCATTTTGTTGGGACAATTGCAACTTGCCTCTTATATTGTATATTTGAAAGGCTCCCCGTCCTTCCCCCGGTCCCCACAAGCTCCGTGAATCGCTCCCCCTTACCATCTTCCTCCGCAACAGGTTGAAGTATGCCTTGACTGGACGCGAGGTTACCGCCATTGTCAAGCAGCGATTGATCAAGATCGACAATAAAGTTCGAACTGACCCTACCTACCCCGCTGGCTTCATGGGTAGGTTCAATCTCCAACGAGCATATATTGAACGGCTACTTATTTCTGGTATTCCGTTAGATGTCATCTCGATTGAAAAGTCTGGCGAGCACTTCCGTCTCCTCTACGACGTCAAGGGACGCTTCACCATTCACCGTATCACCCCCGAGGAGGCCACCTACAAGCTCCTTAAGGTCCGCAAGGTCGCCCTTGGAGCCAAGGGTGTCCCCCATATCGTCACCCACGACGGCCGTACCATCCGATACCCTGATCCCCTCATCAAGGTTAACGACACCGTCAAATTCGACCTCGAGCAAAATAAGATTACCGAGTTTGTCAAGTTCGACACGGGCAACATTGTCATGGTCACTGGTGGACGTAACATGGGTCGTGCTGGTGTCATTGTGCACCGAGAGAAGCACATTGGTGGTTTCGATATCGTACACGTGAAGGATTCGTTGGAGCGAACATTCGCTACTCGGTAAGTGAACTTTTCGTCTATACCTGTATGAGAGATTCTGAATGACCTAAATAGTGTCACCAACATTTTCGTCATCGGTGAGGGTACGAAGCCTTGGATATCACTGCCCAAGGGCAAGGGCACCAAGCTTACCATCTCGGAGGAACGTGATGTCAGGAGAAAGCGCGCTGCTGAGCAATAATTATCTTGTATTCGTCGCATTCTCTCGCACTCTAGGTCATGTATGCCATGTTGATTCTTACCACTACAAAATCGTCCTATGCACTCATGCCCTTCTGCTTCCTATATATTGCGGCTTGAGAGTTGAATGTTTCCGCGGAGTCGCTGAGCCAAGTGCCAGTGGGAGTCAGTCGGTCGGTATTATATAAGCCGCTCCTTGAGCCAAATATGGGCAGTAGCGAAATCCAGACTTGCGCCTTGCCTCGTACCACCACCACCTCCACCATCACTTGCTGAGCAACTAAGGTAATTTCAGGAATCCGTTGACGTGGGCTTCATCTCATTCTACTTGCGTGGACAAAGCCTGGTTTCGATGGCTGCGTGCATCTAAATGGACTTACTATCAGACGAACACCAAGAAGCAGCCCACAGCGCCAGTTCTTCCATCGTCCGTCAGCAAAGTGCATCCACGTCCACGAACCAACAAACAGAGTCCAGGAACCTGCGTTCCAGCACCCGAGCAAAGCCAGCGAACCGCAAGATCAAGGGTAAACAGCCTGAAGATCAGGTCCAGACGCCCTTGGTGACGCCTCAAGTCCCCGAATCATCCTCGCGTTCTACTCGTTCATCCCAACGCACCAAACGTTCGGCAGACACAGCCTTAGCTAAAGGTAAAGGGAAAGAAGTCGAACAATCCCGTGCCAGCAAGCGGTATGCGCACCGTCTTCCTTTCATGTATTCACCTAACCCTAGCGCCCACAGCAGTCGCAAACCGACTAACCCTCCCGCCGCTCCACTTACAATCAGCGAACCCCCGAAAGACCTCAAAGGAAAAAAGCGTGCAGTTCCCGAACCATCCTCTGAAGACGAAGACACTGCGGGTCCATCTAAGCGTCCCAGAACCGGTTACTCCCTTCGTTCCAAATCATCTACTACGAATTTGTCAGTAATGCCGAGAAAGCCTCGGTGAGTCCCCCTTCCCCCCGACGTATATGGTCAAGCTGAAGGCGTTCACGTCCACCAGCCCCACTGTTACCAAAGGCAAAGCTGCCATGAAAACTAAAGCTATGGCAATGGCAGGATCGTCTCGAATAGCCGATGATGAAGATGATGTTGAGATGCTTGACCCCGAATATAGACAAGAAAGCGATCCCGTCGTTGAAGGGGATGCTGAGAAAGGGCACGACAAGGATGATCACGATGGTGGGGATCATGGGCACGAGCTAGATGATGATGATGACGAGGACGATAGAGACGACGGAGATGGCATTGTCCCCACGAACGAGGATGGTTCTTCCTCTCGCCCTCCCGATGAAGCGTCGGCCTTGAGTGTCTTCGGCGACTTCCGTCAGTTTGGATCGTATATGATGTCCCTTTCCTCTCGCCTCAAGACGATGCTCACCAATATCAAGCCTACCGCCGACCCTACCACTCGTATGATTACTCTACAGGAGCTCAGTGAACTTCTTAGCATCAGCACGGAAGATACGTTAGCTGGCTCGTTTCCGGTGGAGCAGTTTGTTAGGGAATTAGTTCGCATCCTTGGTGGACAAGGTGCAGAAGAAGACGAAGACCATGATGGAGACGAAGAACCCCAAGATGAGGACGCTGCTCTTGCAGCAGCATTGGCCATGAGTGCAGGTGGCGCCTATCAAGGGGACGAGAATCTAGAAGCGCAAGTACTTGCTTGTCGTTGTCTCGCTAATCTCATGGAAGCACTGCCTGGGGTCGCCCACACCGTTGTGTACCACGGTGCGATCCCGGTGCTTTGCAGTAAACTCATCGAAATATCTTACATTGACCTTGCTGAACAAACACTGAGCGTGAGGCACTACCTAGCATGCGTTTCAACCAGTTTCTCATCCTTTCATTTTGTATACAGACATTGGAGAAAATCTCGGAGGAATTCCCAAGTTCTATCGTGCGGGAGGGTGGCTTAGCTGCCCTTCTTAACTACTTGGACTTCTTTTCCATCGCAGTTCAACGCACCGCACTCCAGGCCGCTTGCAATTGCTGCCGTAACATCTCTTCTGACCACTTTACTCAGATTCACGGAGTCTGGCCTATCATCCGGAACTGCCTGTCCTACTCAGATCAGCGACTCGTGGAATTCGCATGTCTTTGCGTTATCCGGGTCATTGACTCTTACCATAGGTCTTCTATAGAACACCTAGAAACTCTTGTCGATAAGGATCTCATCCAGGCCGTCAACTCGTTACTCCTACCAGCGGGCGGCTCGCCACTAATCGCCGCGAATACCTTTACTCTGTTACTTCGCGCGTTGGCTACATCCGCTAGGGCAAGCCCGAAGATTGCGCTGACGTTATTGGAAGCGGATATCGTGGACACACTGTACCAAATCCTCACGGGTGTCCTACCATCAGCGGGGCAGCGGGGCAGCGAACAGGGGGATTCAGCAGGTGGCCAGGGATTGGGCGGAGGACTAGCTGACATGACTGTGATGGAGAATCTTGCACACCGTCCGAAAGAACAGATAGAGGAAGCGCTGAGTCTGGTGTCAGAGCTCATGCCCCCAATACCTAAAGGCAAGACCTTCATTGATGCATAACCATAACTCGCGTTGTTGACATTCCGTGCGTCACAGATGGAGTATTCGATCATAAGTCTTACACGGAGAAGTCGTTGGCAAGGATGATGAAGGCCAAAGTCAAGGCCGACAGGGCGGCGGCGAAGCAGGTCCTTCAGGCTCCTTTGGTTGCTGCCGGCCTGATTGTTGCTGCCCCTTCACCCGCCCCTTCGCCTGCTGAGGCCCAGGAAGGAACTCCGGCACCCTCTGCACCCTCGGAGTCACAGCCACCAGAAGGAGACGACGCTTCTGCTTCTGCCACACCGCCGAAAGAGCCTGCACCTGATCGCACCGAACTTCTTCGTTCAAAACCTGAAGTTACTGACCGATTCATGCAGTTGATGGTCCCCATCCTCGTAGATGTTTATGCAGCAAGCGTTATAACCCCAGTCCGGGTCAAAACGCTAACAGGTCTCCTCAAAGCCGTCAGCTTCCTGGATGCTGAAGGGCTCAACAAAGTTCTTGCGGTCAGTTACAGTGCATTCCATCCCTGTTACCCTGTCGCTGACCAATCGATCCAGTGTGTACCTGTGGCCAGTTTTGCTTCGTCCATCCTGTCGTCCAAAGATCACCCATCGCTAGTTATTGGCGCGCTTCAGCTAGTAGAGTTGTTCTTGATCAAGGTTCCCGAATCCTACAAGCCTACCTTCCGTCGGGAAGGTGTTCTCCACGAGATTGAAACGCTGGTGCAGCGTACGCTAACCACGTCCAAGTCAAAAGAAAGAGAAAAGGACAAGGACAAGGAATCTTCTGAATCTTCGACTCCAGACCCACCTCCCGCTCCGGTGCAATCATCGTCCGCTCATACGATTCCCGGCTTCAAGAAACTCTCTTCACTTGCGCTAGATCCCGACGATGCGATCACATTACGTGCAAGAGTCATTCGCTTTAAATACCTCGCTGGTGACGAGCAGCGGGACGGCGACAAGCACTTCGAGGCCCTGCGCCGCATTGTCGAACGTATGTCAGTACGGGATGCCACAGAGAAGGACTTGCAGAAGGCTTTGAGAGAATTGGCGGACCTGTTTACGTCGAGTCCTACGTCGGTGTCTAGCTTCGAGCTTCTCCAGACTGGCGTTGTCGATGGGTTACTACAATTCACCACGGATGAAGACAGAACGAGTAAGTGTTTTCCGCACAGAATTCAGCGACCGTTGGCTGAGCTAGCCCATAGCCACGACCAAACGACGAAGGGAAATCTTCCTTGACGCCTTCACTGGTCGGAAGTCTAAGGCTCATAACAACGTGCAAACGCCGTTCACAGTTATCGTAAAAAAGCTGCAAGAAAGTTTGACTCGAATGGAGTCCTTCGATGTCATCACCGTCTCGCAAGGCGTGGATGGTACACTATTTCTTCTCTCTTGCGCAATGTGACTGATTTGATTCTCTATAGATTCAAAGCGTAGTTCGCCTTCGCTGCTAGCACGTCAGTTACGACTGCGTTTGGTCGCCAGCGAAGAGTCGGATTCGCCTAGGAACATCCACAATATCGTCGTGTCAATTCATGCCATAGCGACTTTCCAAGCACTTCATGACTACCTTCGTCCTCGTATCACGAGCTTGTTGAGCAACACCAGCCGCTTGTCTGGGATGCTTGCAGCGTTGCAAGCGCACGGGCTTGCTGGTGCGGCCGACCTAGCGGCATCGGCACCATCTTCATCAACCCCAGCTGATGAGCCTCAGCCGTCGAGTTCGGTAGGTCGACGGAGAAGTCAGAGACTCAGTGCGAAGAAGGCAGGAGCGTCCGGACAGGCATCAGCCGACGCTGAAGGGTCGACCTCTGCTGATGCGCCTTCACAAGAGGCCACTGCATCGGAGGCTAATCAGGGCAATGATGCCACAGGTTCCATCAATGCCCAGCAAGCCGAACCCTTGCCCGGAGACATGTTGGACAGTGATTTCCAAGCCGACTTCTCCGAGGATGATGTAGATGCAGAACTGTTCGACGAGGAGGGAGACAACAATGGTGCAGAGAAGACGGTCAACCTATCAATTGCTGAAGGTAAGTATTAGGATAGCGTTTTGTGGCCTTTGTTTAACACACTGTTAGATGGATCCAAAGTTGTCGCTCAGACCCCGGAGGGCACTCGTGTCGCGACGCCTAGCATCAAGGAGGCAACTCCATCCTCGTTAAGTCGAGGTGGCTCTTCTAAGGCATCGTACGCTGCAGCTCTGAAGGCTAAGCCGACCGACTGGCATCTTGAATTTTCAATGGATGATCAACCCCTTCCTCTGGATCTAACGATCTACGGAGCTATCCACCAGCATGAAATGCGCAAGAAAACGGGCGCTCTTCCTCCTAGTCTCATCTGGCAAGGAATCTACACAGTGAAGTTCAAGAAAGTCACTGGCCCTGCCCCTTCTACCGAGTGTCAGTGTCCAAGTTGTTTCCACTATATTAAACGTACTCAACCTTAGTCTTTAGCTCGCGCGGAGGAAATTGCCAACAAATCCCGATCGGTGAACCCAATACTGACATCCATGCCCGAGGATGCACCACATTCCAAGATACTGCGTCTTCTTCGTGTTTTACATCAAATCAACACTCTCGAAGTTGAGCGGTCGATCCCAGTAAACGATCAGCGCACACTATCCGAAGCGGCTTTCATAAACAACAAGCTAACGGCTAAACTTACTCGCCAGCTTGAGGAACCTATGATTGTCGCTAGGTAAGACGTTTTGATGGTCGATATACGTGTGCTCTTACTAACTACCCGATGCTATATAGTTCATGTCTGCCAGACTGGGCATTGGACCTGCCCCAGCACTTCCCTTTCCTGTTCCCATTTGCCACTCGTTACAACTTCCTACAGTCGACTTCTTTCGGTTATGCACGCCTGATTTTGAAATGGCAGAGTCAGCAAACCAGGAATCAAGATTCATCGCGGCGAGACGAAGGCATCGGTTTCTTGGGACGCTTGCAGCGACAGAAAGTCCGCATTTCTAGAAAACATATCCTAGAATCAGCGGTGAAGGTGTTTGAGTTGTACGGTTCCTCCTCCTCGATCCTGGAAGTCGAGTACTTTGAAGAAGCTGGGACTGGTTTGGGGCCTACACTGGAGTTCTACTCGCTAGTTTCCAGAGAATTTGCTCGCAAGGACCTCAAGATCTGGAGGGATTCGGACACCTCGGGGACGGGGGTGTATGTGCAACACCCAACAGGGCTTTATCCTGCGCCTCTGAGCGCAGAAGATATAGCAAGTGACGGCGGACAGTGCGTGTTCTCTCCTCCATAACATTGGCACTTCTCTGATCAACTACTTCTATGGTGTAGTAAACGAACGCATATCCTCCGGGTGATTGGCCAATTCGTAGCGAAAGCCATGCTGGATTCTCGGATCATCGATCTTCATTTCAACAAAGTCTTCTTGAAACTCGTGCTCGGAGAAGAAGTTCCTTTGACGATTCAGACCTTGAAGGTAGTCATAGCTATACGAAGATCACCCCAAGTATTTATCCGTTCCTTTATAGCTCGTAGATAGCGGTCTCGCCAGTTCGTTGGCGAAGCTACAGAACATGGTGGGCAAGCGCCAAGGATCAACTGACAAGGTGGGCGCGATACCTGAAGTGCTTGACACGCAATTTACCTGGCTATAGTTATCTCGCAAACTTGCACTCTTGGACTCCGTCAACATCGAGGACTTGGCTTTGGACTTCACCGTTCCCGGTTACGATATCGAGCTTATGGTATTGTTTTTCTTTGTGCACCGTTTCGTCAGACTGATTTTGTGATTGCTCTAGCCTGGCGGTCGAGAGAAGGCAGTAACTTCGGACAACGTGGAGGAATACATACAAGCCGTGTTGGAGACGATCATCGGCAAGGGGGCACAGGTCCAAGTCAAAGCCTTCCGCGAAGGTTTCTCGAAAGTATTCCCCATAACGGACCTACAAACGTTCTCTGCGGACGAACTTGTGATGCTTTTCGGAAATTCGGACGAAGATTGGAGCATCGAAAGTAAGCATTAGAGGGTTCATTCTGTTTACCCGAACTAAGCAGGACAACTTCCTACAGCACTACAAGAAGCACTCAAAGCAGATCATGGATTCAACTCCGAGAGTCGTTCCATTCACGACCTCATCGCGGTCATGTCTGAGTTTGACGCTCCGACGCGACGCGATTATCTGCAGTTTATAACCGGAAGTCCCAAGCTCCCTATTGGTGGTACGTCTACCATTTCATGTCATATCGCATGTACAATCGGTCTGACGCCGAATACAAGGCTTCCGTGGGCTGAACCCGCCTCTGACCGTTGTGCGCAAACCGCATGAAGCGCCTTTCACCGCAGACGATTACTTACCGAGTGTGATGACCTGCGTCAATTATTTGAAGCTCCCGGAATACAGCTCGAAAGCTGTCCTTCGAGAGAAAGTGCGAATAGCGATGAAGGAGGGGGTTGGCAGTTTCCATCTGTCGTAAATGACTTACAAATAATAACGGACTATTGTACAAGATATCGATGCATTGTTTTTCTGCTATTCATATTCATGACATCGTAGACTCGAATATATCAGTGACTCAACTTTCATTCGTAATTCGTAGATTTAATAAATAAGCGCCTTTTATATAATCACAGCGTCTAAACCTTCTGAAGCTTGAAGCTGGACGAAGTTCGAATACTACTACCACCACCGAGTCACTTCAACATGTCCAAGCATCATCCAGGTAGGTTTGTCCCCTGACGCTATCAGATTTTGGTCTGATACAATGTGTATTGCCAGATCTTATTATGTGTAGGCGCCAACCTGGCATAGGTATGCAGTCGCGCGTGCACAAAGTTTCCAATGCTGACCGATACTGTCTAGCCATCGGTCGTCTTTGTGAGAAGTGCGACGGCAAGTGGTGAGTCTGCTAATACGGACCTCCATATGAACTCTGGATTGATGAAATGAAAGCCCTGTCTGTGATTCATATGTCCGGCCTGAAACTCTGGTGCGAATATGCGACGAGTGTAACTTTGGTACATACGGTGGACGCTGTATCATCTGTGGTGCACCAGGTACGCCTTTTGCTGCATTGATTCACCAATTGCTGATAAGATGTCAGGTATTTCCGATGCGTATTATTGCTCTGAGTGCACCAGACTCGAAAAGGACCGTGATGGCTGCCCTAAGATCGTCAATCTAGGTGCAAGTCGGACAGATCTATTCTACGAGCGTCGTCGTCTTGGTACGCCTGCAGTCTGTGAGAACCTTGTTTATACGTGTACTGACCATCAATTACAGGCTTCAAAAAGGGTTGATTATACTAAATACAACTATTATATGGTCGAAATACAGGCATTCGATGGGTCAGAAGCGGCTATGCAGGCTTCGTATATACGGCATAAGATATAATGGGAACGCTCCCATTTGGATCCTCGTAATTTTGGAACGCTTGTCTGAATGCGAAATTAGTTGCATGCATGCAATTCCTGAGTAGCGTACTCACTTGAAGCGATTCATATCGACCTGCAATATCGCGAATTAGGCGTACATGATTAAATGAGTGATTTAAATAGCACTTGCCGGTCCTTTAAACATGATGAATATGTGCGTTTCATCATGGACGTCAATAGACTCGCAATCCTCGCAGAGATCACGCCCACAGTACGCGCAGCGGTACCATTCGCCTTGTATGTGATTCATGCAACAGTCGCATAAAGCCGTTCCATGTCTAAGGGATCGCAAATATCCTGGGCAACGTTAGAGCCCAGTTTCAGTGGAACGAATGAACTCACCTCTGGGGTTATGGAGATCATGATACCCTGCTGCAACTTGTTGCGAGTACCTACAATGGGGTTATTCCACTTGCTGGACAGTTGATGGAAATCACTTACAGTAGTGGCAAGAATGGGGTTTCCGATTCCAAAGGAACATCCACAGGTCGATGTAATTTGAAGAAGACATGAAGGGGGTTGTGAATATGCCAGGATCGCTCTTCGCAGTACTCGCACTAGATAGGACTTTAGAAGGCTCAAACTTCGAAGAATAACAACGAGCATACTAGGCTGAATGGTGCTGGCTTTGAAGGGCAGGTCGCGCATTGATATCGGATGCCGATGATGGGCTAAAATCTAATGAGGGGTAAATATACAATGTTGTTGGGACGCACGTACCTTGTTGCAGCCTCTGCATATCGTCCCATGATCGTTAGGAGACACCCTCTGAGGATTACCCGATACCCCCGAGCCGACCACAGTTTTCGCGTACGATGATACGGCCGAGCTCAGATCAGTTTCTGATGTCGAGTGATTGAGATTACCACCATCTCTCCGTTGCCAGAGGTTGATAGCTCTTTGACTGGCCGTATGGAGCTGGACCCCGAAAGTTAGCACTGACAGAGGCATGGCCAGAGATGTACTAACCTCCGAAGAGTCTAGCGGATACGGAATCTAAGGGTGAAGGGTCTTATTATACTTTGTGGAGGAGGAGATGTGGTGAAGGCCAAACTTACCTTGATCATTACATGAGCCGATGTATGGCCGCTTTCCGTTGGGTCGAAGTTTCCGGGCAATCCGGCGGACTCGCAGTTTGAACAGATGTCCACTGCCTGGCAAAGTAGGCAATGGAATCGTGCGCCGACAATATCTTGTAGACAACTAATGGAGGGCGTTAGTTACGCGCGTGAGATCAGGAGAATGGAGATCGTACTGTGAGCATTTGATACCCGGATGTTTCATTGCTTTGCGCTTCAAATTAGCCGTGTGTATATATGTGCACGAGGGCAGTATAGACCTACTTTCTTCGTCACCCATGTCGAGAGGAGCTGCAGGTATATGATCTGGGTCACTATAGGAACGCAATCGTCGTTCTGGTACCACCAGAAACGCGTGAGATGGATGTAGTTCGTGGATTTGACTGCGGTTGGGGGGAGGCGTAATAAGCTCCTGAATGACTGCGGCACGTGAAGATGAAGCTTGGAGGTTCTTACCTATAGCATCCGCGACAGACGTTGAGCTGCTTACATGACGCGCATTTATAGCTTTTGCGCAGATTGGTGGCTTTGCAGAACGTGCAGTTAGAAGTCTTCGATTCGTCGTGTTCTAGGCGCAGAGGTTAGTCTCGTGTAGATTGAGAATCATATACATTGCGTACCGACGTCATCCCAGCCGGTGTGTCCCCAGACTTTCTCTTGGAAGGCGTGGCGAAGAGGCGCCTTGTGTCGAGAAGTGGAACTATGTCCTTGCAAGTCTTGAGGTGAAGGTGGCAGAGTCGGATTTAGAGGCCCTTCCTTAGCATGGGTCACGCCGTCAGTTTCCAAGCAGCCCGAACAGAGTTCGTAGCCAGGTCCATGAGCAGACTGAGACGATCCCGAAGAACTCCCAGGAGACCCGGATATCGGTGGTATTGAAGGAAGTGGTTTATGACGGAAAGGGTTCCCAAATAGATCCAAGTCACCTATCAGCGTGCGCGAGGAATTAGACGGCGAGGTAGATAATTCTGGGCTCCAAGGGGGATACGTCAGGCCGGGAGAGCCACTAGGTGATTCTTTCCCTTTCCCTTTGAGTGTAAGGCTCTCTCCTATGGGGGCTTTTGGTCCGCAGGTCGAACAGACATACCGAAAGGTGTGAAGTCTCACACCACAGGCGGAGCAGTCGGTGATTTGTTCCGGTGGCGGTGAATGGGCCGGGGGGATGTATTGTCCAAGGCCCTGTGGAATGCCATTCTCGTGAATGTGCTCGCGGCATGGTAGTGGGTCGGAATTGTGCGAATTTGATTGCGAGGAGGGAGCGGGGAAAGAAACTTGCTGAGCGGCGAGCCAATCTAGCTGCATGGAATTCGGTCGTGCAGGGCCCGGTGCACTCATACTGTCAAGGATACCAGCTTCGCTTTCGTATGTTGCTCCGTTTTCACCATATTGTGATTGAGAAGCGTTGGACCGAGCGGGGGTGTACGTATAGTAACGTTTGCCCCGATCATCCGACTGCAATGAGAGATCCCCCGAGAAGCGAGCGGATTGAGCATCGTCTTGGATGGACACAGACGATGTGTCAGATTCTGATGGCGCAGGCAGGCCTCCTAGAACGTTGATGATAACCCTCTCGTTTTGCTCTCTTAACCAAGCCGCTCCGCGGGCGTCTCGGCCAAAGGTATGGTCGACGCTGGACGTATCGGACGCGTTTTGCTCGTCGTATCTCAGCCGCTCAAATACGGCGGAAGGGTTTTCTGGGAATCGTGCGGCGGCCGATTCTTCTAAACCGGAGAAGCTACGATCGCGACTCCGACCAGATAAAGAGGAGGCGATCTTCCTCAGACGGCCGGCGGTTGCGCTGAACCGGCTCTGGCTCACTGCTGTGACTTGTGGAGGAGAGAGATTTGACGACGAGGCGCTGCCCTCCGGCGGACTGAGAGAGGGAGTGGATAGTCGAGATGGTGATCGGGCACCGGTATCCCGCGAGCTGACCGTGACAGAGTCGTCGTCAACCTCTGGTCGGTGGGCACTGTAATTGAAGGAGGCCTGGCTGAGATTTCTACTCGAAATTCCCTCGAAGCTACGAATGGATGAGTTATCAGAGAGACTTATACCATCGTACTCCATGTTGATCTCGACGCTAATAGAGATCTTGCGAGGTCCGCCGAAGAGAGACGACGACGATGATTCGTCTCCACCCGAGTTGAAATAGTTGATAGCTTCAGTAAGGGTATCCTCCGAGGTAATAATTGATATCTCTCCATCGTCGTCGGTGTATTGAATAGAGTATTGTTTTGAATGCAGCGAGAAGGCCTGGTCTACCTGATGGCTGAGTTAGAGTGTCATTTCAACAGCTAGCCAAGTGTGAGCGCATGCCTTGTCCCGTAGCGCCTGGTACGTGCAAGTCCGGGCATTGGGGAAGGTGATCCGCTTGCGACTCTGTTCCAAGAAGCACTTTGCGACAAGCGTACGATCCGGTCTCGTGTGCATTGCGAGACTTTAATATGCAGACAATTTGGGTATATGGTGCTCAAGCAGCAGCGAAAGGAGGCAAGCGGTGCAGCTGTACGATCGGGGCTGCTGAACAATGCATGATCGGCGGTGCGCAGTTACCGGCGGCAATATCCTGCTATCAGGGGCAACAAAGGGGCTAGGTCACATGCAACTGGGCGCTCGATGTGTTTGCGTCTATTTGAAAACACGTCGCACCAATTAGTATCGCAAGCTCACCTTCTCCGCTCGTCTATGCAACAAAATTCCAAGATGGTAAGTCGCAGTGCATCTGGGTAGCGGAATGTGTCTGAACATAACCTAGGCAGCTGCAACTGTCTCTGATTCCGTGCCAATGGAAACCTCTCATGAGGATATGATCGTACGTTGAGCTGCTTCGACCGCAGAGTAATACGTGTCTCATTGGCGACAGCATGATGCCCAACTAGATTATTATGGCAAACGACTTGCTACGTGCTCTTCTGACAGGACTGTGAAAGTGTTCGATGTAGTGGAGGGTGAAACGAAGCCGACAGGCCAGACCTTGAAAGGGTTCGTTGGCTATAACCTCCCTTCATTTCGCGCGTTTTGAACGCTATTTTAGCCATACAGGACCTGTTTGGCAAATAGCCTGGGCCCATCCAAAATTTGGGCATATACTTGCTTCGTGTTCGTATGACGGGAAGGTGTTGATCTGGAAGGAGCAACCAGGGCAGGGACCTTCCACGGGCGGGTGGACAAAGATTAATGAACATACGCTGCACAGTGCTTCTGGTGAGTTTGGCATGATTGCCGAGCCAGCTGCGGTTCTGACCTGGAGGCATGTAGTCAATTCTGTTTGCTGGGCTCCCCATGAACTTGGCCCCATTCTTGCTTGCGCGTCCTCAGACGGCAAACTATCAGTATTGACTTTCAAAAGTGCGTTACAGTCCCCACAGTTCCATGTGGATATGGCCGCTCATTAGGTATAGATGAAGGTCAGTGGGACGCCGACATTTTCAATGGCCATGCTGTTGGTTGCAACGCCGTATCCTGGGCTCCTGCTATTCAGCCCGGTTCCTTGATTACACCCCAACAAGCTCCTTCCATCCCAGGACAAGCCACTAATCAACCAAGCCAACAAACCGTTAAGCGCTTCGCAAGTGCTGGCGGTGACAACCTCGTCAAGATCTGGGGATATCGCGAGAACACGCATTCCTGGGTTGAAGAGGAGGTCCTTGAGGGCCACACCGACTGGGTACGAGATGTTGCCTGGGCTCCGAATATCGGCCTCCCCAGAAGTTACATTGCCACCGCTTCGCAAGATAAGACTGTTCTTATATGGACGAAGGACACACCGACATCACCTTGGGTGAAGACTGCCCTCGATCCATCATCTGCGATTACGAACGCACCGTCTGCACCCGCTGGCAAATTCCCTGATGTTGTTTGGCGTGTGTCGTGGAGTTTGGCTGGCAACCTGCTTGCTGTTAGCTGTGGTGATGGTAAAGTGACGCTGTGGAAAGAAAACCTGAAGGGTATCTGGGAATGCGTCAGCGACATGAACAGCTAGATACTATTCTCCATGTAGCAGTAATGGTTCGTATTATTCAACGGCAGGACTCCGCTCTCTCCAACTGGTTACTACCGTATGGTTTCCGCCCGTTACCACATTTCTGTTGCCTTGAACTTCATGTAGACGTTCCTGCGGCGAAACTCTAGGCATATTACAAGCGCACGATTCACCAACCATTCATGTATTGGTAGAAACAACCTCGAATGAGAACGATTGACTTTCCTTTTGAGTTCTCGTGTATGGGAATATCTTTCCAGAAACGTAAAGTGTTGGGCGCTTCCATTTTAGACTCTTCCTCATCATCGAAAATCATCAATGGGTCGCCTTCGCCGTTCGAGAGCCCACCACGCACGTAGAGACGTGCACAGAGCGTCTCGTACGAGGGTATGTGTCAAACCTCTGCAATATTTCCCTAATTGCACTCATTCAATATCACCCACAGGTTCGGACGAAGGACCTGGATCAGATCCAGCTAATTGACTTGGATCCCAAAGTGCGTTCGCTATCTGACTCTATCCCGGAGTTATTGTTGAGGGCGCTACCTTCAGAATCGCGCCAATCTCGAGGCACAACCAATTGACTTTGATACACCTGGCTTAGCGCAGCATTATTGTGTCGAATGTGCAAAGTCGGTCATTGTTCCTGGTATCGACGGTAAACGCTGGACGGACGGTTCAAACTAATCCATCTAGATACTACGAGACAGATCACGCCTTGCAATCACATTGGAAGAGCAAGGTCCATAAACGACGATGTAAACAGCTTAGGGAGCCGGCCTATACGATTGAGGAGGCAGAACGCGCTGCTGGACTGGGGAGAGAAACCAAAAAAGTATAATACACATCTCCGCATGGATGATATCTCATAATCTATTTATTTTGATCATTGGTGCGTCGCACATTCCATCCCACTTCACAAATAAGTCTGAAACCTCCCCAGTAGTTTACGTATTGCAGCGATGTATCTGTCAATGTTCTTGGGAATGGCCCCCTGAGGCGGCAGCCACTACCCGCTATAGTACGTATCACACCAATCCCTTCACTCAGGAGGCAAGGGCTCGATCTTCATTTCCTGAGTGTCACCCCGTTGTTATTTTGGCCCGCCTTCCTAGCGAGAATAAATCAGCACATCAGTGTCATGTTCTCCCGCAGGAGTCTTTTAGAAGATCTTAAACCCAGTTCACCGTATCAGACAGCTGACTTGGTGTGTGGAGACCACTGTTGCCCGCGTTGCAGGCGGAGATGTTGGAAGATGCGAAGGATGATCGATTGCAACGTCGGCAGGAGCGTCAACGACAGCGTGGGTGGCCTTCGGTCTCAACGAACCCAATGTAGGCACCTAGGCACCGGCCTCTCGGACGGCGACATGGAGGAAGAAGATGCTATTGTCTCGGGAATGCGACCTAACTGTCCCGAGTAATGGATCGCAGCAGCATTCGTGTGTCTCATCGGGAGTTACTAGAGCACTGGCATCTTCAAGTATCGGTAACAAATGAAATCAGATCGAGGGCTATGCACTGTGGCTCGCCATGCCGTGCTCCATGACGTACTAATTGTCGAACCGTTCCGCTTACGCTAAGTAAGTGTTCCAATACCATCTACGAGCGTGGCGCACGCAGCAAAACCAGTTAGTCACTTCCCCGGCAGGAACTTCGGCGTCATGCTCGGAATTCTGTGCAGCTTCATGATTTCGCAAGCTGTTGGCATAGTCTATGTTGGGATACTATTCGATTCTACGCAGCAAGCTTGTTCAGCCGTTCCTCGGCTTCCATCCAATCATCATCGCATCCTCCTTTAGCCAACCATCCAAACGTCTCCCCAACAGCCTTCCCCAAAGATTCCATCTCGTCCCTTGATGACTTCGAGTTGACTTGGAAATCCGGGTGATTGAACTCATACATCAGGCCGTTGAGGCGAGAACGCTCAGCTTTTTGCTGAGCAAATGGGAGGCGAATATCTTGGTATATCTGCAGAACGACAGGCAAATTGTCCTTGGTAGTCTTCGGGTGGGCTAAGAGGCGCCCAAGAAGGTGAGCGTCCTAGCAAGAAGGTTAAACTTGGGTGGGGCGACGAGACGTTTAAGATTTTTTCACCTCAATAGCCTGGCCACCTCCGACTCCTTGGTGGGGGGTCATTGCATGCGCCTAGTCACAATTCAGCATGGAATCTATACCACGCGACTATGGAGCACTGACCGAATCGCCCACGAGGGCAACTCTTCCGTTGACAGCGAATGGAAGGCCTTCCACGACGAAGATAGTCCATCTACTGACTTTAGAGTTCATAAGCTGATAGGTAGGTAGTTAGATCATGTCTTCAACGCAACACTGATAACCTACCTCGAGCATACCACAGACCTCGGGCTCCCAGTCGACAAATGCGTCGATTACATGTTGCTTAGGAACATCCACGACATGCGCATCGCCTACGGTGTCCAGCATTTTCCCAGGGGGCGAATAGTAGCAGATAAAATGCACTACAGCACCGAATGGATACGAAACGACGTGCTGCGAGCCAGTTAGCCACACTTTTTCGGATAACACCCTGACATTACCTTGTCCTGGCCACACCACTGCGCGAGAGAGCAAATGAACAACATACGCACACCTCTATCACTCGTGTTACTCACTATGTATGGATTAGTGAGGGCACGATGGCCCGGGAATTTAGCTTGCAATGCCTCTGCTGAGACGTTGCACCTATATGCATATGTGCCACTCCATTTTGGGGGGACGAGTTGTAGGTAGGCTTCCGCCTTAACAGGGTCTGTTTGTTGATTGGCAAAGTCTGTGAAAACCCATTTTCTGGTGGTTGAATGGACACCATCGGCTCCGATCACGATATCCGCGGTGTCGCGTGTGCCATCAGAGAACAATACAGCGACCTGAGCGCTTTTGTCTTCCACGACGAAATCTATGGCGCGTTTGGAGGTCAGTACTTTGCAATTTGGACCCAGTTTTGCCTGTAACATCTCCAAGAGCTTAGGTCTTGGTATGCTCAGAGGCCCATCTATCCTCTCGATCAGATCAACACCTGAATGGAGCCGACGCGGCGAACATACATGGCATAAGATGGCTATGGAAATCGTATCCGTCCTCTTTCTGGTCAGATTTCCTGTAAATAGGTCCCCTGACTGAAAATATCACAAGTTCCTGGTGAGTCTGCGTATACTGTATATTTCGATCCTGACCTTCTCCTTCCTTGGGTGTTGGGAAGTTGCGCTTGGCTAGTTCTTCCTCCAAGCCCATGTCCTGGAAGACTTGCCAACTCCGTTTCCAGATTGCTATCGCTTCGCCGGCTGCAGACACTTCAGGCTTAGATTCACATACGACGACTTCAACTTGCGGGTTGCGACTGATAAACGCGGCGAGTGCTAACCCCCCTACTCCAGCGCCGCTGTTCATTGTGTGAATAAAATATTGAAAATGCTCTAAACCTCAACTCACCAAATGATGACCTTGAATGTGACTTGGGTTTCCATGGTATGTATTTGTAGATGGGGATGATTCTGTTGAACCCGTTGACTAGTGAGGTTTGCTTTTATCCCGTAGGTTCATCAGGTTCATCACACTTCCGCCTGCTTGTGCGATGGCGCTGGGGCTATGTATCACCCCCACATGCAGCGGTCTGCAACAACTAGGATTACACATCGTTTGATACCGGCGGTGTATGGCGGTCATGATGTATTTCCAGAGAGCCGTCCCCCCGGCAACATTCGGTGTTTCAGTTGGATCTGTCATCCTGTCATTTCATCCTACTCGTAAGGTAGGTTTCCCCTGGCATGCGAGGGAGATCGACCTACTCCTCGGGTCCGTTGGTTGAAAAAAAAAACAAGATTGGGCGATCTGTAGAATCCTTTAATCCTTTCCACCTTTGAAAGTATCAAGCTCCACGTCATGGCCTGCAACCAGGTACGATTCTGGGACACTTCGGTTTCGAACGGAACTCGACCCTCACAAATCATCAGCGTGAAAATAACGCCCACGACTGGAAAGCGTTTCGCACTTGGAGATCTTCGGTGTTCACGCGGTAAGGACGGAGATACTAACGAATTCGGACTGGTTGTCCAAGTGTCTGGCAAGACTCGAGAGCGAACTACAGAATGACATTCGGCAGCCTGGGTAGAAGGCGACGAGCAAGCCGCGGCACTTCCGATCGAGAAGATAATTGCGGAGCTGCAATCAAGATACGTTCTATATATAACACTACGTGAGTTCCATGTCAACAAACTAGATATCTCAGCTGATTGAGCAGACCTAGCTCATGTCAGGCCGTTTTAAGCCGCCAGTAGCCGACAGGTCGACTTCACATGTACGCTCACTGGACTCTAGCACACTTAAACTTCCGACCCCCAACCAACCCGAAATATTGCTTCAACAATGGGCGCGTACTTGTCTGTGATGGACGAAAGCTGGCCACCCAAGCCCAAGTGGAAAGTCGACGAAGTACCAGATATGACAGGGAAGGTGGCTCTTGTAACAGGTGGTACCTCAGGAATCGGAAAGAAAGTGGCAAAGGTTTGGAGCGTTTGTACTGTCGAGTGACTATGCGTAGCTCAACTCGTTCTGAATAGGTGCTTCTGCTTCGTGGTGCAAAGGTATACATTACCGCTCGGGACTCCAGGAAAGCCCAGGACACCGTGAAAGAGCTCTCTGAAGCAACTAAACATACGCCAGGCCTGCTGGTCTTAGACCTGTCCGATCTCGGGTCAGTCAAGACTGCCGCAGAAGATTTCTTGAGGTATATAACCTTCGATTGTCATCGCGGGGGGTTATATTGAAGGCACTCCTCCTTAGAAACGAAAAGGAATTACACATCTTGTTCAACAATGCGTGAGTCTTTCGTGCTATCGCCATCGGCCATATATACTGAGCGAAAGTAAAGTGGAATAATGGGTGTTCCGTCTGACCAAGTGACAAAAGAGGGCTATGATCTTCAGTTCGCCACAAACGTTTTGGGTGAGGTTACGATTTATCATACATCGCGTCGGAATGAGCACCTTATACGTGAATATCCAGGCCCCTTCCTCCTCACAGAACTGCTGCTTCCTACTCTTATTTCCACGTCCAGCAGGTCAAATGGGTTCAAGGCACGCGTTGTCAATATGACGTCTGGATACCACTTCCTCTCCAAAGTCGACTTCAATAAATTGCGTGATACCCCGGCGCGCCGTAAGACGGCCCCTCAAGATCTGTACGCGCAAAGCAAACTGGTGAGGTCGAGCACCGCTTTCCCTACCGGCGCTGACCGGTGTTCTGTTTTGTTGGTGATGTAGGGCAATGTGATTTTTGCAACGGAGCTGGCGAGAAGATATGGAGACCAGGGCATTGTATCGACTTGCATCAATCCGGGTACGAGACAATTCCCATACGCCTCGTTCGCGAAGAAATCTCATCCACCCTCTCAGGAAATATACGCACGAACTTGCAACGACATCTACCAACCATCACCGGCAAAATCTTTGTATAGACTATCTTCATGTGGCTCATTGCAACCGTTTCTTACGCTATGCTCATAGGGTCTTATGTTGTATCCGCTTGAGAACGGCATACTCAGCCCTCTTTACGCCGCAACGACAGAAGAGGGTGCATCGCTCAACGGAAAGGTTCGTTTCATTGCCGCTCCTGGAGAATTCTGTAGCTGATGATGTACATTCCTCCCCAGTACCTCAAACCATTCGCGAGGGTAGGTCAAGCATCGAAGGGCTCACAAGACCCCAAGGTCGGGAAGGAGCTCTGGACGTGGATGGAGGAGCAAACCAAATCATACACCAGCTCGGAGGAGAGTACTTCTGCAGCCCCCCCAGCGTGAGATGCAGCAAGGAGTCACTTTTTGTTGCCCGTTTTCTGTCGTTCTTTTACTCTCCCTGCAATGGACGTTCTGGTCTCGAGTCAATAAATCTTGAGTGAAATCTGGTTGGGGTCCAAACTTATAACACTCGCACGCGTGCAGGGTCCCGTAGATACACTTGAGCTTGAGCCAAGATGTCGATGAGCCTCAGCATCGCCGGACTGAACCCCAGCCTAAGCGACGTCCCGGAAGTCGAGGAGACGTCTGCTGATGGCTCGTCATCTGGTGCTGGCGACAGAGCAAACACCATCAACTCGCCGTATCTTGGTAGCCCGACACCGTCCACCTCGTCCTTCAACGTCCCCGCCGTTCAAGTATCCCGCTCGAGCTCAAATCCAGGAGCTACAGGCGGAATTTCGAGAAAGGCTTCCAGCATCAGAACATTGGGGAAATCGTCGTCCAGCTCAATGGATATCGTTGGCTATGGCAGTGGCTCGACGCCCCCAACATCCTCGCTGTCTGGCTCAACCTCCAGCTTGTCCTCCTCGACGGCCACTCTCAAACGTAAACCGAGCTCGAGTTCACAAAGTCGCTCAGGTATGCTCAAAGTGATATTGTATGAAATCCTTCGAAATTAACATAGAAGACTTGGTTCTCTTCTTCAGCAGCCTCCCCGCAGCCTCCCCACTCTCCCAAGCCTGGATCGTCGGCCCACACGCTACAGAAATATCGCAGCAACCCTCGGCTTCCGAATGATAAAGAGTGCGCGAGGGTGCCCTCCACGATGATGTACTGGTCTCGTGCCCCAGTGTACGGCGCGATCCCGATGCGTACTTTTCGTGCTCATACAGTGACATTAGTGGACAATGTCGCTTGGCTATTCGGTGGTTGTGACGATAAGGATTGCTGGAAAGATATCTATCTATTTGATACAGGTGAGTGGGCTACTCCATCTATCTACTGTGCACATAGCGAGTGCCGTCGTACAGAAACTATGCAGTGGTCTCATCCAGATACGACTGGTGACACGCCGCCACCGTGTAGAGCGCATACGGCCACTCTTGTCGATCGCAAGCTGTTCATCTTCGGCGGGGGTCAAGGCCCGACTTATTACAACACAACGTTTATCCTCGACGTCAACACGCGGCGCTGGTCCAAGCTCCCCATGCCCAAAGTCAAGAACAGCAGCAACCTTGCCATCAAGTCAGGAAAAGAGGACTCCAGCACGAACGAGGTCAGCAAAGACGGTAGCAAGACGAACAACGGCGTAGACGATTCATCTGAAGAGCTAGAGTACCGCGTCCCCGCCCCGCGACGCGCACATACGGCCGTGTTCTTCGCAGGTCGCGTGTGGATATTCGGAGGTGGGAACGGCATGACTGCGCTGAACGATGTGTGGACTCTCGATGTGGCCCGCGGAGGCGATGGGAACGACGGCGGAGGCAACTCTTCATCAACGAAAGGCAGCGCGACTGCATCATCGTCGTCTTCGTACTCTCATCTGCGCTGGGAGGAAGTTCAAACCGTCGGGAGAAAGCCCACGCCCCGAGGCTACCACACCGCCAATCTCGTAGGAGACGTCATGGTGGTTGTCGGAGGCAGCGACGGGAAAGAGTGCTTCTCTGATATCTGGTGTTTGAACTTGAGTGAGTGGTTTAACTGTTGTCGTGGCAGTGCTTACTTTGTGTCTAGTCACCCTTGTATGGAGCCAGGTCAAGCTCCAAATTGCCCACAGACGTCTATCTCACAGCGCAACGCAAGTCGGATCATATCTCTACATCCTCGGGGGGCATGATGGAAACGAATACCGCTCCGACCTTCTCCTCTTCAACCTCGGTAAAACTCCTCTTTCTTGAAAGCTGTCCAATTCTGACGTGTGCGTCGTAGTATCTCTGCAATACGAATCGAGGCCTGTCGCTGGAAAGGGCCCGAGTGCTCGTGGATATCACGTCTCGCTGCTCGCGGATTCACGAATTTTCCTCTTCGGAGGGTATAATGGACACAATGCCTTCGATGATGTCCATATCTTGGACCTAGCGGCAGCCGCGTATCTCCCACAGGTTACTAGCTTTACCATTGAAGCGTGAAGAGTATATGGCTGCCTACGCGGGAGTGTGGAAGTCGGTTATTTCAGATGCTAAACAATGTGTAGTCAGTGTATACTAACGAGAGGTGGATATGAACCTTATTCAACGAACAATGTTTCTGCTCCCTCTTGAATCCACGACAGAGAACAAGCGTCGCTGTAATTGAGATGGACGATAGATCAGGTATTGTAATGTTGTACAAGGGTGGACATGTATCCAGAGTACACGGGCAAACGGGCAAAAAGTAGATCGAAAGCAACAAGAGAAGTTAAGATAGGATAAATAATAGAGGGGGCGGGGCTACGAATCAACATCCATGCTGTCATTGCGTATCGGACGGCTGGAATCGAGTGGTTGTTTCAGCGGCTGCGTCCCGACGCCCCCACTGATGCCTTCAGCCGCATCTACAGCTAGCAGTAAATCTGCTAGACTGCCTCGTCGACTAGCGAGACTCATCATGCTCATGCGACTGGCTTCGCCATCGAGGTCGGACTCTCCATAACGGAAACGGCCATCGAATGACAACCCGCCGTGCATGATTTCACCCTCGGCAGGTGTCCCAGGAAGAGTGGGCTGGGAACTTCCGAACATGGAGCCAGGAGTAGAGGGTACCGAACTTCGGGAGACGCCTGATGAGAATGTCGCAGAGTGAGGTTGACTATCGTACGCATATTCGCGACGTTCAAGCTCCCTTGGAGGGAGTGTTGTATATGACTGATGGCGCGGTATATGGGTATTGTTAACGTCTGCACCTTCGTATGAACTAGAGGACGCGAAGGACTGAGAAAGTGATGGGGGACGGCCAAACGATCTGGTGAACTGATTTGGGTTGACCGACGGGAGGCTCCCTCGACGAGCGGAAGCGAGGGCTGTTGATTGCGCTGTCAAGGTACCATTCATCGCTTCCGGAGGCGTCTCGCCTTCTTCGCTGATAGGCAGCGGAGGAACGCCTGGTCCAAAATCGTCGATGTTTCCTTGGCCGTTGCGTTGTATCCCAACAGCACGAAGGCGGCCGACCCAGCTGTGATGATGCATAAATCAGTCGTCTGTCAGTGATGGGGAACGAAAGAGACGTACGCATCGGCGCGATCTAAACTATCCTTCAAGACACCCGTGACACCTCTCATCATGTCCAAACTCTCCGTGGCAAGCGTTAGAATTCTCTGAGCGGCAACGACAGCAGCCCCTGGTGTCATAGGAGGACCCCCTGCGGAATTATTTGGCGAAGTAGGTCTCGAGTGAGCAGGCGATGTTGTATGAGATCGATGAGTTGCACCAGATGTAGAAGGAGTCATAGACGCGCCGCTTTCCGACGCTGCACCCCGTTCACGTTGCTGCAAGCGTTTACTAGCACGGCTAGAGCGTCGAGAAGCTGCGCCTCCGGCGCCGGCAGCAGCGACACTCTGGCGTTCTTCTCTTTCACGTTCCTTGCCTTCTCTACCCTCCCTCACGCTGTCCAGTCCTCCAGGCACGCCAGTGTCTTCTGGCATACTTGCCATAGCACTGGGTACACTTGGGATGCTTGCTCCAATAGGAGCGGTTGTACTCGCTCGACTTGCCCAGCGCTGAGGTAGCTTCAATATAAAGCCGCGTACTCTTGTTCTGGCTGGCTCCGGAAGTGCGCCGCCTGCGTATTTTGATACAACATCCACTACTTGACGAATGGTGTGAACAATATCTCGCCGAACATTGTTCAGCGTCCGCAAGTGCATGTGTGAAACGGAGGGTGAGAATTCAAATTGAGTGGATAGTGTTAGGGAATCTGAATTCGGAGGTATAGGCTGTAGCTGGGCGATAAAATCACGCAAGACCAACATCTGGGCATCGATGTGTGAAGTGGCATACTGGACGTAGTTTCAGAAGTCTGTTTAGAGACCGAAATGGAACGACTTACAAGTAACCACTCTAGACAGTATTTGAGCCTCTTCATACTTTCGTCGCTCAATGCGGCGCTCAGCCCGCCGGCTTCGGACAGAACGGTATGCCAGCGACTCCGCTGTACGACTGCTTGATTATCTCCGGCGGCATCACCATTAGTGGGTTTCGCTTCGTGAGGAGGATCGACGTCTGTGCCAGGTTTCGCGACATTGGAAAGGGTGTCGGAGTGTGGTGAATGATCTGGGCCATTGGCTAAATGTTGACTTCCGTTCGAACTTCGGGGTGGTGAATGATTGCCCTCGTTGTCTCGTTGGATCTCGCTTTTGGTTCCAAAGCTTCGAGAAACACCATCTTCCTGGTCGCTGTTCACATCCTTAATTGGAGGAAGTAACGGCGCTTCCGTCCCAGTGCCAGACGGTTGGCGATACCGATCCAGCTACAAAGAAAGTTGAGCAATAAGTTCCAACCGACGGAAGGAACGGATATCAGATAACACGCGGTGCCTGACAACCCTGAAGCCCCGATCACAGTCGTCGTTCATTTGAAATTACCCCAACCGTGAGTTCCCCACAACCGACGCCAAGTAGCCAATCATGGTGGGGACATAAGCCTCCACATCGATTGGGAGGTTCAATGAATGGTAGATAACGGGTGACGCATCGAATGCGATTGGGAGAGACGGTCAATGACTCGAGAAAAAACTTACCCGATCTAATTGCCTGCAAGCGAATTCATCCAGGGTATTTGTCGGAAGACGTTCGATGACAGGCCGTGATATGCTCTGGATGCTAGATTCGACCATCTCTGCCCCGTACTGCGGTCATCCAGACAAACATCAAAATCAGGGCTCATATAATAAAGCCGCGGGTCCCACCTTTACAACACGAGAACTATTCTTCCCGTGTTCGTAGACACGGATAGCGGTGTTGACAAGCGGTAGAGTAGAAACACGAGAGACAAACTGCGCGCCAGGTGAAGCAACGGTTGTGGTACTGTCTTCCTCTGCATGTGATGATTCTACCGGCAACACCGTGGATGATGGCGCTCCAGGGGACGTCGTATTCGACGACTCAGGCGCCGTTTCTTGCATCCTTTGGCTTCGCATGTCCCCTAACGCGCGAATTGCAATCATAACGCTCTCGTCAGCCTCGTCTATCTCTGGTCCGTGTTTTTCTGGCTGTCTTGAACCCGAAGCATGACAGTCGGCCATGAAACTCTGTAGCTGTGGTGAATCTTGCGCCGGCGAAGTCGAGCACCTGGCTGGCAGTAAAATGGGAGAGCACCGTAGGACGTTGCTGAGAATGAAGGGAAATTGAAGAGGAAATGAGAGCCAGCGAAGGCAAAAAGGTAAGGAGAGTGTCGAATTAGCACATGTTTTTAGAGTCGACAGAATCCAAATCCTCGATGCAATTTGAATTTCACATGGACTGCTAGTTCGTAAACACAAACAAATAGTCAGATGAACGAATCCCTGATATCTGATAATCAATTCACTGATATATCCCTCCTGAATTAAAGAAACACGTCTACTATCCTGATCCTGTAACATGTACCCGCGCATGCTGCCCAAGGTTGTCTCTTCTGCTGAACGTCTTTCCGCACCCTTTTTGCGGACATATGAAAGCTATGGTTGAATTTCTTAGTGTCAGGTCCGCAAGGAGGACGAACGACGATCCACTTACGTTTGTCGAGCGTATGAATACTCCGCACATGTCTCTTCAGATGCTCGCCTCGCACGAAACGCTTGTTACATTCAGAGACTTCACAGACGAATGGTCGTTCCTCTAGACTGGGTCCTCCAACCACCGTCTGCGCCCTCCTACCCCTCGTACCGCGTTTGCTGATGCCCTCTCTACTGGCATATCCAGACGGACTGGACTCGGCGCTGGCATCATATCCATAACTTGAAGCAAGGTCGGCCGGGAAAGATGGCACTTTCCGCCCGCGACTCTTCTTCGTCAGGTTCGGAACTGGAATTGGCAACGGAATATTGCTTATTCTCTTGCGACGAGTCTTGCCGTTACGGTTATACATGTTCGTAGCCTGGTTGGCCTCATCACTCACGCCACAGGTAGAAGTGTCGATGATCGGACTGCCGGAGCCACCTTGGACCTTCTCCAACGCCCACGCAGCACTAACATTTTTCCCTCCGCTCTTGCCAGCTCTCCTGACGGTGGTCGATTTTCTTCGCCCACTGGAACGGCCCTGGACATATTCGTCGTCGTCGTCATCCTCGTCTTCGTACTCCGACCCGTCTTCCTCATCCTCGAAGGCCGAGCCCTCATTGCTCCCTTCGCCACTTTCAGGCTCCACAGCGCTGCTGTGGTTGGCACTTCGGGCAGATGTATCTGTAGTATTGCCAGTGGTGTGTCCGTACAAATCGGCAGTGCTGTCCGATTGAGGTGGCCACATATTCTCTGTTGACGGATTGGTGGGTAGCACTTGGCTAAGAGGCGATGGCGAGTGTGGCATGGACGTAGATTCATTCGCAGTGGTATGTGGAATGCCATTCTGAGGGCCGTTGTCGAATACACTCCGTCGAGACTTGCCTTTTTTCACTGCAAGCGCAGATCCGGGCGACAAGGACGTTGCCCTGTGGCGACGGGTAGATGAAGCTAGCGGGGAAGAGGTTACCATACTGTCGCTCTGCGTCCTTGCCCTCTTCGCCTCTCTGTCATCCGAACCCTCGGTGTTACTTCCACCCTTTGAGCCGTCGTGAGGGAGATTCGACAATTCGTCGTCATCCATGCCATCGACGGACCGCTTCCTGCTACCCGGGCTACCCACATCAGGGCCACGGTCATTTGCGTTGATAGAAGCCGTGTCTAATGTTAAATGGCCTCGAGGCGATCCTCTCCCTGCTTGAGTCATCTTGCCCCGACCTGTGACCGCCGTTGACCGTGCTCTGCCTCGCCCACGCCCCCGCGCAGTTGATTGGGTATGACTATGGTCTATGCGAAGAGGGATCAAACCATCAATTATGACATTAGACGAAGTACCGCTTACCTTCAGTCGGCTCAACATAGGTGTTCGGATGGAGAAGCAACGCTGACGTCGGGACGGAATTGGGCACATCATTTTGGCCACTGGTTGACACGCCTCGATCGTTGTCCGCGTCTTGAAGATAGTCGTATGCAAGGTGGTAAGGTAATGCAGGAGCTGGAGACGGGATGAAGCCGAAGTTGCCCACATATCCATCTACATCATGCATGTATGCGGCTCCCAGGGCATATCCGTCCATATACATTGTAGGGGGGTCAGTTAGCATCGGAGAATCTTTACTGTTGCTGAGATCAGCTGAGAACGAAGAGTCTGATGGGTTTGCTTCAGCGAATGTAGCAAGGGTTCCGAGGGGTGATATAGAGCCGACGCTGAATGCAGAGGCTGGTGTCGATGGTTCTTGTGACATAGACGAAGAGGGCGGTCCACCGTATGTTCCTACGGAGTCGTCTTCTACCGCACGAGAGATATGCATTGGTGATCCTTTCCCGTTTTGATGCGCCAAAGTACTCTGACGAGGTGGAGAATTGTAACCATAATGATCAACACTATGGAACGGCAGATGATCTCCAGATGGGAAAGGTATCGATGAATGGCGCCCATCGCCTGTCACTGTCGTCTTGTACTGCGACGACTGAGGATACATAGGCGAAGTTTGGTTTAATCCTTGTCCGTACATAGCCTGTGCGGAGTAGTGACTCGAACTGATTGGATTCAAGTCGATGGGATACGTAAGGTTGGTCGGGGAATTGTGAGGTACGCCATAGGTGTGGCTGGAGGCAGTCGTTGTATGCTATCATTAGAAAAGAAGGTTAGTAAAAGTCAACAGCGCTGATCCGAGAACATGGGTGACTCGGAACCACTAACGCGTGGCTGTCGCCTCATCAACAAAAAGCAGCCTGTCTGCCTGGCGTGGGTAGGGTGAGTCAAGTACTCACATCCGTATATAAACTTGAATTGCGAATGGCGGAGCCTGCCATTGGGGGAGTCCTCATCGTAGTTTCAATCCCTTGGCTTACTGGCCAGTTCGACTGCACCGTCCGTGGCGTTGCCGCTATTTGTGGAGACCATGTTAGATAACGAAAAGCAGGTATGTAGCAAACGGCGAGGGGCAGGGTCAGGGGAGCCAATCAGAGCGCATGTAAGCACAGGTACCGAAGGTAACATGTCACTTACCGGCTGCTTGTATGTTTATATGTGGAGAATGTTGTGTAGGAGCCGCATGGCCAGCGTTGTGGTCGAAAATGCTGCTGGACGCCCCAGCGTTTGCCGTTGCTGTGGGAGCCAGAGTGTACGACGCCGAGTACATTGACGAGCCCGGGTGGTGAGTTTCGCGAACGGCAGCGACGTCGGGGAAGCTCGAGTGAGAGTCGGATGGGAGTAGCTGTGGGACGAAGGAATGTGGGTCTTGGGTCGGATAGCTGTCTCGGGTAGAAGATGAGTTTGTGGTCTCGAGATAGCGCTTGAGGTCGTTGTCCGACTTGGACGCGGCGGGCAGCGGCGAGCGAGAGGCGGGCGACGAGGGCATGGCGGGATGGGGTAGAGGTGTGGTGGTAGTACAAGTCCAAGCGTCGGAACTATTTCAGACTGGCGGATACAAGCTTGTCAGCCGCAAAATAATACACAATAAAATTAAATCCAATCCGCCTCTGCGTCAGTCCGCAAATGTCTGAAATTTGAAAAAACCTGCGCAAATATTCAGTCGGAACCCTCCAGATTTGGACACATTCGACCCAATTGTCTAGCTCGTTCAACAGCCTCCACTTCACCAGCGATGTTGAATGTAGCGACCCTGATGTCAAACCGCCCGCCCCGCCCCGCCCCATCTTTGTCTTCAAACTCGATTGGGGCACAGCGCGCCTCGTGCTCCAATGCACCGGAACACACTTGCCTTTCTTGTTGCAATTTCTCATAAACTCTAAATATTCGCGGATCACGGACGAATAATATTTCGCTGAAATATCGAGTCAATCACGACCCGTCCAGCATATTCTCCATGATACTTTCATGGTGGTGTTTTTGGAGAGCCTCAATAAATTCTTGCAAGCCCTCGCCTTCCATAACGGACGTCAGATTCGTGGTCGACATTCCAATTCGGTGGTCCGTGACTCGATCCTGGGCATGCACCATAACCATCAACACTTCTCAGCGAAACGAGACTGTGGTCTACCTGAGGATAGTTATACGTCCGAATCTTCTCGCTTCGGTCGGCACCGTGGACAAGATTACGTCGAGTGTCGCGCCGCGCGGCAACATCTCGAATGAGCTTCGCATCCATAAGCCTCGCGCTGAGTACTTGAAAAGCACGCCGTTTGTTCTACAGAGACCAGATATCAGCAATATAAATCATTCTAGCAGTAATCTCGACCGACTTGGTGTTGACTACGTTCATCCTGCATGGATACAGTGATTCCAGACGGAATATGCGTCAGACGAACAGCAGACTCAGTTTTATTGACATGCTGTTGTTACAGGTCAGCACTAGGACTGAGTGAAGCTTCAATATCAACTTGCCTGACCCCCGGCTCCTCTCGCACGCATAACTTCAACCTTCACGTCGGCCATGGAGAACAATTCTTCGTTCTGTTTCTCCTCTACCAGCGGCAATACCTGGAAATAATGGTTTAACGATGCTACAACGCAAAGCCAAGATACCCACTACGATCGCCACCGTGCTTGTGTGCACCCGTCCACTAGCTTCCGTCGCGGGGACTCTCTGAACCCTATGCACCCCGCTCTCCCACCGTAACGCGTCATAAGCCCCCTTCCCCTCGAACTCAATCACCGCATCTTTAGTCCCCCCTCCCTCATTTTCGTTGCTTGCTACGACATTGGCCTTCCATCGCATGGTATTGGCAAACCGCTGGTACATCCGCAACAAATTCGTCAGAAATAGTGACGCTTCCGAGCCGCCAACGCCAGACTTCAGCTCCATCAATGCGGATAGGTTAGCAGTGGGGGAGACGGGAGTGAGCAGCGACGGGAATATCGTCGATATGTGCTCGGAGAATGTAGTCGCCAAAGACGAATACTCGTCCGCCGCGAGGGAGCGCATGACCGGGTCGGGATCGTTGAGGAGGGGGATAGTTTCTTGCAGCAGCTGGTCGCGACCAATTTGTGATCGGAGACATACAAGCTACGGTGAGCTGACACGCACCTCTCGGGTTTTGTTCCATTCCATCCACGCCTCCTGTAAGTTCTCCGACTCCCGCAGTACTTTGGCACGCTTGATATCTTCTTTGGAAGACACCGTGTCTCCAATCTACGTAGGTCAGCTTCTATGTTGAGTCACGTCGAAAGTCTGACATCTACCTGCGAAAGCAGTTCCTCCCTTTCCGTAATTCTCTTTTTCACGATCTGAATTATCCTGGATCCATCCTTCTCGAGTTGTTCGATGGTTTGTTGGTGGCCGTGTGAGTCTAAAGTACTGGAGAACCGCTTCAGAACGTGCGACGACAGTGGATTTTTTGGACTGTGTAAATTCCGGAGGTGTACATTTGCGCCTTGGGACCACCGGAGTACCCAAGCTCTTGCACAAGACATACGAATAAGTGTCAGGGAAGCGCCCAAAGCTAAAATTAATATGGATCCGCGGGCCGCGCCGGCGGTAGCTTGCTAGGTAGATGGATGCTTTAGAGCATGATTGCTCGCTACGCTCGCAACTAGTTGAAGCGCTTGTTTTGTTCCGTTCACTCTCTTTTCTTTTGGCATTATTTTCATACAAGAAGTCGTATAATAATGTAGATGCATTCTCAGTACTAAGATAGCACCTCAGGTATATGCTGATGCGTCAATGCTTTCATCTCCATAGAGTTACTGGGACTGCCCAGCGAAGGGGTGGGTACATGGCCACAGAGGAGGCGCAATGCTTGGGCGTTTGGGGATTTCATGTTCAGGTCGAAGTCAAAGTACCATGGTCTACCCTTCATCGAAGCGTCAACACTTCTGGGGACCAATGTCCCTGGTTGAGGCATATGATACTTCCCCCTGGCATCCGGGTGGACGTCGATTGGCTTAATGACATCGAGAATTCGTAGGACGAGTACTTGACGTTGTTTACGAGCCAATTTGACGGTAGATCGTTCGAAGCGGACAAGTAGAAGACCTAGGGATGTCACCAGTCAGACCTGTACAGATATGTTTAAGAGATAAGAGATGAATGTACCGACCAGAAAGAGGGCGCAGAGGGGGGGCCGCGTCCCAGCGAAGTTTATAAAAAGTCTGGGCCCTCAAGAGCCTTGCGGTTCCGTTGTTGACTATCCAAAGGTTTATGTCTTGGTCTAGCGGTAACAACCATGGTTGCTCGAACGAGTGAATCGTGTAAGCGTACCAGGGCATCTCAGTAGATTGAAGAATTCGCCGACAGGCATCTAGTTGGTCCACTGCGATTAGTTTCTCGTGCAGTAACTGGTCTCTAAGTCCCACAAGGTCTGCGGGTGGATCTACGAGACCGTACATTGGTATCCTCCAAGGTCTCGCGTTCTTGATGAGTAGATCCTGGCCTTGTTGGAAACTCGAGTCGGAGACTCGAAAACGCAGCTCTCCTGCGCTCGGAGGGAGGTTGTGCGGTGAGTGATAGTAAAGAAACCCCCCAGTGCGGTCAGGAAACCTGAGTTTCGTGAGTTCCGAGCTAGAAGGGCGTTCTGTCTGATATGTTATGACGAATTTGTTGTGTGAAAGGGTCCCGCCGCCTCTCATGTTGTCCATGACTTCGATGGTGGTGCGCGTGGTGCTGGAGATATCTATACGACAGTCGGCATGAATTCGGGCAGGGTTTAGGGTGGTGATTAGGCGAAGAGTTCGAAGTGAGCTGTCCTTTGCAGAGGTTGATGTGGAGAACGTCTAAGTAGAGGTCATTTCCCAGTTATGTCCGAAGACGCGTAACGCATACCTTGACAAGTTGGTTCAAGCACGTTGCTCGCAGGGACTGCGTGTGTGAGCATAGAGATAAAGGAAACATTATTTGTCTAAGCTAGGCATTACAAGGAGGCGAGATCACGACGATTCGAGTGATTGCGTTGGTAGCATGTTGGTGGTGTTAAAAAGAAGTAATGTGAGCGCTTATTTTACCTTGTGTATGTTACTGGACATCTTTCCAGGAAGTGGATGATTGCAGAATATAGTGCACGCAAACTAGTATAGAGAAATGATATAGTTCTATCCCATTGATTGTTTTCATTACTTGGCTATGGAGGGGGAACGTGTGTTATACATTACGAGAGAGCTGAGAAGACGACTATGCAATAAACCCAATGAACTTCAGAATGTCGAGCCTTCGGGGGGCTGGGGGAGTTTCCTGTTGTTGAATGAAGCCATTTCCCTGATATTCGCCGCATGAAATGATGATCTGACGGTAGCCACTGATTACGCACCTTCTGATCTCGACCAACACGGTTTCCAAACTATGATTTCTGCTCCAGGAGCTGAGCACGGGGAGTTTAGATGGATCCACAGTGCCATCCGCTGGATTGACGAAAGGGAGGTTCACGCGAGAGATGAACTGCACGGTCGGTGGCTGATCTGGGTATTGTTCACCGCACACAATCTTAAGGCTGTAGATGCGGTTTTCGTGAACAGTCTGTACGAAACGATCTGAGTGATCAGCCACCCCTCATGCATTGGAATGATAGATATTACATGGCCTGGTCCAATGATAGTGCCATTCCAGTGGCTCATCATGATATCGTCGCCATCTTCAAGACCATACGAGCACGATCCATCACCGATACCCTTCTCGCCCTTCTCCAGCTCCTCGAGCAGACGAAAGTTACGTGGAACTGGGAGCATCTTCAGCGACGTGTATCAGGACTTAACGGGGACGTACTTTTGGCCATGAGTGGAAGAGAATGACTCGAAATCAGCAGCAGTCGGGCGGCCCCTTTGGGCTGTTGCTGATCGGTGCGGAGTTGCAATGTGCAGGCACAGCCACTGAGCCAACATTCGCCCGCTTATATTCGAGTCCATCGCTCCCACCAAATCGCGCAGCAATATACGACCCAATCTCGAACGGAGAACCACCGGAAAACTATGTTTGGAGGAGGGGGAAATAATCCATACGACGACATCGTCGGTGAGCACCTCTCCCATGTCTCTAGATGTCCGTATTCGACGCCTCGCCAGTCAAGACGACAGATGAAAATCTGACATCCGAGAACTGGGAACTCATCCTGAATTTGTGCGACAAGGTCAACGATGAGGGTCAGGAAGGGTGCGCATCACCTCTGATGCTCACGATAGACAGGAATCTAATTGGTACAGAGCACACAATGTCATTGCCGCGACACTCAAGCGATTGGCACATCGTAATCCCAACGTCCAACTCTATGCCCTCACTTTGGCCGAGGCATTGTCAAAGAACTGCGGAGTGGAGTTGCACAGGGAAATAGCTTCTCGCGCGTTCACCCAAGGATTGGAGAAACTGATAGCTGATCGGGTATACCTTAGCCTCCATCACTATGGCTTACACTTGCTGAAATTCCCCTGGTAGACGACCCATGAGAAGGTTAAACGCCGGGCCTTGGCTCTCATTGCTCAGTGGACCTCCGAGTTCGAAAGCAATCCGGACCTTGGCGTCATGGAAGATTGCTATAACAATCTAAAGGCTAAAAGCATGTTTCTATATCCCTTTTGCTGATAATTAGTCCACTTACATATAACGGAAGATCACAAATTTGAAGCTCCTCAAGAAGCTCCTCCACCTACGGTGGATGATGAGATTCGGCGGAAAGAGGAGGAGGAGCTGCAGCGTGTCTTGGAGATGTCCATGCAAGATAAAGGTGGGCGAACCCAATGGCAGTCCCAATACTCCCTTGTTGGGTCTGGGTCGGGTGCTGGCGCGTCGAGCTCCTCGGCCAATCGCCCTGCCTCTTCTTCGTCTATTTCTCAGCCCGTTGCAACTAACATCACCAGTGCATCGAAAGCATACAACCAACCTCTTTATCAATCGGGATATGTACCAGCACGCACCCCATCCCCTAAACCTCAGCCACAGTCCCCCGTCCGCCAAAGCAGCTATCATGAGCCCACGCCAGCGCCAATTTCAACCACTACCGCTCCAGCACAGTCTGCGTCTACGCCTGCGCAAACACCATCAACCACGGCAGCCACGACGATGCCAACGGCAGCATCCGTGAACATCGTAACGCGTGTTCGCGCACTCCATACTTTCGAACCCACAGAACCCGGGGAGCTTGCCTTCGAAAAAGGTGATATCATCAAAGTGGTTGATCGTGGGTACAAGGATTGGTGGAGAGGCCAACTCAAGGGCAGGACGGGCATCTTCCCGGTGAACTATGTTGTACGTTTGCTCTCCCTCTATCTACAGGATTGTTGAAGCCATCTAAGTTCCTGTCCTCCAGGAACCAATGCCTGAGCCTACCGCAACAGAACTTGCCAAAGAAGTCGAACAAGAGGCCGCGGTGTTTTCTCAAGCGGTTAATGTCGAGAAACTGCTTGTTATGCTTCGCGCACTTGATCCAGCCAAAGATAATTTAGCGGATAACGAGGAAATTCAGGCAAGTATTCGTCTCCCCTCCATTTCCTGTAGCTATCTAATTTATCTATGTCCAGGAGCTGTACAGGTCGAGCATGGCTCTAAGACCCAAGATAGTGAAGCTGATCGACAAGTACAGTCAGAAGCGGGGTAATGGCATTTATATCGCATTCCGTCAGGAAAGGAACTGACCTGTGTTCCCAGCTGACTTGGTATCGATGAATGAGACATTCCTTCGTGCTCGATCTATTTTTGATCGAATGATGGAAGAAAGCCTTGCTAGACATACTGGAGGTACGTTTACGCACGACCTCCGTTTACACGTTTACTGACATTTATCTTTAGTCTATGATGCCCCCTACCGACCATCGCAATACCCACGGCCCGATTCGAGGGGCCACGACTATGCCCCCACCTCAGCGCCTCCCCAAACGTTTGGCTGGAATCCCGCCGTCTACGATCAGCCAGGTTATAATGCATTCCCTGCTCCCGCTTCTGCGTACAATGCCGCACCACCTGGGCCTGACCCATCGATGTATCCACCAGGAGGTGCGCCGTACGTCGACCCTAATGTGTACGCCCAGCAACAACAACCACTGGCGGGTTACCCTCAGCCGTACCCCAACCATCAACAAGTGTACGGACCACAAGGCCCTACGCCATACCCTGCTCAGCAGCAACAAGCGCCACTTCCCCAGCAGGCTTCGCCCCAGCAGGCTCCGCCTCAACAGGTCCAGCCTCTGCAACCCACCCAAGCCCAGCAGCAACCCCCGCAGCAGGCTCCCCAGCAATCATTCCCGCAGCAAGTCCAGCAACCGCAGCAAGTCCAGCAAGCCCAGCCTCAGGCCCATCAACTTCAGCAGCCAATTCATGCCACGACGTTGGCACACACGCAGTCGTACTCTGCCCCTCAGGATCCCACCAGCTATGCAGCTCAAGATCTGAACACGCAAACCCAGGCGCAGCCCCAAGTACAGCAAGGGCCCAGTGTAGCGCAAAACCAGCCGCAGAGTCAGGCGGAGCCCCAAGTACAAGTGCAGTCTACTGAGCAACCTTCCAAGCAGCAATCAGGACCTCCATATGTATTTGACCCCCACACCACCTATGCCGATCCGAACGTCCAAGCGTGGGCTCAATATTACGCCAAAGGCGGTACAGATATGGCAGGCACCGTGTATTTTATATCTGTACCTGGCTTAACGGATGCACCTGCACCTGTTGCTACTTCTCCTGTCGCTACTCAGCAGCAGCCTGAGCAACCCGCTCAAACTGCCCAGCCAACGGTAGTTCACCAAGCACAGGTTCAACCGCTGTCCACATCTCCCCGGAGAGCATCTTCCGTTCCAGATCCGTACGCTGCGCAATTTGCGGCTGCGACAACGCCTCAAAACGGCAGTGGGGGTGAATTATCGCCATATTCTTCACAAGGTCAAGAACAGGCGCAGCAGGCGTCCAATGCTTCCGCCACCCCTTCTTGGCTTCTTCCTCGTCATCCGTCGGCGAAGACGGGGGTTTCGTCTTCATCACCACCACAGTCTCCTGTTCAGGGGAATCCAGCAGCTGAACGGCGGACATCATTAGACAATCCCCACGCCCACTACTACGGGGGTGCTCCTGCTCAACAGTTCGCTGGCCTTAGCCTATCTGATAACCCTGCTCAGAAACCTCTTGGTGCCTAGACAGATTGCGGTGCTCAGTTGGACTGATAACATAAACAGAGCCCACAGAATCCATGTATCTCGCTACTTTACTGCATATATGCTACGCATTTAAAGGAGAAAGTGTGCTGTGATAATGAGCTTTTCTTCTTCAGTTTCGTACGTAAAACAAGTCGAGGATGATCACATGATCCAGTGGTTCATCTCTTGAACTTCAACCTCAGCGCACCCTGGCATTCGCGAGAAAGTGCTTAAGTAGTTGATGCGTGTACTAACCTGGAATATAGTGAGTGAGGCCGCGTATCCTCTATCCTCACCTCAACATGTTGGCGGCTTTGGCAGAATGGAATTCGAACCATCCCACAATACTATCCGTACGCGTTCTATACTAGTCTGCCGTGGAAGATGCAACGTATCAATCTCCATCTTTCAGATGGAACACGCTCAAGGATACAGAGGCTATACTCAACCACCTAGGGGCGGACATAATCTGCTTTCAAGGCCAGTCGTCTAAGATTATTGCGCCGATCGAGAACGCACTAATGCCAGGCTTGCACCCACAGAAATGAAGAGTAGCCGTCAGGCACTGGAGAAATCTGCTGCTCTGCCTTCATCCTACGACGCATTCTTCTCATTTCCTACCAACAAAGGCGGTTATAGTGGCGTCGCTGTCTACACTCGCAAGACCAATGCCGTCCCTCTGAAAGTCGAAGAAGGCCTATCTGGTACACTCCCGGCACCAAAAAATATAGCCGTTTCCAAATCTTTGCCACAAGTATGCAGTGAACGGATCTCCAACACAAGCGTCCTGGCTTCATCGATAGCCCTGTTTCCCGACGTCAACGACGCATTTGACGAACCCCAATACCCAGTATCTCTCGCTCATCTTGACATCGAAGGTCGGTCACTAACGTTGGATTTCGGGCTTTTCGTCCTCATCAATCTATACTGCCCCAACGAGACATCTGAATCGCGCTTTCCTTTTAAGATGAATTTCCACCTTATGCTCGAGGAGCGGGTGAGGCAACTTACCCTGGTAGAAGGCAGGGAGGTTATGGTCACCGGCGATATAAATATATGTGCTGCGCCAGAGGATCACTGTGAAGGCCATATACAATCCAAACCGGATAGGACCAGTTTGCCTACAGAAGAAGACTTATCGCCAGGGGAGGGTTACATGTCGAAATATGTGGACGACCGCTGGAAAGGTTCTGGCTTCTGGAAACACCCTGCACGAGAATGGCTTCGACGTTGGATCGATAAAGACAATGGCATACTTGTGGACGTTCTCAGGTACTTCTGGCCCGATCGGAAGGGAATGTATACATGTAAGCCCAATATTGTAGTCAATCGATAACTGATGGTCAACCTTTCCTGCAGGTTGGAACACCAAGATAGGTGCTCGCGCAAGCAACTATGGTACTCGCATCGACTATTTCCTAGTTACTCGAGGTCTTCTACCTTGGATCAAGTCAGCAGACATCTCACCAGAAATCAAGGGCTCGGATCATTGCCCTGTGTGGTTGGAGTTGCACGACGAAATACAAGTCACGGACCACAACGGGAGTCAACGAACGCTACTCCTCAGGGAGATGATGCAGCAAACCCTTGATCGGACAAGGGAGCCCCCCTGGTTAGCTTCCAAATGGTGGGACGAATATTCGGGAAAACAGAAACTATTGTCTGCTTTCTTTCAGAAGGGTAAGCATATTTGTGGCTTCCATCTCGGGCCATACGCAAATCTACGATGTGCACAGGTGACACTGCCCGGAGCCTAGCCAACCCCTCGTCTTCCGGCGGAATCCAGGGAGGTGAATCGCCCTCGCCCACCTCCTCCCAAAATGGGTCCACCATTAGCACTAGCAAACGTAAGCTGACGATCAATAGTCTCCACGCCGTCAACAGCACCTCCGGAAAACAGAAACGCCCGAAAACGGCAAGATCGAAAACCGAAGTCAACCAGGCAAAGCTATCGAATTTCTTCAGCCTACATACTCAAGGAACTTCGTCAGCATCAGCCCAAGAGGTAGCCGGTGATACGATTGCAGATACAGAAGAACAGATCGACGCTGACTACCAATACGCCCTCTCTCTATCTCAAGAGCCTTCCCAGGAGCGTGCTTCCGGCAAAAATAGCAAGGCAGCGTGGAGTAACATCATGGCCCCAATTAAACCTCCGAAGTGCCTCATTCATGGGGAACTCGCAACGGAGTACACGGTGAATAAGCCTGGTCCAAATAAGGGCAAAAAATTCTTTATCTGTTCGAGGTGAGTCAATCTGCGGGCAGTTTCATTGTTCGTATTGAAGTTTTGTTCAGGCCTGTGGGTCCAGGGTATGATAAGGGCAGAAGCGAAAGGAATAGGGAGGATGTAGATCCGCAATGGCGGTGTAATTTCTTTAAATGGTCCAGTCAAGTTCGCAGGGAGATGGATTTGCAGCGGAAGTCATAGCTTCGCCCATTTATGCCCAATAATTTGAAGGTTTGATTATACACCATGATTTTGGCTCGCTCAGTACATCGGGATCGAGGGTTGACATGCCGGCAACTGCACGCAGTTGCTCTCTCCATACACGAAACAGATTGAGAGTGCTGCAGCTACCTGTTCGGCACTTCACGCTTCACGCCCCACCAGTTAGGCTAGGGTATGTAAGCAAGCTGCAGGATCGGGCGTTATGTAGCTTATCTCTGGACTAAGTGGCCAAATGGAAAATATCGATCGGCCACCTATGGCTTGTACTGCGCTGGAACTGACTCCGTCCCTGAGACTCGATGTACGTGCCAGGGTTTCCCCGAGTTGCGATTAACATCATGCGGTCCACAAAATTATTTATATTGCTGAGCTAGCAGTCTCATAAGCTGATTGGGATCGGCGGTGATACTGTCGATAACGGGAACTTTACTACCTTGGGCGCTGGTGGCAAGTGTAGCTTCCAATGCGAGTCGAGCTACGGGATGAATATGGGATGAATATGGACCTATAAGCGTGGGGGTCAATAGAGAAAGTATGACCCCAAAGCGAAGCAATATAATCGGACCCACGTACTTGCGTTCGTCGAATTGGCGCCACGTTGCGTCAGAATCTGGCCGCATGTGAGCGAAGTAGATAGAATCTGTCCAACATCAACTTACTTCTAAAATGAGCGATGCCCGTGGCGGCGTATACGCTCCTACACACGGCCAGACCAGAATAGAGGGGTGGTTTCTCAAAACTTCCAGATCGCCGCGGGAGGAGTAGTGACCTTAGGTGTGAAGCGTGTGTTCCGGGTACTTTGGAATATTTACACTTGTTTATATGTAGCACTCCTTCAGGGTAGCGAACCTTGCCATCTGAGTTTGCGTCAACCAACTACATGCGAATATCATGGACGTCACTTACCACAGCCATTACTCAGATACGAGGAGGCGGAGGTCTCATCCCCCCTCCTAGACGAGTCGTCCGCCTTTCTAGAGCAAGCAGCAGCGAAATATAATCAGCTGCGCGGTGTGTGACCAAGCCTGACCGGGTCGATAACTGTGCAATGGGGCAATGCGTCGTGCCATGGCGTGCCGTCAACGCTCCAGCAAAAAGGCTAATGCTAGAACAAGCGGGGTATGTGCTGGCGACGCGTGGTGGATATGGTTCCTTCGCATGCGGTGGGCTGGCTGGAAGAACACATGTAAATCGGTACAAGCGACCAGATAGCCAGTCAATCGCCGTTCAAGAGAAGCAGCGTGCTGTTGATATATTTGAAGGCACGGCTGCTCGGGTTCTGAATGAACCAAAGGAATATACGCAGCGTACGCACTAACTATTCCTGATCCTCGGCATTCGTGTTGCTCGTGTTGGACCGCCAGGTGGTAGGAGGGGACAGCATGGTAGTGGACTTCGTCTCGAGCTGTAGGACTCGTGGTGAAGACTGATTCCGGTCGGTGGCAGACTGTATGCTTGTTACGATCCAGGAGATAACCACTGATCCCTATCGCCGGGGCATAGATGTGGGGTTGGCCAAGAATGACACCAAGAAGAGTGGAGTCTAGTGTCCTGTGAGTCGTTGTAGTCGACGGTGTGAGGGAAGGGAGGATAAAACGAGGCGTTGTGGTCGTGGTACGACCGTGCAGACACGAAAAAGGGTTTATTGGAAAGTATACGACGCCAGCTGACAAAAGAAAACCATCAGAACCGTCTTTGGACTCCGACTTTCATATTTAGCGAGATCTAGTGAGAGTACAATGATCTTTTGACCTTGTTTGGGGGGCGAAGGGTCAGACCAATGAAGCCGACTGGCTCAGGAACTTGTTGTGACCCATAGAAAGGGGTCAAGGACCTATTCCACGCCGCGACCTGATGTCCTCTGAAGTTCTGCCCGCCGGTGTCGCACGCCATACCTAGGAGCTAATTTCAAAGAGCAAGGGCTACTTCTTCTGTCTTTCCAAATAGAATCAGCCCAGAATAATGTATTGAACACAACACAATGTGAATAAAACGGGAAGTAATTACCGCGTGCAATTTCACATCCTTGGTATGGTCGCTTGTCTGATTGATCACGTAACAAACCGATAAATGCCTGCACCGCGAATCGATTTACCTCCTACGTCTTGCCTCCACCTGCCCAAATATCCTTGCAAACCTGCTGGACCAGCTCTTCTAATCGACCTACCATGTCCGACGGAGGATTCAACGCCAACAACGAAGGGTTCCATCAGGTCTTTGTGACTGAACCCTGTCGCCGATGCGACTATAAATTCCATTATCCCGAAGGCACGCCGTGGAACGTTGTTAACGATATGGTCAACAACCATTGGAGTGTATGCCCAGGAAGCATCAGGTATGCCATTAATTTATCAGCTAGGGTGTGTGAATGCGAAATCAATGTACTCACTCTATATTTTTAATTAAGCGCAAGTATGGCAAAATCGCGCCACATGGCCGCCGCCGACCCTAGATACTCTGGGGCGCTTTCGGTGCAGGAGGGTTTGGAGGGAGGTTCTTCAAATGACGAAAATGACGCAGACACCCAAGTCAGGCGCAACCGGAAGAAGAATATGATGGACGAGACCGAGAGGAAAAAGAAGCTTGAGGAGGACCCCTGGGCCCTTGAGGTCACACCCGTCAGTGTACGATGCGGCGCCTGTACGCGGCTCGTAAGCCTCGACAAACGATCGCGATATTATCCTGGGTTGTGGTTGAAGCACCGCGAGAAATGCATGGAAATCAAGCGGCTGGAAGCCCTCGAGCATGAGCAGGGCGATGTGAGTCAACTTCAACTACTCCATTGATCCGTGCCATAGGAGGCCATAACGGAACACGCAGAAACAGGAGTCAACGTCCGGTTCACCTGCAAAAAAGCGATCGAAGGGGAAGGAGGTGCATCATGATTCTGATCTTAATAACGCCCGATCATCGGACTTGAAAGAGAAAGGGGTTCAGGAGAATACTGAAGACCAGACTCAGTCACCGCCTGCCACGGAGGAGACTAGCGAAAGCCGACAGGGTAGCCAACACACTCTCGAAGCGGCGGAGTCGTTTGCCGAGAGTTCAAACCGCTCGGAAGATTTTACAAGCACACGACTCATTGGAAAACGGCGTCGTAGCTCGTCTTCTGGACGCGGGGTCCCCACTGCGGGGGCAGAGACCTAGCACACACCGCTATCATGGGCATCTTGTAAATAATGCGGTCACTGTCACGCAACGGTCAGGTTGAGACTATAGAATCTACCGTAGCGATTAGACTGAGTGGCATACCTTCGCACGTTTGATTGGGTGGCGTGTAATAAATAGACAGCCTTGTCCTGCCCGTGTAACCGTCGGCTATACCTTAGCGAAACACACCTTCTTTCAGCCTCTGGCCACTCGCTGGGCTAACAACTTCGTCCGATTTTGCAAGATTTGATAAGTCCGACGGGACGCGCCCTATACTGCCCTATACCGGGCGAAAAGAGGGTGAAATGAGCCAGGCAGAAACGAGCCGTAAAATGGAGTCCATACCTTCGTGGAGAAATAGATGACCGCATTGTGAAATCACCGTCGAAGATCAATTCTTCTCTCACTCGGGGTGAAGGTTCGGTGAGGTCAATTATTTTTGTGCAATGCGATACATCGGTCTGTATCCAATCACGGCAGTAGACTTGGCTTTCAAAGGATGTATCTTTCTGATGTTCGAGATGAGGTCCTTGTGAATGCACTCGGTAGCTATGACTCTGGTAACGGTGAAGATGAAGTCGGTACAGAGACCGGTCATGGGATACCCGTCAAATGCGGCGCTGGCTATGCCCGCTTCGCTTCTGTTAGCCTTTGTCAATGATAGCCCACATCTTGCCAATCGGCGACGACGACTCACTCAATTGCTTTCTTAATCCGGCCAACAGAAGGTTATATACATTTCGTACGTGGAACACTTGAGGATATTACAGCGGTCGCCACGTCGTTGGCTGACATGAGACGGAGAAGAATTCACGGCTTCTGAGCCTATGGGAATGTGCAAGGGCCAATGCACCGTGGAAGGTGGAGGATGCGGCGCTGTTGAGGGAAGGGGCATCCATAAATTGAGGTTGCACTGGAATATCAAATGCACGACGGAAGGACGGACAGGGCATACAACTGTTTCGATTTAGGATTCTATCTCGTTCCAAGTCTTACGGGAAGTGAAGGAAAATCAATAATATTAACTGGACTCAGTCTGAGGAACGCACACCAGGCACGAGATTTGATTGGTAGGCTTGTGCTAAAATACAAATACGTAATCATGACGGCCTTTATGATGTTCGAACCTGTTTCTTCGCTGTGCCAATTGTCGTGTTGTTGACCTGCAAAGGTGTCAGATATGGGAGGGGTCGCAAAGCAAAACAGACCTTGGTAGCAAATCGCAAAGAAGTGAGGGACTCATTCAAATGAGCTGCGAGGGGAGATAGATTAAGAATCATCTGAAGAGAAATATGTTTTGTTGAGTATGCGGCAAGATGGTGTCAAGACTTACTAGTGTCTTTGAGTTGCCACTCAAAGAATTTTGCAAGAGATACGTCAACTGGGACGGTCATATGAGTGAACCGTGCCACAGGCAAGCGATACGATGGTCACCTTCGAATTTCTGTACGGAATGTGTTTATCTCCTTTTTCTCCCTTTTCCCCAAGGGCAGCAATTACGTCGCCCAGTGCACTCAGACTACGATTGATGCTCTGAGTCTCCTTCAGCCTATCTTTGTCTGCCGCCGTCCCGCTGGCGTTCAGTCGTTCACTGCCAGCGAGATCAACAAGGTTCAGGCTGCCCTCGCTTCGTTCGCCAGTATTGACGTTGTGTCCGCTGATGCGCAGTGTGAACACCGAATGCGATCGAGATGAACGCTCATTCATCAATGTTGCGGCTACGGACCTCCGCGACTGGGCTACGGCAAGCAAGGAGCGAACTTGCGTCGGCGAATGAAGAGGGACAACATTGGCGTCAGTCACTCTGGTGCTATTGGTCTTCGGGTCGTGTTTGATTTCGTGTTTCTTCTTGTCGAATTCACCCTTGCCTAGCAGGTCGTTGATGGTCTCGTTATACTACGGAACCATCAAACAATGTAAGGAAATAACATCAGACGTGTACGCACAATCTCAAGGAATTGCCCTTCCATCTTGTATTCCCAGCCCTTGCGCTTGAGCTCTTCCGCGACTTGGAATACTTGCTCTACTGCACGCGGTATCATGCCGGATGATGTTGCTGTCTAGTGAGGGGTCGGTATAGGTTCAAGCCTTGTTGAGTCGACTTACTGGGCCGCCTTCCATTGTAAATGACTTTCCACTTCCTGTTTGTCCGTAAGCAAATACGCAAACGTTATACCCGTCGGTGCAGCTTTGCGCTAACAGAGATATCTCTTCGAAAACTTCGGCCTGACTTGACTCGGGCTCGAAAACCTTTTTGCAGAGGTAAGTTGATGTCGGAATGCTAAGAAGCGTATGATAAGACTTACACGATCGAAGTTGAAGTTATATACCTCCTTGCGCTCTTGGCCAGTAGCACTCTCACTGGAAGAAGCGACGACAATCTCTTTATGATCGAGACGGTCGGGAAATGCGATGTTCGCTCTCATCTCTTCTTTCAATCGTTCGGCCAAATCAAATCCCGACGATGAGGAATCGGGCGGCGTTTCAGGAGAGGGTAGATCGGAGGGAAGAACAGGTCGAACTCGACAGAACACGCGGATGTTACCCTTGAGCTCTTGGACCATATTATGAAGCTTCCTCCGAGCGGTCTCTGCTTCCATTGTCTCGTGTTTCAACGCATCTATCTCCTTCTGCGAAGCCTCCAGTTTGAGGTTTAGGGAGGAAATGGTGGCGAGATACATGTCGAGTTCTGTTTGGAGAGCCGTCTTTTGCGACTGTAATGCATGATTTTCCGTACCGAGGGCGATGCGAGCGTTTGATTGATGCGAGATAGTCGACTTCAATGTCGACACGGTCTCCCGTTCACGTTCAAGGTCTCCCCGGCAGAGCCTCAAGTCCTCCTGCAATTGTTGGATCTCTCGTTCCCTCTTCTTCACGTCCATTTCCAAGTCCATCAATTCTCGTGCATGGCGCGACTTCATATTGGCTAGCTCGTCCTTCGCCGCAGTCACCTCCCTCTTCAAGTCAAATTCCAAATCCTTGAGCTCTCGGGCATGTCGCTTCTTAAGTGCTTCGATCTCGTCGCTGACGTTGGAGAGCTCGCGCTGCTTGAGTAGTTCCTGGGTCTTGGCATCTTCGAGTTGCTTTCGCAGGAAATTATGGTTGGCCTCGAGGTCGGCAACCTTTGATCTTTCTGCAGCCATGTCTGCTTCAAGCCCTGCTAGCTTATTTCCGTGCATCGACTGCCATGACTCCACCTTATTCGCGATTGCTTGAATCTTCTTGTCGTCTTCAGAGATACATCGAGTGGGTCCAGAAGCCGTACGTATGGGTAGATCTTTACGTGTTGTAGGAGCCTTGGCTGGTTGACGAGTAGACGAGTATAGGCTTCTTGAACTTGAGCTAGTAGGTGGCGCGCTTGTCCCGCGGGTCGTTCGAGAGGTTGTTAGGTTCGGTGCTTGTGGTCTCGTCAGCGGTCGAGACGTTGTGCCATTCAGCCTGGATGTGGTGAGGTTTGTCGCGTTACGAGTTGGCTGAAGGGGTCGACTTTGGTGGCCTCTCCCGATGGCGGGGAGTTTCTTGGGCTGGTCCATCGCCTCTTCGTCGTCCTCGGTGATGGCTTTGCGTTTGAGGCTTGTCATCGTGGACACCATCGACGGACCGGCTACTGGGCGGTCTGGAGAAGAGTGAAGGCGCGGTAAGCGAGACATGTCGTGGTAATCTCGAAAGTCAGCTAGCTCAGGGCCAGTACTGTTTCAACCCAAGTTCGCGTCGATCACGTGACGGCGTGGGCCATTGTGGCAAACCAGCTGTAAGAAAGCGAACTCCCTACTCGAAACGATGCGTGAGTCTACGACAGACTCTGAGATAACGTTATCAGGTTCACTCGACTCATATTTCCCTACTCCGTATCGACTTTCCGACGGCCCCTCTCCTCGCAAACGGCCACGAACTGCTTCTCGAACTCCCTCTCGCCCGCCGTCTCGGGGTCCATCGTCGACACCCTCAGAGGTCAACTATGCCCGAGAAGAATCAACTCTGCGGCTGTTTGATGCGTGGGCCTCTATAGCGGAACGCTACTCTCGCCCCCTAGGCGAGGACGACGAAGTGGATCTTCGCACTGGCAATGTCATCAAGGATCGCGGATTTCTGCGGAGCACCCCTCGCGTGGCCTTCGGGGCTTTCATACCAGATGAACAGGAAGAGCCGGACGAAGATGACTTCGACGAATTGGATGCTTTCGGCGAGGGCAGGCGTATCGGCGGATGGTCGGTGCCACCGGTGAGGACAACGGACCCGGAGGATGCGAGAGAGCTCGAGGAATTTTTAGAGGCTGAACGAGCGAGCAAGATCTATGGAGTAGAAGAGGACGAGGAAGAAGATCATGAGGAAGACGTCAGCGATGGACACGGGAGTGGGGAGGAACAAGAAGTCGAGAATGAGGGGGAAGAACACTACGACTACGAGGAAGAGCTCCGTGACTGGAAGGAGGACGAGGACGAGCAGGAAGCTGAGAGCGTGGAGGGAGAAGAAGCGGACTACGAAGAAGAGGCCGGCGACGAGGTGCAAGAGGCAGAGGTGGTGGAGAACGAAGACGGGGACGGGGAGCAGGGAGAAGGGGATGAGGAAGACCATCTGTCCCGGAATAATGCCATAGCCAGCACATCAAGATTATCAAAACCACAGTCCACCGCATCCTCCAGAAATTCCGCTACAACGTTCCGCAAGACCGACGACGCTTACGACAGCGACGACGAGTTTGGTGCCTATAGAATGGACGAAGCTAGTGCCGTTTACCGCATTTTGGACCATGCGCCTACTCCATATGTTGAAGACGATGACCTCGACGACGATTTGAACGACGACGAATCCGAATACGCCGAACTACCACCATCATCTTCGTCCGTTCCATCTTCTCCAGTAAAGATCCGTCGAAAATACCCAAATATCGACTTTATCGATTTAACTTCCGATGGCCCCGACTCTCCTCCTTCAACGCCGTCTCCTCCAAAACGTCCTACAAAACACCCAACTATAGACTTTATTGATTTATCTTCTGATGACATTCCCAACTCGACCCCTTCGCAAATACGCAAAGAACCGGTCAAAAAACCAGCAAGGCCAGCATTTCTTCAGCTTGCTACGCCTCCTCGTTCTTCTTCTCTCTCCTCCCCTCCTCCTCGAGGTTTATTCCCCAGTAATAGTTCACCGAAGGCTCAACACAAGCAAAAGTATACCAATAGGACCGTCAGCAAGGGCAAGGGAAAGGGCAAGGCTCGGGCATAATTCCACCGTGTATCCATTTCGAACCATGATTTCATCATCCCTCTACATTGTATCCGTTACGGACGCGGAAGATCTATGTATTCTCTGTTGTAGAAACATCTAATACCCACCTTTCGACTGCGCGCGCAGATATATGAATAATCAAGTTTCATGAACATCGGAAGGCGACTCTGAAACTCCTTACTTTTTCGAAGTCCTTGCGTAGACCTTTCTTTGCTCCCAAGCACGAGCTGTGTCACTTCGCATTCGCATTGCAGCCACGGCAACGCGTCAAAATTGCCTTTGAATATCTGTAGTGCGTCACCTCTTGTTTTGGACTCACAAGTTTGTTGAATGTCCTAGGGACTTTCACTCGGTCCTCAACTACTTGAAGGACGAGAATGAAATCCGTATGGCGGATTATCGCAACCATACGCACACAAATGTTTGCCCATTCTTCGAAATTAGCTCTATGATCCTTGTTCTATCTGTCCCAATCGCGGATATGCGGACTAACAGACCAACGATCATTTACCTCAACGATTTACTCAGAAAGTAGGAAGTAAGCGATCTAATCTTATCACTGCAAGCGCCTGAGGCAAGTTTAATTAGGACGCTAACCAGACTCTCATGACGACTTACTAACACGACCCTGCTTTCATCTGGGAGAGGATGTCGATGCTCTCCTCACTTTCCGCAGAGTTGTTAACCAACATCATCAAGCATCTTCCTCAACGTGACATAGCCCACGTCGTCGCAGCATGCAAGAGGTTTCTGGATATCGGACGCCCCATACTCTACCAGAGCACCACCCTGGACAATACCAAGGCGAATTACCACGAGACATTTGCGCTCCTAGCCAAAGACTCTGCCCTCGCCAGACAGTGCACTAACTTAACACTCAAAACCAACACGACCGGCCGTTCGTGGACGGCGTGGCTGGATCACGATGCTTTGGCGCAAATGTCCGGAGTGCGAACACTGGTGTTGCATGGATATCCGTTTGATTCCGCTGAGAGGTTGCATGCATTCGAGCAACTGATCGCAGAACATTGGAGCTCTCTCTCTGTGATCGAAGCATGGTACGATTGGAAGTACCCTAGATTCCCCCACGTGCTCGACAACGCGACCTTCAATGTCAAGGGATTGAAGCGCGTCGTCTGGAAAGAAAAAGGTATATATATATATATATATATAATTGCTCTTTTTCGATCGGTCGCTACTGGTGCTGATATTCATGCAGGATGTTTTCTCTTACAGGGCTTTAACTCCCTCATCCGGAGCTCGCTCGAGACTCTGGAGGAGATCATCTTGCCAAGCGACTTTGACGACTTTGGGTGCGAAGCGGCACTCCCTTTCCTCGCCCTGCGCTTCCCGAAATTGCGTGTGTTTCACATTGGTACATCTGTCGACCCAAGTGAAGTGGAGCTTGATGAACCGCTGGTCGACTTTCTCCGTGCGCATATTGGCATTACCGAATTACGCGTGGGTTACTCGTCCGACGACGAGTGGGCCACTGGCCTGTCAGAGGATAGGATGGTCGGCGATATGCTCCCTGCGTTGAGCTCCCTTGACACTAATGTAGTCAATGCGGCGAGGCTGATGCGCAAGGGGGTTCAGTCGATGAAGACCTCGCTTCGTAGTTTATCCGTGGGTCATGGGCTAGTGCCGTATCCTGAAGAAGACTTCGAGGTGTTCCGGACGGCCTTGGTGTCGTTTGGAGGATTACCCGCCCTGGAGCGATTTAGCTTCAACCCGGGAGAGTCCATGGGCGACCACACAGAAGAGCTGGTAAGTTGGGTAAAGGCAGTGGGGCAGAGCTGTCTGTCTATCAAGGTACTCAGAGGAAACTTGTGGTCGATGCCAATCGTGAGTTTCAGAGCATGTGCGGGGAATACACTCTCAAGCTCCTTAGAATGCCGTGTCGGACATGATTTCTTCTTTCCAAGGCCTCACTCGGCTAGAGCTACCGTTGAGCCTCTTTTCCAATCTGGGACAGAATTGTCAGGAATTCGCGGCGCAGTGTCCAAATCTTGAGAGTGTGGTTACATTTAGAGGAGACATTGTCACTGTTCATCGAGACTCAGATGGTGGACGGGTGACAGTGAGCATCGAGTCGTAAGACCCGTCGGTTGTGCGAGGATGTAAATTAAGCAGCATAAATGCGTGTAATTACACCAGTCACTACTAGCATAGGGCGCTATCGTGGATCGAAGTTTGAGAGGAGACCTTTCCAGACAAATTCCCTTGGGTTGCCGCTCGACTCTGAGTATTTCGCCAGGAAAAGCTCGTCGCTCACAGCTATCAAAGTATTGTCAGCACACAGAGATGGGTATATCAACAAGGTACCCACGAGAATCAAAGGCTCCGCCCGACTTCCAGTGCTCGAAAATCGAGGCAGCCTCGTCAAGCGACAGTTGAGAGGGAACGGCGAATGGTTTTAAGCCTTTCGTGTATTGACGGACTGTCTCGGACCGTTTCGCGTATGGACTAACGGGTTGCCCGTGTGGTATTCCAAGGGCGGTGCGAAGTTCCAGAGGCGGTCGCCAGCTGGGGTCAGAGTCGGTTATAGCGCCAACGACTGTGCCTCGGGCCTTGGCATGGATGGCGCTGTTGAGCAAGGGAGTGGTGTGAAGAAAGGGCGGTGCTTACGAGAGTGCGTTTTCCACTGGCGTATTCCATGAGCAACCTTGGAAGGGACAGGTGGTAGGGGCGTATTGAGTTGAAGTGGGGATCCCGATAGCGCGACGTACAGTAAAGAGCCTGGAAGTCATCGATGGCTAGGAGAACGGGGTAACTGCAATAGTTTCCGTAAACCCAATGTCGTTGAGAAGGTGTTGGCGGACTTACTCGGTCTGGGTCCCGATTTTGTGGAACAAGGCGTCGAGAATGGCTGGGCTAGAGGATTGTTCGTCCAATCCGACCTGGATGAACTTGGGCAAAGGAGTTCCGGCAGGTATCATTGCTTTTTCGAGAACGACGTCTTGCGATGTCGTGAGGTTTTGCAGCAGCGTCGAGTTTGCCACAAGGAAGCGCTTTAGGGCCTGAGAGGACGCCTTGGGCTGTAGATATGTGCGTGAACGGAGGTCGTATGTATACGGCGTCGTCGAATCCACCAGACGCGCAGCTGGACAGAGTGTTAATCTCAGTTTTTTTGGCTGTTTGAGAGCGGGCACCTTTGGGTATATACAGCGTCAGCCAGTCCTTCTGTGCGCAGTATTCCACTGCTTGCTTCAGCAACATCGACTTTCCACACCCACTAGGTCCAGCTGCAGTCGCCGTTAGCCCCATTCCAGAAACAGGAAAAACGCGACCTACTCAGAACAAGTCTGCTCCCAGCGCTGGACTCTTCCACTTCTTTGATCAGTGCCAATGTGGCCTGTCGAACCACCGCGAACGGCTTCGAGGAAAGTCGGCGGAGCATGGCGCGTTGTTTTCTAATGAGTGTTCCGTGTTCGGGAGGCTGTTTCCGCCACCGACCCCTAGAGCCCCTGAGTGCTTGGACACGAGCACGTGATCGGCGCGAGGGCTTGTTGATTGACCAACAAGGTTCAAGTTGGCCACATCGAGCCTGGCGATTCAATCACCTTTTGTATTTTCTCTCCGGCGACACCCCCGCCAGGCCCACCGAAACCTCTCTCCAAATGCACAGGCTGCACAAAAAGCGACAGCCCGACTTCGACCTCAGCATTCATGGCGATGAGCTCGAGCAGGGCAGGATACTATTGGAACACACTTTGCAGCACGCCGACCTCTCCTTCCACTTGTCATCTACGCCGGACACAGCGTCTCAAGGCGACCGAGAGTCGCTCGAATATCCCAGACACGCATCAGAGCCCGTCGCCCTCCGTGACTTTGCATCGTTTGAACAGAGGTCCAGGATATACTTTGACGAGGAAGGCGAGCATAGCCCCATTCACCCTTGGTCTTATCGAACGGCGGACGATGAAGAGGGCGTTAATCCGTACGGTGGAGAGACGATGTCGACGGCGGCCCACCATGCAAGCAATCTCACCCTCGGTGCTGGACTTGGTGGTCGAGGTTACCGACACGACATTAGCATGAGTGGCGCGGAGTACGACCCAGATCGACCATTACGGGACATTTTACCCGCCGTTGCTAGTCATATCAGTGCATTCGGCCACGAGACATCGCGCTCGCGGTATCCTGTGAGTCTTGAATTTGCATTCGACGTTCATAGGTTTTATCGGTGCTTCTTTGCAGGGAATGGGGAGCGTTGACGCCGATCCCGTGGTAATTGATGACACGGCAGAACTCGATCGCCTACTTCAGTCAGGGCATGCTGCGACGCCGCGATCTGCGCACGTTAGCTCTCGCGCACCGTCAGAATGCCCCTCAGATACAGAATCTGTGACTAGTCGTCCAAAGCTCTCGGAGGCTCTCCGCAGAGTGTCCTTTTCCCCCAGACGCCCTCGCACCGTGCAAGGCAACATATCTCCATCCCATTCCGTTGACTCAAATCAGAAACATTCCCCAATGAAACCTTCTCATCGACCCCCTTCCCGCGTTCCCCCATCACCCTTTGCGTCCCGACAACGCAAATCACCGCACACTTCCAGAACGAATTCCCAAGCGAAAACGCCTCTAATCAACGTCGTCGGTGCTTCCCCCGGACCCACACGCCCCAGCCCTCGAAGGCCAGTAACGCGTGACACGAGCAACGTACTCAATTCTAGTCGCGTCTCTGAACGAGGGAAGATGTACCTACCTGACGTAACTGGTATAACGAACGCAGTCGAGTCTCCAGCTCGTCCACACATGTCTTACTATCGCTATGAAGGTGATGGCAAGCCTCGTGAGGTAGATGGTATGTCTTACCGCTGCATCTACTCGCCCTTCTCTCATCCATGCTTTCACTAGTGTACTTCATCACCGCCCTGAACGAAGTTCAAGCCAAACTCTATAGATTGGACGAAGAGAATGGCATCTCGCGTAGAAGGGTCAGAGAACTAGAGATGGAATTGGAGGTTTGCAAGCGGGAAGTTGCCAGAGAGCGGACACGAGTCTTGGAAAGGGAGGAGATGCTTGTACAGCACAAGGTTGAGTCGGAGCGGAGACAGGCGAAAGATAAGGGGAAACAAAGGGAACAAGACGATCTTGAAGTTGTCGAACGGCGTTACAGGGAAGCGGTAGAAGAGAAGAAAGGTAGCTATGTTGACTTCTCTCATATCTCTTGCGTTGACTCCTCTGATCCACAGCACTCGAATCTCTCATATCGACGTTGCGTTCTCATCTTACACGGCTGACCAGCGAACTTGCCGACCACAAGCAAATCCTAACCGAGCTACGAGAGATGCGCGAGGCTGATACACGCGCTATGCAGGACAAAGGTAGTGAAATCGAGCATCTTAAGCAAGAGGTCGAGCGCCTGGCTGGCGAGGTTGAAGTCCTTCGGGGCGTGGTGGAGGAAGGGCTGAAAGAAAGGAGAGAGAGCGGGCGGAGCCGGATCCTTGCAGAAGGCGAATCGATGCATGAAGATGGCGACCCTCCTGTGGAACAGGAAGAGACACATACTTCTCGCGGAGACGATGACAACGACCGGACATCCATCATGGGGCCATCCCGCGCAAATCCTCTGGACAGGACCATCCGCACTGATCACGCTACTGCGGGCACATCGAGTCTGGGTGCCTCTGCCTCGACCCCCTTCATAACCGATGAGGTACTTCAGCAAATATCGATGGAAATAGAGGAGCGGCGGTCTGAGCGCTCTCGTACGTCGGTATCCTCTTCCGACGACTCGCCTTCACATGGCTCCCTTCGCAAGTCCATTTCGGAAAGGCACTCTCAAATCCACTCGGGTATTCACTCGCATCCTCCCTCGCCCTCCCCTATGGGCAGGAGCGGCAGTATGCTTCTCGGACTCGACGGCGATGATTCAGAGCTAGATGAACCGACGTCCCCTCCAAGAATCAGAAACCCAGATATCTTGGAAGCGCGCCGAAGCACGCCGATGCCCAACCCTCGCACAAGCACTCTCCTTGAGGTCGACGAGGATGAATCAGAACCAGATGAACCAGTGTCCCCTCCAAGAATCAGAAATCTAGAAGTCTTGGAAGCGCCCCGAAGCACGCCAATGCCAAATCTCTGTACAAGCACTCAACCCTCACGATCCGCCGCCCCGACTCCAGCGCACGCCATCCGCTCTAGAACGCCACCAACAGAAGAAGAGACACCTTTCCCCCAGATACGTGGGGAACGGATGGAGCGCCTGTTCTTCTCTGCTCCTGTGCACAACGCCAAGACGTGTACGATGTGTCGCCGCGAGGGGCGAAGAGTGAATGGGCATGTACACGAAGAGCGGCCCCCATCACCGCTGTGGTCAATTCGTCCGAGGGTTCGGGAGCGCAGAATGGACGAATCTGACGAAGATGAAGGGTTCGAAGAAGGAGAGGAGGAGGAGCCTCGTCGTAGAGTCGATGCCAGCGGCAAGGCACCCGCTGCACATGGCCAGCCCTCCGCCCCTCAACGACAGCGCCCAGAAACGTCCAAGAATCCTTTGCCTCCTCAGACTACACTTACACAGGTCATCAGAGAACTAGAAGACGACTTTACGCATTACAAAAGGTGCCTCTGGCTGCCACGTATCGCGTAAACGCTCGTTGCTGACCTTTCCTTCGCACAGTATCTATGTCGAACTTGCTGACCAGTACAAGGACATGGACCCGGTGTCGAATGTGCGCAAGCGAAACATGCTAGCGCAGCACTTGCATGAAGTTGTGGATACTATGGAGCAGAAGGTCCGTGTTTACCATTGCTTCACTCTGATACAAGCGATGAATCGAGCTATTAGGGAGACCAGATTGCGAAACTATATAGTTTGTTGACATTCAAAGATACACCGGCTACGGGGGCGCAGCTACGGAGGAGGTCGTAGGACATGCGGGACTTGACTTCACCCTTATTGAGGGCGTCTATGTCTTGACTCTTGCAGTTCATTTACATTTGTTATCTTTTCACAGACAGCATTGCGTCATAACTTGTAGATATCAGCGAAACTTCTGCTGCCCACAGCCGGCTCGCATTTATGTACGATAGACGATTGGACTAAGACCCTGGGCAGCGTGAGCGGCGAGTGGGTGGAAATATGACTATAGTGTCATCTAAAGCCTCCAATTTGGTGCAAGCGCAAAATTGGCCAGCGAACGGTTGGCCGGGGAAGCTGGCTGCGGAAAAAATAGTACCTTGGGCGGGGACCTGAAAACCGCTTGAAAACTGCGCAAAAATACATCATATTGTAATATATGAAACAAAATATTAGACATAATATTGACCAGTTGTAAGCCAACTTATTCAGCACCCAGTTTTTGACATGCACTGCGAGCATCAACCTAAATACTCACCCGTGATACAAGGATGATATAGGGAGGAGTATTAAAATAGTACAAGTTTCAGGCCCGTGACTTCGTCATGAATGCATATTATGTGGAATATGAGTACAGAATACATACAGGAGTTACATGATGTGCTATCTATGTACAGAGGTGTTAGTCAATAATTACTTCAGGATAAACTATATTATTTGTTTTAGATTCCTCTGATCTCTGATCTCTGATCCCAGATAGCTTTGATACTGTGAACAGATGTAGCCCGGGATATAGCAACATATAGTTGCCAATGTGTAAAGACTGGAGTACGGAAGTCAAGACCCACATGAGCAACAGACTGTCCTTGTGATTTGTTGATTGACATAGCAAAACAGAGTCAGACTGGAAACTGGCGTCAAGAGAATCAAAAAGGCACTTGAGTGTCAGAGGGAATAATGCTGATCCAAGGAATAAAAATTGTTTCACCACAATGATCTCCAGTGATTAACCACACTTCCAGAACACAATTTTGACATCGGGTCAGAATGCCGCAAGATCCATTGCAAACACCATGTTCTGGATTGAGATTGCGCAAGATCATGATAGGGCACCCTACTTTAAGTGCAAGTTTGTGAAGTGGCAGGCCAGAGCAGTTGATTGAGTTGAGATACTCAACTGGATATATGAGATATTCAGGTTGCCCTTCATCTGCAGACTGTATAACTGTAAGGGGACACTCCTATTTTCTCCTATTCCCCCTGTCCCGCCCCCTTCCTCCTCGTTCCTTTCCCCTTTCCTTCATCCCCTTTCCTTTCCTTTTGTCCCCTTACCTTTCCGCTTCCCTTCCGTTCACTCCCTTCGCATCCGAGCCCCGTCCGGTGACTCCGAAGTCTTCCCGCACTTCAGACTCGCCTCGGACTTGCTCGGACGCTTCAGACTCGCCTCGGACTCGCTCGGACGCTTCAGACTCGCTCGGACTCGTAGATACACTTCGGGGCTCGTCCGGGCTACCTCTATCCTCCTTTCCCACTTCATTACTCCTTGTCCCCACTTCCCCAGGTCGCTGGCACGACTCCTGTACATTCCCCTTCCACTTCATTATCACATGCCCCCTCGTACCTTGTGATATTCGTTCGTACCTGTGGCTGGTGTACTGTACAGTTACCCTTCATTCCTCCCACGCTACTACAGTATATACTTCGCTTCCTAGCATGGAGAATCCCCATCCTGTTCTCTTTGGATTCTCCCTCTGCTAGGTGAGCAGCTCTCTCATGTATTGTAGTTAGTCTTATTCATTTCTTTGGATTCTCCCTCTGCTAGGCTTGCACTGTGCGGCTATCTTGAGGTTGCCCTTACAATAACTGCATCTGCACTGTGAAAAACATGTTCTCTTCCATGAAGCCTTGAGAGAATCTTTGCATTTATTGTGTCAACATCATCATTGCGACTGGCAAGAATGGTGCGCTCAGCAAAATATTGATCATTGGGAGGGGGCTGGGAGTTGATTCCCGGATAAATGGTAGCAATCAGAGAGTCTTCAGTATTCTGTGGACATTTGAAAGACTCAGGAAGTTGGATGGTACTATCTGGATTTGTATGCTGTCCTTGTCCAACATCCAATTGCCACTGTGCAAAGTCTTGCTCATGAGGAAGAGCTGTATTTAAGCACATGTTTTGTGTTAACTTCAAAACTTTGATATGGGCCCACAATCTTGACCTTTGCATGCATGCTCCAACAATATCAGCTCTGCCCCCTTTGATAATGACTGGTAGGATCTGTTTAAAGTCCCCACCAAAGACAACAGTAAGGTCACCAAAGGGCTGCTCAGAGTTTCACACATCTTGGAAAGTCCTGTCCACAGCTTCATGAATGTGGCGATGTTGCATAGGTGCCTCATCCCAAATAACCAAATCTGTGGCCTGCAGAAATTCTGCCAGATTGTCATTATGCTTAATGCCACAGTGTGATGCTTCATGTATTTGAATTTGAATTTTGAAGGTAGTATGTGCTGTACACCCCCCTGGCAGTAGAAGTGATGCAATGCCAGATGATGCAACACACAGTACAATCTTGCCTTGGCCACGCAGGAAATGACACAGAGTGTTATAGAAATAGGTCTTCCCAGTTCCACCAGGGCCATGAAGGGAAAATGTCTGTCCAGACTTTGTTTCAACAGCATGGCAAATCTCATTAAAGGCAGAGTGTTGACCTAGGTTGAGATTTGCAATGTGCTCATCTGCTAACTGGTGCTATTCTATTGGATCATAGTTTCACTGCTCTGCAATAAGTTGATTTCCAAAATCAGCAGCCCAATTATGCTGTGGTTGTGGCATTCCAGGACAGTCTGCCAATGACTTGTTCATTTGCAGAAGAATTCCCTTAATTAGGTAAAGGCCATAATCATAGACCTCCTCCTCTGTAGGATCATCTTGAACATTGGAAATGCGTAGCCTATGCCAAAGGTCATCACAAAATTTGTGTTGGAAGTCAGCCCACAACTGTATAGGATTGGATGGTGAACATTCACGTAAAATTGTAGCAAATAGATCTTGGAGTTGATGGCCAGTTGCCATGTCTCCTGCCTCTTGTAAGCATTGCTTCCATTCACTGTCATCCTCAAGTAGGCCACGTTTCAGGCATGCCTCATGATAGCTTGCACATGGAACATTTGATCCAGGGATAGTCCTGAGCTCTGCAAATGATCTGGCACCTTTGACAACAGATAAAAGAGTATGGAGATAAAAGTGCTCTCCAGCAGTGGGATGGCAGTAATACATTCTGCCAATAGCATCCCCTCTTTGACGTGGCTTCCATTTTCTAGTGTTCTTTTGATAGACAAATTTGGATGGAAAGTCTGGATATAGTACATCCCTTGCCTCTGGGTACTCTTCATTGGCTTTGAAGTAAGCTGTTAGAGTAGTAGCTTGACCACCCCGTGTATTAATTACTTGCTGAACATTTTCTGCTTCATCCCATGTACCAATCTGATTGTTCTCAGTGTGAACCTGTAAGCATATCACTGCTGGCTTCTCCTCATGCATCCAAAAGTGCATCAAACACCATGTAGCTTCACATGCACCAACAAAGCGTGAATCAAGATACATTTTAACTTCATCCTGGCAATTGTGGAACTCCAGTGTTGTGCGGTCATGGCCTTTGCAAACATATTTGTAAATGTATTTGATTGCTTTAATGGAAGCAATACATTCAACATTAATGTGACATCAGTATTTCCAGAGAAGGTAAGGGCAATATGGAACCACCCATTGATTGTCAACTTCTTTTCCTCCAACTATATGAGTGCCACGATTTGCTCTACATCTCAGCACTGAGTAAGAGTCAACATTAATTGTGGTTTGATCATGGTATGGTTTGGGAAATGATTTTGAGCAACCTTTGGATGGCTCCTTTACACATGCAGCTGTGATGCTTCCAGTACAGGGAGTATGCACCATAAAGTGTTTGACCAACTCAAGAAGCTCAGGGTTGTCTTCGGGAAACTCAGCAGAAATGAGGCTGTCTACATCTTCAGGAGTTTGCAGTTTAGAATCAGGGTGGAGGAAAATGATAATATGCATATGAGGAAGCCCACGTTTCTGGAACTCAATGGTGTGCACTCTTGCAACTGTTTTTCCCAAAATGCCATTGGTTATAATGTCATGAATGATTGCTCTGATTTTGGCATGGCAAACACAGGCAATAAGATCAGGTTGATCATGAGGCTGTTGACCATGAAGCAAAGCTTCTGTGATTTCTGGCCACTTGGGGTTTGCAGTAACAGTGATGAAAAGATCTGCTCCTCCAAAATGATGGTTGATTGCCAAAGCATCCTGACAATTTTGAATCATGTTCCATGTACTTCCAATAAATGATGAAGGAAGAATGGTATGTTGACCAATGTTTGCTTCATTGGCAAGTGCATCTGTAGCAACCACATCCATTAATCCTTGAAGATTGTCAGCACGCAAAGTCCTCTGATTGAGTGTAACCCATAGCAATCTTGACTGCTCTGTAGAAGCCCATGAATCAACTACCCATTCCTGAAAAAGCTTTCCAGATGGCAGATTATACCGTCTTTGGTCACAACTATTGTCATAGCGAAGTGTAATACGGCACTGTTGATCAGGTGGCATATTCCGAGTCACCTCATATGCCTGTTTATAAAGTTGTACCCCAGGATGATGACGGTGAAGCATATCCTGAAGTATTGACATTATGTTACAGTTGAGTTGATTATTCAATGGATGCTGCATGCAGTAGTTAAGAGCCTCCGCTGGGTCATGAATATAAAGTTGAGCATATTGTGGTACTTGTCCTTGGTAAAATCAGGGGCAAGAAAAGATGGCCAGACAAGGGTTTGAACCAAGGACCTTCTGGTTGCTTTCCAGACGGTCTAACCATCTGAGCTATCCGGCCTTAGTGTAAGGGGACACTCCTATTTTCTCTCCTTTCCTTCATTCCATGGACTCTTACCTACATTCCCTTCATTCCCCTTTGTTCCTTTTCGCTCCCTTTCCTTTCCACTTCCTTTCCACCCACTCCTTTCGCATCCGAGCTGTGTCCGGTGAC